AGAAAAAGAGCACAGGCCGCTCCCACAAGCTCACCATGATTGGAGGCTTTCTGCTCATCTGTCCTCCTCTCCCGCCTTCCCTCTGCTAAAGTGGAAGGAGGTGGGGGATCTGTGAAAGGAGCTTGTCCTGCTGCTATTCGGCCACTTATGTAATTATTACTAATATTAGTAAAAAAAAAAAAAAAAGGCGATGCTAGTAGTAATACAATTTCAGCGATGGTGGTATACCGCGGTGTCCCGGCAAAAGTCGAACGCTATACCGTTATTTCGAGTCAGTCAGAGCGACGGAGGCAAAACACGTGACAGTGTAACCAAACGAGTTGGTGAAGAGGGGAAAGGGAAAATACCATCTTACCCAAACTTACTTTTGTGTGTCCCAGGCGTGGGTTTTGACCTCCTCAAATCCTCGCTCCGAATTCGTAAAAAAAAAAAAAAAAAGTATATACTTTCCTTGTAATGCGAATAAATGCAGAGGTGCAAACGAGCTGGACAAGAATGACGAAAAAAAAAAAAATCCCTGGAGAAGGAGAACAAGAGGGATTTGTGTTTGTCCTTTGTCCCTCTTGTTCCCCTTCTCCAGGGATTATTTTCGTCATACTTTCCTCTCTCTTCCCCGCCCGTGGCTTCGACAGCTCTCTTTGCGCGCAACTGATGAGGTAGAGTATAGTCACGTGTGTCGCTCCGACGCGCTGATTGGCTCACTGGGACCGTAGCCCTCGCCGTTTGCCGAGTTGCTCGTAGACGATCGACTTCCGAAAGACAGATGGATGCTAATGGCTACACCATTTGTAACGGATGGTAGCTTGCGCCACCTAGCCTAATGAAGGTGCATGCTCACCCTTTTTTTTATGTGGAATCAAATACGGCTGTATTATATCGCTCGTATTTCACAAAATTAAAATTACTGACGCGTCGCAGACCAAACCTCGTACTGCTGTTCTACGACCCATCCAGAAATGGTTTCTGCGAATACTTTCGAAAATTCCCAAAACTAAGCTGATCGAGCAAAAAAGAAACAAACCTTTGTCGAAAACAAACTGCCAGTCACAGCAAACGTCCAAAATTGAAAAAAAAAAAAAATTAGCGAGTCAGTTATATAAAATTAACCAAGTTATTTCTTAATTGGTGAGAATAGTCATAGAACATCAATAAGCAGTAATCAAACTTTTGGACGCGTATATAGTTTTAATGCGAAAGCATTAACTGTCTCATGGAGCGAGCTGACGTCATCAGTTTGAAGCGCGAAAACGGCTCCTAGTTTCCGCAATTTCGCCTTCGTTTTCATTGGATGGCGCGCGTCGACGGGGCTCCCATTGGCCGCTGCGCCATGGCCTCAGAGATCCTGGCAGATGACAAAGGGAGCAGACGGGCGGCTTGCATGCTTTTTATTCCATGGCTCTACAGTTTTTTTGTTTTTTTTCGTTGAATCCTATTGGTTAAATTTAGGAAATTATTTATTTCTGCTTTCCTTGACATAAGATCGTAGTATTCCCCAGGTTTGTAATTGTCTGGGGATGATAGAACGCAAATCAATTAGAGTTTGGATATTTCCTTGAAAACTTTTTATTCCTCATAATGTCCCAGAACGTTGGCCACGCCCACGCGCGCTTCAGACGTGCTTCGAATTGTTCTAAAATTGACTGATTTGGGGGCTTTCAGTGACGCTTAGCAAGTTTCTGATAAAAGTCAATGAGTGAATTTTAGGTAACTAAATTGCCAACTAGACTTGTTTTTTTTTTTCTTTTCTCTCTCAAATTTCTGATGTTTGCCATGGCGGGTCGTTTGTTCCAGAAAGGATCTTTTCTTTTCCTCAACCACCATAGTTTCAGGAATTTTTGAAAGTACTCGCAGCAATTCCCGGTACAACTGTTACTATAGTGCCCTTTTATGAAACGAAAATTGCTCGTATATGTGCGTATAAGGCAACTTTGCGTGTATATTTGCGTGCTTTACCGAAGGAACGAAGTTGGCTAGCGCGTAACATGGACAATCATTGAATTTCACCGTGCTACTGGCACCATTCCAATTTGTGTCAAACGACGTATACGCGGAAGGGTGGACAGAAAACTGTAGAATCCGCACAATTTGAACGATAATGTTGAAGTAAGCCGGAAGAGGAAATATTATGGTTGGGTTGGATTACGCACACACAGATATAGACACAGAAATATACAGACACACACACACACACGCACAGATAGACGGGCAGGCAGACACAAACGCACATACACGTACGCACAGAGACAGATACAGGTATGCGCACGCACGAAGACACACCCACACAGATAAACACGCACGCACAGACACAGAAATACATACCCAGAGGCGCAGACATACACGAACACACACACACACACAGCGCGCGCGAAGATCAAACAGATACAGTTGGAAATCATCGTCAGGGATCTCTACAGTTCTAAAATTAGCTCGCGGTCTCGTAGATGTATAGCTGATCAACTTGTATCGAGAAAGAGTTGACCGGCAGAACCTCGAGGGGAATGATGTAACGTCCTCGAGGCAGGAGTGTGGTCGTGCAGTCACGTACAGGGGTAAACATTATTATATTAACTTTATAAGTTGTAGGGAGGCCTAGACGCCATTTTGTTTTCTGTCTTTTAGCAGACGACGCAGTCAAACCATCGCGCAGCCTTGGTTTGTTAACGAGTTGTCACGGTAGCTCTTTTGACGTGATGGATGGTGGAGCTTGTTAGATTAAGACGGATATCCCTCCAGTCCCGGCGACGTTAGCGTGGAGAGGCTCGGACTTTGTTTAGCTAGGCTGCTCACCTTAGCCCTCGGAAGTTGGCAGACGCATGTCTGCGTGCGTCTGCGAAACAGAAAGCAAAACTTCCGGCCTTGGAACGATAGCTACGTTCCCGGCAGGACAAGCTGATTTACCTAAAGGGGTCATGCGTACAGTTCTTAAACTGCCGTAAATGGATGTAGTGATGTACGTTTGTTTCATTAAAGGAGCTTGGCGGTTTCTCGAACTACACAAACTAAACCCATCTTGGAAATACCCAGGCTTCACTCTTCCCGGCACGCTATCTAACATCTCTGAATTTAAAATAGCCATAGAGAAAACGGCAAATGAAGGTTATGCCAAAACAAGCATTCAAATTTTCAATAATAATAATTGGGTTGTGTGTGTGTTTATACAGCCTAGAACTTGGTCTGCCTCACAGGGGCGACGAGTCTCCCAGCTGTAGATGAGAAATTTAGCCAGTGCGGTACAGCCGCTAGCCTGGGGTCTTTAACGTGCATCACGCAGTAGTGATACACGACCGCACGCCGGTACGATGCTCATCCAGATCGAAACGGGCAGGGGTGGGGCTCGAACCCAGGATCCCTGGGTTCTGCAGCGCGAGCTTTCGCTCCACGTGCTCCGAGCTGGTGTGCGCTAGACCACTCGGCCACCGATCCCCCCTTCAATTTTCACGCGCACTCCGGTGGGTTGACGTCACATGTTGTCCAAGTTGCACGTCAAACAAGCAATCTAAAAAAAAAAAAAACGAAATTTTGCGCACGTTTTTTTTTCTTCTTGCTAGCGTGATCTAACTTCTTGTTAACCGTCGCGAACACGCTATACTGCCAACGTAACGTTGTGTACAGCATTAACATCTGACTTCACGTCTCCAATGTTGTCAGTAGAGCCTTTCTGAACATAAAACTTCAACAACTTCGCGAAAGAAAAAAAAGTGAAAGCCGTTTACAACTCCCTTTAACGCCGAATTTGAGCGCAGCTCTTGAGGAGGAGGAGGGAAGGGTACTGGGGGGGTGGGGCACGTGACCTTGGGGGGTCACGTGACGATGTCGATGACGTCATCAGTGACGTCACTGATGACGTCATCAGTGACGATAACGATGCGGATACCGATGACGTCATCAGTGATGATGACGATGCGGATGTTGGTGACGTCATCAGTGGCGTCACTGATGACGTCATCAGTGACGATGACGTCATCGGGGGGTCACGTGACCTCGTGGGGGGTCACGTGACCGTGTGGTGACCTTGGTTACGCCGACGCCGCTCAAGCCGGGAACAGGCCCCTAAAAGCTGCGCTCTAAAATATATATTGTGACTCGTAATAGACCCTTTCCGGAATTCAGTCTGGCCACTTTGATGACTATCATCATCATCTGAAAACGGCATATGTGCTATACTAATGGCGGCCTTCTGTTTAGAAATGAAGGAAGAAGTTGAAGATGCTCACAAGCAGATGATTCGATGCCTTTACATTCTCGACGTTAGCGCGACGTGAAGCAGGAATTGGACGCAAGAGCTGCGTAAGCGTTCATTCCTAACTCGGTCCCAGTCAATCTGTTAGTAGCACTCACTCGGCTTCAAAGCACCTTGATGTATAGGACTCTATCAAGGCGCCTATATGGGTTGGCGCTTCGTTCCGACTGGCTGCATTTGTTTTGCCATCGACACTAAAAGAGATTGAAAAATAATTGTAGTGAAGTGCGCATTTTCGTTTACCGTTGACCTTTAAGTGACGGTGCCCCATTAAATACTGCAAACCACAGGTTCATTGCCGCCACTAGTATAGTAAAAGATAAACTGCCATTTGAGACACCAGATGGCACTGAATTCCGGAAAGGGTCTATTTGGGTTACTAGTTCAGATGAGTCTATTAATGTTTTGAGGTAAACCAGTGACTATTCAAATTTCGCAGCAGCTCCTGTTGAACCATCTGGCTACAACCTGAAAGGGAACACAGTGGTCTATTCGGCATGCTTGTTCAAGATTGCTTCAGACATCCACACCAAGGAATTGTTTCAAAGCAAGAGAGGCTGCAGTCTTTTTTTCGCTCGAATGCTCGGCAGCCCACAGCGACTGGTAAAAACCCTGTCTGTGTGTTTCCTCGTCCTGATCTTATGTCTTTTAGCGCTGTTCCTACCAGACAAGAGTGACTGGTATCTTGAATGGTGCAATAAGTTCCAGGTATGTTAGTCAACAAAATGTTGGAAGTATCTGCTGCATTTGAGACACTGCGTCATGTGGTCCACTTCCTTTATTTTCCCATGTCGGGGTTCAGAACTATTTTACAACCAACTCGCACACTTGTTGGCTTCCGTCATCCTTTGTCTGCGCATGCACGTTCTTGACTCACGAGGTGCCCAAGTGTCACCAAAGATAGGAAGCTCGTGCTGAAGGCAGGACAACTGAATGACCTCCTCGTTGTTCTAACCCACAACGGGCAATGTCAGCCGCAAATGGACATTGTCAGCGTTGAGGCTATTTTAGCCAGACTTGTCGATACTTTCCAGTTTGTTTCCTAGGTAGTCAAATTGATCGGAGAGATGTTTGGTATGAAGCCCTTTCACGAGCAGGTTTCCCGTGTCCTTGTTGCGAAGGTCGACGGTCAAGAACGCAGTCGTCCTACCGAGTTTTGACGTGTATGCCTCGACTGCGACGACGTCGCCGAGCTTGGCTTTTGCGAGATAGCTGTGAGAGAAAGGATGCACCATTTAGGTAAAGCGCAAAGGTATGTGACCACCGCTACAGTCAATGACAGGGTGAGAATAATGGGACGTCTCTTTTGAATTCCCGACCTCCAGCACCTTCTCGTTGCCTTTTAAAGTGCTTCGACTGCGCGTGGACGCTCAAAGCTCCTGAGACACTGAAGCATTACTGAAGGTAGAAATGCTTGCGCTGCAGGTGAGGCCACTGTAATACCTCCTTGACGTTCTCATTACCTCCCTGATGTTCTCAATATTTCCCTGATGTTCTCAATTCCTCCCTGATGTTCTCAAATAAAAATTCTCACTGTAGAAAATAATTTAAGTATAGAATAAGTCCATACTATAGATACACAGAACAAAGAAGGAATATGCTATATGTTGCTACTACTATAACAGCAAAGGTTAGGAACCCAAGCTCATAGCTTTGGCAGTTTTTCCTGCTGCACAAGTTTGTGTAGCAAAGGCACTACCTCCAGAGCAAGGAGTTTGCATTTGAAGCTATCATTGTGGGACATCTTTAATTAAGTATGTGCATGCTGAAGTACATATGAAAAGTGCTTGGAGTGGAGTACTAAGTGGCGCATTGTGTGCCTACTTGAAGCAGATCAGAGCATTACCTGATGTCATGAAAAGGTCAATAATGTCATGTCTACTGCATGAAGAGTAATACTGCATACATAAAGGCTTGCATCAATAATATAGGGATTTGGTGGGGCACCTAGGACAACAGCAGCTAATATGACACAACATAAGCTTTACTTCTTAGTTTGGTTGGTCATCTGGTTAAAGCAGGTGATGCCATCAAAGATGCACAACCACTGCAGAACCAAAGCTCAGAGCCTTGCCACATTGAACACAATGAAGAATATAATCTACTCCTTTCTAAATTCCAATTCTGAGAGCCTTTTGGTGCGAAGATACGTGGACGTGGCACGAGCGAGCACGGCCATTCTTTCGAGTGACGACGCTAGATCTGGCTGGCTCCACTGAGCTCCCGAAACATTGCTTTTGTGCCCATTATGACTTATCTTTCACCCCTAAGTTAGTACAAAGAGGCTTCTCCCCTCACCTTCCTACTAGTGCCTTTTCTCTCTTCGAGTTTCCAACAAAAAAAATCCTCATATCAAATATCCGACGAGGGGCACCAGTTCATCCAAAAGAGGGAGATTGCCATATTACCTCATACTCAGGTCCACGCTGACATTACGAACGTCACGCAGCGTTAGGAGTGCATACGTGCTGATGACGTCAACGAGAGTTGCAGCCATGCCTCCCTGAAGGCTTCCCATCCGATTCACCAGATTCTCGTCAACTTTGATCTCGGCGGTGCACTGACCGTTTGACGCCGACGTAAGTTGAAGCTGCGTTCAAATGGTTATAGGCAGATTTCGAATTTCAGTGAGGACATTGGCTGTTGCTGGCGAGTGATCATGCAATGAAGAACTGAGGCTATCTTGTTACCTAGTAAAAGCTTTTAGTAGTCGACTACAGCCACATCCTATGACATGTTTCTACCTTCTCCAATATTTGTTTATACTCTGTAGACATGTTGAAGTTAGAAAGCGTGTAAGAACAAAAAGGACAATTCACGTGATTTAATATCATGCGACAATCACCGTGAACAAGATGCATTGTTGTTTTTACACCGGTTCACACTTTGTTCCTTGGAAAATGTTCAAAAATAAAAAGCCAACGCACTGCACACGAGTGCCACTGATCTGAAATATTCCAGTAAACATTTTCCACTTGCCTGAACCTTTCTCCAAACACCGAGGACACAAACTTTTGGTTGACGTCTACCTTATTGCTAAGTAGAGAAGCTGCTTGTCCAGCAGCCAACCGAAATACGCAGCGCAGGCCATCAAATTAGATCTGTCAAGCCACATTTCACTAACAATCGGACAACAATAGCTTAGATCGAGTGGCTCTTAGCCACAGGAGCAAAAGAAAGTTTACGAACGAGTGGTTATACCGTCTTGAAGTGGGAGCTAGTGAAGGTTCCACTTTGAAGTGACCGCTGCAAAAGTTGGCGCAGACGTTCCAGGGTGTACGGAGGCATGCTGCTGCCCTCGGCTAGCTTCAACCGTTTTGAAGGATCAGATTGTTAGCTCAAATGAAGTTACTACTCCGAACATCGGAAACCACAGCTGCAAGCAGGTACAAGTGGTACAAGCAAGCAACTCCCATCGTCAGGTGGCTGGGCCAGCTGGGGCCTGGGCTGCCAAGGGCTGGCCAAGGGCGCTTGGACTTATAGTTAGGTGGCGCAAGCCTTCAGCCAATTTCTGTAATAAAAGTTCTACGAAATACCTAAACCCAACCTAAACCATAAACCATACACACGTTTGCAATTTTCAAAAAATATCAGTATTGGTATACGTCAAAAATTAGTATAAAAATTAAGTTTAGTTTTATTTAAGATACTTTTTTTCGTTTTCAAAAGCTTTTTGAAAACGGCCACAACAGGTTTGGACAGTGGCGCCACAACACGGCAAACAACGCAACTTGCAAGCGGTGCTCGCGGTGCTCGCGGAGGCTCATCATGTCAGCCGGCAGAGTTTAAAAAGTGCACGTGTCCGCGCGTAAACAATGCTCCTCTGGTAAGTCCCTCACAGCTTTCCCTCCGCATGTATTAATGTCAGCACCGAACTGACGAACCAATCTTGCAGCTTTTAGTTCGAAAACTACCGTCTCAAGGCGGCCGTTGGCGTGGTTATTTAACAGGCTTTATGTAACTCGAGACAGCACGCTTTCTCGGGCAATACGCTGCTGTCTTGTAACAAAGAAGTACGAATTAAATGCTGCCACGGACGTTAGTTGTCTGTGTGGTTATCTCTATCACATGTCGCCAGCGATATTCTGACGCTGCAAGAGCCCTGCTCAGTGCCCAAGGTACCGAATGGATGCTGACCCGTGGTGTTTGCTACATCTTAAGTTCTGAATCCAGATTTGAACGACGCTGTTTTGTCAGGAATATATGGAGGTGGCAATCAGTTCATCGGACGACATTTCATCGACGTGCGATGGTTCATCCACAGCTCAGATTAGCTTTTCTTCTGTAATAAGCTGCGTGAGACTGTCGCCGCGAAGCGGCGTGTACGGGTGGGTCAGGTGGGTTAACATTTTTGTAATGAGCCGCCGCAGACTAGCCGCAAAGCGGCGTGAACGCAGTCCGGGGCGTGGGTTAATGCGCACCTCAGTGATGCAGACGTGACCAAATGTTTCTACAGCGTGCAATTCGCGTAACGAGTGTCGATGAAACGATCATGTAGACAAAACGTGTGTCCATGAAAAGTTGGCCACAAGACGTAATTCCACGAAACGACTTCCGACGAAATGATAGGGACCGAAGCTCCTTCCTTCATAAAAGCGGTGGGCACTGCGCATGCATAGAACATAGTTTTTCTGAAGCAATGTGCGTGTGCGCTGTTTGACAGGCGCTGCCATGGCTGAGCTGCCGGGTTACTGTGCCTTCGAGACTTTCCAAATCGCCACGGGAGGCAATTGCAAAACACGTGTAACGATTTTGGTGGCTGAGCTATCTTCCTGTTGTTTTCAACTTTTCGTCTTTCCACTCATGCACTTTTATTTTTTTTTAGCAGTGATTTTTTGCTGCGGCGCATGGTGTTTTAACCTGCCTCTTGCTGTTTCAGAAAAGGTGCAGGCCTCTCGCACATTAAGCAGCTAGTTGGGTAGTGAGCAACGGAGCTTATCAGCCATGAAGGCGGAACTAGTCTTGGAAGATGGGACCACCTTTACCGGCTCTGTGTTTGGAAATCCACAGAGCATCTCTGGCGAAGTTGGTGAGTGGTTGTCACGCCATGACACCTTGTTTTGTGTCTTCCGTTCTCATATTTTCGGTTGCTTGGAGCATGTGCGGCTTTTTATCGCGCACACTTCAGCAGAACATAAGGAGCTTTAGTTTGATTTAAGAAACAAGAAGCATAGAAAGGAAAACCTTGCATCTCGGAAACTATTGCTAGGACGCTCACTGTGTGCCAGCGAATTTCTAAAACCGAGGAACGGGAATTCCGGGACAGAATATAGGCGGTCGCGAATAGTTAAATCAATGCCATATTAACAAGGACAGAGTACCAACTTAAATCCATTCCCATATAAACGCATTGTTTCCTAAAAAAAAAAAAAATCTAGGTTATGTGCCAGGGCACGTGGATAGGAATTAATGCGGTCTCATGCTTAGCCTCTCGAGTTTAAGACAACCTAGTATGGGCTCGCATGCACTTTCGTGTCGGTGTCTCGGACGCCTCAGAAGCTTATGCCGTCAGCGACCATGACCCTGGCGGTGCCGCAGCGACAGTAGTGGTTGTGGCAGATGCTTGTTTTGCCGCTAGTCTCTCTCCAGCCTAACAGTTCGCAGAAACTTGGCAGCCAGGAGTGTTGACGTTGTGACAATGGTGACACTCGCGTCTGTTCTTGCTTTTTGCTGGAATCTCTACGACCAGCCAGAAGCGCCTGGATTGCAACGTCTGACAGCATGACGCTCTGGCTTTTGTGACGTCGTTTGTTGCCACTTTGGGACCACTTTCGAGGCATGGGCAGGATCGGACGCTAAACAGACCAGCCAAAGACGCATTAGCGTGTCCACCGCATCCTTGTGTATGGTCTCTTTGTTTCCACCCCACCCGGTGACACCTCACTTCTGTCATGCCATTGACCGCCGCGGTCCTGGCGGTGGCCCATCGGCAGAGGTGTCACCATTCTGCTGTAGGTCACTCTCCAGCCTGACAATTCATGGACGCTCTAGCAGCCAGGAGTTGGGACACTGCAACAACAACAACTCCCACGTTTGCACTTTTTTTTTGCCGGAATTTTTACAGTTGGTTACTAGGGGCCGATTTCGGTTGCTGTGAGAGCGAGATCTAATTTGCCTCTTGGAGGAAAACTAAATGGCATTTGTAGATGGTTTGTCTGCTACGGATCGCCATTTGCAGACAAGAAAAAACTGCAAGAAAATGCAAGTGTCGTCTGCTAACAGATTGTAAAAAATGATCTCAATCGTCCGCTACAAACCGAGTGCCGCAGCAAAGCGAGATTGGACGCAGGCTCAAATTGTGATCGTCTGCTAGTTAGCGTTGGAAGCCGTTGACAGCCAACGCTTTGCTTACAATTCTCGAGTTCTGCCACCGTACACAAGCCAGCATCTATCGGTAGGTGAAGGAGTACAAAAAGCAAGCACATCGGAGGCTGCGAGACCCTTCTCACTATTTGTATGTTAGTGAGCCATTCTCACCAAATTTCTGCCCTACTGTGAACTCGTGAACGGGTCAAAAATCTCTCATTCGTCAACTGTGCACAAGCTGCAGTTCCACATCCAATTAGCAGCTGAGGACGCTCTCGCTCTCGCCTCGACCAAAATCGGGCTCCTGCATCGTCATGTTTGACGGTGCAATCTGTTGGCACTTCTGGCGAACCACTTTCATCGCGTGGACGGTGTGGGACTACGGGGCCTGCAACGTGCCTTCGATTGGTCTGTTTGCCATCCTATCCTGTCCGTACATCAAAAGTGGTCCCAAAGTTGTGATTAATTGCGTCGCGGAAGCCAGCACGTGGTGCTGTCGGATGTCGTGATCCCGGCAGTCGATCGTAATAATTCTGACGAAACAGGTGAGGATCCCTGTTGCCGGAGTGTCCAGTCTTGTGTCTTCCTTGGTTTTCGTCGGCTGTCTTGCTGCAAAGCGGCTTGCAGCAGATTGAGCACCTGCTGCTTCCATCTCCGCGGTTGTGCCAGTGTCACGATCGTGGTGGACAACGGCACGACACTTTTACGAGGTCGACAGATGGACGCAACAAACGTGGCGGTCGAAGACACGCCGCGGTCGTCATACTTAGGAGGTTCTCTCGACGCCAGTGTTCCAGACGGGCATGGTGGGTTACGTGGAGTCCCTGACGGATCCATCATACTGCCGGCAAATCTTGGTGCTCACCTACCCGCTGATCGGCAACTATGGGGTTCCCTCGGACGAGACGGACCAGCACGGCCTGCCGCGCCACTTCGAGTCGCGACGCATCTGGGCCGCGGGGCTCGTCGTTGGAGAGTGCGTCGACGAGTACAGCCACTGGAGCGCCAAGCAGTCTCTCTCGAGCTGGCTCCAGTCTGCCGGGGTGCCCGGCATCACGGGTGAGTCGTTTCGCGTGCGTTTTGTTTTCTCAAGTGTGAATGCTCGACAGATCTCTGTCTACAGTTCGTGGCGGGTTAAGAGTTCAGGGGAGGCTCCTTTCACCTCTTTCCACTTTAGCGGAGCGGACGCTCGAAAAGGAGGTTGCTTCCTCTCCAGTATCTGCTCCACAAACGTTTATAAAGAGGTAGGAGGAGTTCCTCCCGAACTCCTAACCTGTCGCCAACGGTAGTTGGGGGGAAGAACAAGTGGAAAGAATGTCCAACCGGGGGTGTCCACGTCCATAGCCATAGTCGCGCCCCGAAAAAGAGGTGGAGCTTGCCTTAAAGCATTGGGTTTCTGATTATCCCTCTCCCCACCCATGCAGGTCCTTGCCGAGTGTTCACGAGGTTCCTCGGCACTTTACCTATGTTATCGGGCTTCTGTATACTGCCGATCCGAAGACAAAGGCATGACCGTAGAAGACAAAGACAAAAAATACTGCTCCGCAACGGCCGTAGCCATAGTTACCTCTGAAGAGGAGGCCGAGCAGGCCTCGAAACATTGGGTCCCCAATTAACCCTTTGGCGGTCGAGTTTTTTTTTCTCCAAAAGGCATTTCCCAGTGGTCAGGTATTGTCTCCAAAGGAATAGTATAAGAAAAGGATCAATGCGCAGGTTTTTTTCCTAATTGCGAGGACACTTACAGTGCTTGTAAGCTTTCAAGGCTTAGAAGCATCAAACCGAAATATCGAAGGCGAAACGTCACCGTTCTTCCATTCGGTTTCGTTTTGGCTAGTGCAGTTCAACAACATTCCAGCGATTCAAGATTTCACACTGGAGATACTTTACAGAATTTCCTCTTCGGATGCTAAGCTTTTGTCCTCCTGATTCAATTCCGAGAAGCAATAAAAGTCAGAGTTGGAAGAGCCAGCACCCAAATTGCCACCACCGCCAGAGCAACCAACATACGAAGCGACCATCTCGTGCACGGAGCATCTAATTTTGAAAATGTGAACAGCCCTAGCTAAGGCAAACAAAATGTACATATAATGTTCATAGTCCGCCGAAGTCCTAACGAATAGCAGCGGGAACATTCAAACGCATAAACACCGGTGTACTTGTACGGCGACGTCCGTCAAAGGGCTAAAGGGATACTGAACCGAAATTTCGAGCTCACAAAACTGGGCTGGAGCAATAGGCGGGACTCTGCAGAATTTAAAAACACTGCTCGTACAGCAATATCTCTAATGGATCGCCATATTTTTGGAAAAGAAGTGTGCGATTGAACACGGTTGACGAGGCCGACAAAACAAGGCACGTCACGATTCCCATTCTCTCTCCTCCTCGCTGCGTCCCGTTGAGCTGATGAACCGAAGCGAGGAGGATAAAAGCGAGGCCGCTTCTCCTCATTATTCTCAACTGTTCCAGGAGGATCGTGAGGTCATAGCCCTCGCCTGATCGCACCCATCTTTTCCAAAAGTATGGCCATCTTTTTGAAATATTGATGTATGAGTGATGTTTCGGAGTTCGTTGCGTCCCGTTCAACGCTTCTGCTACCTTATTTTGCGAAATCCAAGTTTCGGGTCAGTATCCCTTTAAGGCTTGCTTGAACATTCTTTTTAGTTGTATTGTTTTGGTACTGGGAATTGCGTCACGGCTTTGGCGAATCATGTCTGTTAGGGTCCTCCAGTTTCCGCACGCTGTCGGGCACGTACGAGGCCTTGCAGCACTAAATTCTCATAATAGTGTCCTAGCAAATAAAGTTGGTCATTAAAAATTTTATTTAAGATTTGGCTTTTGGTATCTGTTGCACATGTTGCTGGATGGCCAACATGGCACTTTGTCCGCGACGCTCATGACGAATGCTACATGGTGTCTCTCCACTTTGTAAGCAGAGAGAATCAAACACTTTGGCGATGGCGGCTGGGACCAGCTGGTGCCCTTGTCTTTACCTAAACATAAATGCCACAGCTTTTTGTATACTCGATTTGTATAATTCCTTGCCTATTAGCTTTCTCATTTTGTCCCCCGAGTTGCAGGGTGCAATTGATTTTGTTTGTGTCATCACCTGTTTGAAAAGAGCTTGCTCGGCACCTTTGTATCGTGGAAATTTGCTGAAAGACGTCGCGTCACGCAGGCACGTAGCCAGAAGGGAAGCCCATGGGGCCCGGCCCCCCCCCCCCCCCCCCCCCCTTCCCGAAATCTTCAATTTTGCTGGGACCTCCTCTCCTTCCTCCCCTCATACAATATTTTGTCACTGGCGGCCCCCCCCCCCCCCCCGAAACAAAATCCTGGCTGCGTGCCTGGTGTTGCGTAGGGCCTCGACTATCAAGGAAAAGTATTTGCTACCGAAGCCTTTATTCCGCTCCGGAATTGGTATTGCTGGCCGAAAATCGGCTGCTGCTGGCTTCCCCCACTTTTTATTTTAGTGGCATGTGATGATGACACAGAATGCTGTTTATTCTAGGAGTATGTAGCCGTGTGAGACACATATTCAATAATAAAATTGCGAGAACGTAACTTATATGTGATTACTGCAGCACCGCGAATACATCAGTTTAAAGAAGCTTCGAGCGCTTTGTCCCGGGGGAACTGAAACAACCCAAGTGACTTCTGGAGTGCCTCAGTCTACATGTTCGTTTGAGTTTGTCCTTTGGTTCCTGTTCAACTTTGTTTTTGGGGCAAAATATGAGACTCTTTGTCGAAAGAGTAATCCACTAGGCTGATAGTGCGGTGGAAGCTACGTGCTGGTTAGTCCAGTCATACGTCTATCTTTTGCCACATGATTGCTATCTTGCCTTCACCCACGTACAGAGAGCAGGGTCAGGCGACAAAACCAGTGAACACATAGCTTCCCTTGCACTGTCAGCTTATAGGTGAATGAAGTATATATATATTATTCTTTGCTAAAGAAATAAAATTCGGTGGTGCGTCAAAGGCTTTGCAGGAGTCGACGCAAGACGAGCGAAATACTCGTGCAGATTGAGAGCGAAAAATGATTGTATGGCACCTGAAGATAGCATTTTTTTTGAAAAATTTTTTGCAGGCATAGACACCCGGGAACTGACGAAGAAAATTCGAGAGAAAGGCACCATGCTCGGGAAGGTACTAGTCACTACTCGGAGGAGAATATTTGTGCCTCAAAGACGCGCGGCGTAGCCTGTGTCGGTGAACGTGCCCGACTTGTTTCAGATCGTCGTGGGAGGAGCCAAGGCATCGGACCTCAAATTTGAGGACCCAAACAGCTTGAACCTTGTCAAGGAAGTCTCGATTAAGGTACGGAACAACGTTGTGGCGTATTTTCTACAGTTGCCTCTAGCATGAGCTTCCCCTCTTTTGATGAGTTTCGGAGTCTCGCAAGTCTCGAGCGTGCATGCGCAGCCAAAGCGCGGTGGAAAGCAACGAGCGTGGGCTGGAGGGCAGGCATAGCGGAGCGATTCTGTTTCATTCTCGTCATTTCGGCGACTGCAGTAGAACTTGTGGACGGCCGTTGCGCCAGTTCATCTCGACATCACAATTAAAAGTTGCTTTGAGGATCGCGTTGGGGTCGAGGGTCGTCAATGGGTTTTCGGTGTCGGCGTGGTGCAATCTCCCACGTCTTGTGCCGCTCGTCTGCTTTACCACTCTGGTGCTTGCTCCGTCTCGCCTCGCTGTTTCGAGCCGACGAGGCGGCGGGAGTGACCGTCGGGGCTCTGTTCAACAGAAACCGGTGGTGTACAACCGCGGTGGGCAGCCCCGAATCACGGTGATCGACTGCGGCATGAAGAACAACCAGCTGCGCTGCCTGATCGGCCGTGGCGCCTGCGTCACTGTGGTGCCCTGGGACCACCCCATCAATCTTAACGGTATGTCTCGATTCAGTATTGCGCAGTACATTAGGGTTTCTTAATGCTTAGCGTGTCCCCCCAAACATTCTAGTTTTCTGTTTCACTGAAAAATTGCATTATGTACTGCTGCACCCTTATTCTCCACCCAAATGCAGCGCTAGCAATCCAAGCCAAATGCTAAGGGTTGAGCACTAACAGTTATCTTATTAAAAGTTGTGATTTTCAGAAAATTTCAATGGGAAGCGGGGCCTATTTGTTTCCGTTTTCGTAAACTAGCACCCTAGAGCTTCATTTACTAAAGAACTCCGTCGACCGCCATTTTCCCATTGAAAATTTGAGGAAATTGCTTGTGACTTTTGAAAAAAAATACTGATTAGTGCAGAAACTTTGGCGTATAACTGGGACCGCTGGTGCTACATTCGGGCAAAGAATGAGCGTTTGGCAATGGATCGTTTGTTTTTGTAATGAAAAAAAAAAAAAACCTTGAAAGTTTTTTGGGGGGACACCTTGTAGAATGAATATGCAAGTAAAACTTTTGGGAAGTAAACCAATTCTATTTTGTTTTTTGATGTTCAATTTGGAGCTGGGGGCTAAAGACGGAGGCAGAGCGAAACAAATCGTAAGCGCGGACATTGGTATTCCTGAGGGGCTGAAAAAGAAAAGCTAAAAAGGGAGTACATAAAAGATATCGGACGAAAGGTTAGGCCCGTTCGTTTATGCATGACGCGTTGAAGTGGCTTGAGCATTTGCCAACTTTGTTTCTTTTTGTATGCTGCGCAACGCAAGTGCATTTCTGTGAAATAAAGCTGGAAAAACTAGGTGCACACATTGCGCGTGACACTTTCCTGCTTCATGTCTGTGCCCTGCCGTTAAGAAGTGACCGAAATGCATCCCGAACATTCCTATCTTCAGAAGCACCCATCTCTTTCAATGAGTTGCCAAGGAACCCCTCCCATTCTCGGAATGAAATTTAAAAAGGCTCGAGGTACACCTAAGCACTTCTTATGAGTTGTGAATGCAAAGCACGCACGCTTTTTCGTTCCCTTCTTTAATCTGCGGCGTACAACGCGCTGACCTTGGGCGTGGAACGGTGGAGCCGCTGCCTCGCGGACACGCAGCTCCATCAAGTGAGCGATCATTCAAACTTCTGTGTGCCTTGTGGTGCGAGGAAGGAACAGACAGCAACATAGTGCCCAGCAGAACGAACCCCTTGGTTTATTCCATGCGCCGTATTGCCACGTGCCATACAATTGATAAGAGGCCAGTGAATGCGGTGATCAGCGATAACACGACAGTGTGATAACGCAGTCAGGATAACACAAACTGACGCACAGCGGCCAATGGGAGCCTCGTCGACGCATGCCAGCCAATGGGGCCAAAGTGTAAAAGGTGCCGTTAGCTGGCTTTGTGCGGTTTCATTAAGGTGCCGTTTTGCGTGGCTTCAAAGCTGATGACGTCGGCTCGCTCCACGAGATGGGTAATGCTTTCGCATTAAAAAGTTATTACGTAAGCTTATAGGTCATGTTAACAGTAATGCCCATATACTAATACGCGTTTGGCTCACAATTGTGCATTATTAGATAGTTTACATCTGCTAAAATATTGCTTTTACGGAGAAAGCTCTATTTAAAAAGTTAGAAGATCGAGGAAATTTCGGAGCACGGAACCTCTGAAGGTTCTTTTGGGAACACCTTTGTTCCCCAGAGTACCCGTGGATGAATTTCACAAATTAAAGGCTCTACTGATGCTCTCATCACCGTGTAATTGCTGAGGCTGCAAGCCATCAGAAGATTAGAGAGGGTCTATGTGCCTCGTATAAACTTGGAATATATACACTTCACTTTTATTTTTATTTTTTCTCGTATCATCCGACCTCATATTTTCTCTTTCATCCGTTCCTCCTCCACCCTAAGTTTGGTGCCCTCTTTTCAGAATGGAGAGCTTACAAAGCCATGTCTCCTGCTCTCATTTTCTTCTTTCCCTCTTTCGGCACACTCGCAGTTTGTATTAAAGGGCAACTCCGTTTCATTTTTGTTTTCATAAAAACAATGCAGTCCTTTTCAGTATCACCTAGAAACACCACACAACAAATATTTCGACGTAGTTCTGTCTAAATGTTTCTTAAAACAATCCGGCAAACATTGCGATGCACCAAGTTGCCGAAATCGGCTGGCTCTAGCAGACGAATTGAGGCACAACCAACAGAGCAGTCAGGGCTACGGCATGGGCGTAGCCAGCATTGGAGCTAAACGTCATCACCATCGCCCCTTTTAGGGGCTAGCCATGGTTCGTATGTCCGTCCGGCGTCGGGTGCTCGTGCTCACGAGCACGTGCTCCCGTGCTCGTGTAGGGCAAAAAAACAACAATTGCATCTCGACATGGTGAACGATATTGACTGGGGCGAAGCTCTGGTGGTGCTTGTCTGCGTAGACGGTGAGCCACAGCATGCCGAGCCTTTCGTTTGTTTTCATCCATGTCAGAAAGAGAATGTGTGGTATGGAATGTGGTTATATACGCATTTGAGCATTTGACCGCAGCATGACATGGATGGAAACAAACGAAAGGCTCGGCATGCTGCGGCTCAGCGTCTACGCAGACAAGCATCACCAGAGCTTCGCCCCAATCAACATCATTCACCACTTAAAGATGCGATTGTTTTCTTTTTGTTTGTTTTTATTCCTCTAGGCAAGGGAGACATCAGCAATGTTACCTCGGCGCACAATGGCCTCCATGCGGTCAGCGTAATGTGCTTGCGCAGCGCGCCTTTTGGGAGGCGCCCAGCCGTTACCACCGTCTTCCACGTCACAACCGCCGTTGTCGTCTCACTGTTTGTGAGAACTGTCTCTCAGGAGTTTCGTTCACACTACGTAGACGCCAAATTGTGGTGAAGAGTGCTGTGCAAATGCTGCATCCAACACATGCCCGCCCCAACGGTGGCTTTGCCTTAATCCCGAATGTTGTCACGTAGAGGATCACCCGACATCTCGTACCACATAGTCACGTTTTTGGCGGCCTGAGGCTAGTGTTGCCGGACGGAGCCGAAGTTTCAGTTTTGATCTCTGCTCGTGTTTAAAGGCCGACGACCAGTTCACGCTTTACACTTTTTTCTCGCTTCCTCCTTGCCCCTTTCTACCCTATCCACCGTTGCCTGTTTCCTCCTCCCCCATGGTGAGGAGGATATTCTGCTTTGCAGAATCTCGAGTCTGGTCGTCGGCTTTTAAAGTCTTACTCAACAGTGTATATAAAAAATTTTCGCGAAGCAAATGACATAGTGTCATTTATCGGTGTTTTTCAATATGAAATCACTCATTATCCCATATTTTTCGGAATTTAGCAGAGTTGCTGTTCAAGCCAGAGTCACGCTGCTTGTGCATCGTACGAAAGACGCCGCATTCGCTGCAGACGCGACGACAGAATTGTCCTCAGACACGCCCCAGGCACGTTTGCCCCATACATTTGTACGCTTTGAGCATGCCTGCAGGCAGTTTTTGCGCTACCAACGCGACGGGACGGGACCACCATACGAGGAAGAAACGTGGCTCGGCCAGTGCCTATAGATTGTCTTTCGTACGACGTATTATAGCGGCCCGACCGCGGCTATAGGTGACTCGTGGACTGCCCGGCTTCACCGAGTCTGTGCGAAATTTCCCTCAGAAATGGACGGCCTCTTTGTGAGCAACGGGCCCGGCGACCCTACCCAATGTGGTGCCACGGTGAAGACCTTGCGGAGCGTCCTGGGCGCCGGTGCCGAGAACCCCACGCCTGTCTTTGGGATCTGTCTGGGACACCAGCTCATGTCCCTCGCCGTGGGAGCGACCACCTTCAAGATGAAGTGAGTCTGCACGCGTGCCGCGTTCGGGGAGCTTGTGGCGCGTGTACGGGCCGCCGGCCGTGTCTGTGGATCCCGACTTTTCCGAAGGATTACCCACCTGTTTAGAATTGCGTGCCATTTGCGGGGCCAGCTCTTGGCGCTTTCTTGTTCATGGGATTTGGCTTTGACAGCATTGTCACGGCATTGGTGCGATGTCGTTTGCATTTCAGAGGTTCAACGTGACAATGTCGTGGCATTCGCGCAAAGTAATCGGCGTGACAGTCCTCGTGTGACATTGCAACGTCGTGCGATGCCGCGACGTTTCGTGACGGTGTGATGTAACTTGATAGAATAATGTGGCGCTATGCTGCGACACTACGACGTGATACGACACTGATGTCGTGGACCTGTAAATGCTTGTGTTCACGCGCCCTCGGAATATATAAAAGAGGCGGGCAGCTTTTCTTTTTCTAGGCTACTGCACACTTTTTTTTTTACCTCAGTTGGCTTCAGGTTGCTGAAGATTAATGGGATACAATGCCTTCTTGATGATCGATTAGTTAACTTGCCCGAAGAGGGCGATGACATCTCATGTTCGCTGGACGTCATCGGTTCAACTGGCCTGTAGCCTATAGGAAGCGAGCAAGCTGGCCATGTTGCAGCGGTCGCCTATTGTTCGCCGCGACCTAGCGGTAGCCGCCGCAGGAGCATCGGGCAGCAATGGCAACGAAGAGTACGGCAGGCAGTGTCCCCGTCATGATTACGACGGAATTCAAGGCAGTTACGAATTCGGAAAGTTCTTTCGGTAGCGGGTGCCGTTGGCGCAGAATCATAGGGAAGTAATAGCAACGAACACCACAGAGGACAGTGGGCGATTATGAATCCGGAAAGCTTCTTCGGTAGCCAATGCAGAATCATCGGGGGGAAGCAATGGCGATGAGCAGCACGGCGGGCAGTGTCCCCGTCGTGATTACGAAGGAATTTAAGGCAGTTACGAATTCGGAAAGTTCCTTTGGTAGCCGGTGCCGTCGGCGCAGAGTCATCGGGAGGTAATAGCAACAAACACCACAGAGGACAGTGGGCGATTACGAATCCAGAAAGCTTCTTCGATAGTCGGTGCAGAATCATCGGGGGAAAGCAATGGCGATGAGCAGAACAGCGGACAGTGTTCCCGGGGTGGTTACGACGGGGTTTAAGGCGTTTACGAATCCAGAAAGCTTCTTCCGTGGTGCCAATATGACGAAGGGAAAACTTTTCCGTGAATATGGCCGCGTGTATGATGTAAAGGAGGTCCGTTTCTACGGACAAGTGGATGTCACGGAGCGCCGTATTCCTCTAACAAAATTAAGCGCGCCCGAGAAAAATGTAGTTGGCGTTGAGTGGACTGTGGTAATTATGTACGTTTATTTCTGAATCAGCTTGACAATAACTGGGCGATTTTTTTTTGCGTCGTTCTGCGATTCCCACTATCTTCCTGTAGGCTGATGGAAACATCTTAGGTGGGCACCGCATTCCGCTTCTCGTTTCCGGTGAAGTATTTGCTGCATACTTTAGAGTTTGCCGTCGGTGTCGATGCTGTTCCATCGTCGCTAGAATAGAAAAAGAGTTAATTGTATTATTCGTCAGCAGCTTTAACAAAGCGCGAACTGGAAGGTAAGGAACACCACTAACCTGTATGGACGCACAAGCCGCACCCAGGTCGCGCAGTACTCCGCCTCGTAAGGCTTCGAAGGGACGATGTAGTACTTCGTGCCGTGCGCGATCTTCGACGTACTGTTGCAGCCGAACACGCAGCAATTGTTGCGACTTTCTTGGTGCGGAATAGCCATCTCAGAAATTACAGCGCTAACCCACTACAACGCACAACCAACGCAGTGACTGGCAGAAGCTCCCGATGCAACGGACCCGTTTGCCGCTAGGGGCGCCCTGGTCGGGGCTTGACAATATATAGGAGCAGTGATGGAGGAGAAATTTCGGGAACGGGTACATGTGGAAGATAGGAGAACCGAAGGAAGTAGCAGTCCAGTTTGTGACATCGCGGACTTTGGACAAAGAGAATGGGAAAAGGCGGAACGAAGAGTCCCTAGTGGCACGTCGACAGGCACAGATGGTATCTCAATCAAGCTGGTGAAGAATTTGAGTCCTAAATCTAAGGCAAAACTAAGGGAGGTAGTGAGTACCATGATAACAAAAGGAAATATTCCAGATGAATGGAGGCTTAGTAGGATGAGTATGATATATAAGGGAAAGGGAGATAAGTCTGATATTAGGAATTATCGTCCTATAACCGTGACACCGGTTATTTACAGGTTGGTAATGCAGATTATAAAGAACGGACTGGAGGAATGGGTAGGTTGCAAAGGCATCCTGGGCGAGTTACAGAACGGGTTTCGGAAACAAAGAAGGTTGGAGGACAATTTATTTTCTCTGACACAGTGTATAGAAATAGCGCAAAAAGAAAACAGACAGCTCTGGCTGGCATTTCTGGATATCAAGGGTGCCTATGACAATGTGAACCAAAGGAACCTATGGGACATAATGGAGAGCTTAAACCTAGATGGATTAACAGCACTATTAAGGAACATTTACAAAGATAACAAGGTGATTATAACATGGGAAGGAAAGGCGACAGGGAAAATAGAGATAAGACGAGGCCTTATGCAGGGGTGCCCGTTATCGCCTTTGCTATTTATGTTGTATCTGAGAGGATTGGAGGATAGACTAGAGAAGATTGGGCTTGGATTCAACCTTTCTTACAGTAAGCTAGGCCAAAAAATTCAGCAATCCTTACCGGAATTGATGTATGCGGATGATATCGTACTAATGGCTAACAACAGGACAGAGTTGCAGGAATTAATGAGCATCTGTGGTAGGGAAGGAGAGGAATTAGGTTTAGAATTCAGTAGCGAAAAATCGGCAGTCATGATTTTTAACGAGGATGAAGTTGAAAGGCTGAAGATACAGAATATTACAGTTGAGAGAGCTAGTAAATACAAGTATCTAGGAGTATGGATATTTGATGGTGCAGAATATCTCAGTGAGCATGAAAAGTATATAATAGGTAAGGGCAACAGAAATGCAGCTGTAATGAAAAATAGAGCACTTTGGAATTACAACAGGTATGAGGTGGTGAGAGAGATTTGGAAAGGGGTCATGGTGCCTGACTTGACTTTTGGAAACGCAGTGCTATGCATGAAATCCGAAGTGCATGCGAGACTAGAAATAAAACAGCGCGGAGTAGGTAGACTGGCTTTGGGTGCACATTGCAAAACGCCAAACCAGGGAGTACAAGGAGACATGGGATGGGCGTCATTTGAGAGCAGGGAAGCGGTGAGCAAGATAGAATTTGAGGATAGGTTGAGGCAAATGGATGGGGAGCAATGGGCACAAAAGGTTTTCAGCTATTTATACATGAGGAGTGTAGACACAAAGTGGAGACAGCGCACTAGGAAATTAAGAGGAAAGTTTTTAGGCTATAGCGAAGATACGGAAGAGCAAGTCTCAGTTAAGAAGAAAGTTAAGGCCACAGAAAGAGATCGGTGGCTAGAGGGAATGCAGACAAAGACGGCTCTGGAAGGCTATAGATTAAACAAAACAGTTATTGCCAAAGAAAGCATTTATGACAATTCTAGGGGATGCTCATTGCTGTTTGAGGCGAGGACGAGTGTTTTGCGAACCAGAACATACAGAGTGAAGTACCAGGAAATGGATACAGTGTGCACTGCTTGTGGAGAGGAGGACAAGACGGCTGAGCACTTGATACTCTACTGTAAAGGGCTTCACCCTATGCCTACCGAAGACAATATAGATTTAATAAAGTCATTAGGTTTTAGAGACAGCGAAGGGAGAGTGGATTTCAAGACTGTAGAGATCACCAAGCAAAGATTAAGTGAATGGTGGCAGAAATCGAGAGAAAACTAGGTATTTTCTTATTCACTGATGGCAAGGGGGTTTCATAGCCTCACTTTCTTTGCACTGCGGAGTGAATATAGATTTCACATTTAAATATTCTAAGCTTAAATGGTAAAACAAAATGGCTAGGTGGCGTAAGCTACCGCCCGATCCAAAGGGCTCAGCCGTATTCATCCATCCATCCATCCAATTAGATCCGCACGGTTCCTATAGTAAATTCAAACAATCCAGATTGCGGGCTTTGTTTTTTTTTTTAATCTTGTGTAAACGAGCGTGGGACTTTTTTGCCTCCCAAAACTTTTGGTCGCTCAACTTCACCGTGCCTTCTTGCTAAGTATGTATCATAAGTGCTAATTACTCGAAATCTAACAGAGAAACACCTAAGGGGGAGATTTAGAAAGACCCTTCAATGCAGATATTCGACAAATTTCTGGGGATCGGTATATTTGTTCAGCCTCCCAAGATTAAGAAGAGAATCTAGGCTTGCTTGGCACAAAGGGGTAGAGGGAACTAGGCTGATGAATAAGGTTTCTGCATTTTTGTGGTTTATTTTTCTTCAAACTCGGTTTTTTTCTTATTTTTTCTGCATCTTTTTTTTCTCAAAGATTGTTTCTTTCAGTGTTCACATTCGGCATTGTACAAAGAAACGAGAGACTGAAACGGGATGGTGTTCATAGCTGCCAAAAGAAAAACGCATCCTCGTGGACAGTTGTTGAACACGGACTGTGTTCCAAGTCGAGACAAAATGAAGCCGTGGGGTAAAGGTTTCTTTCTGTGAAGTGTGGGATCTTCTTTTTCGAGGACAGCTCCGATTCGTCGGTTATCCGTTTTCTCCGATTTATATGAAACTCGCTCGAGGTCTACTTTTTGGAATTCGTCGATATATAGTGCAATCCACTTACAACAATACCACATATAACTATGTATTGCTTATAACGATCAGTTTTTAGTCCAGATACAACGATTGAAATTTCAAGTTTTCTCAAGATCGTTATAAGTGGACTTCACTGTATACCGAAAACTCGGAACGCTAGTCAGAGCAAACCGTTTCTGTCCAAAGATCTCAGAGTGGAATGTTTGTGTAATGAACCTCTCAAGTTGTGTGTTAGAAACGGCGCTCGCCGGGCGGCGGTCTTTCGAGCGCAGGTACGGCAACCGGGGCCACAACCAGCCCTGCCTGTTCGCCGACTCTGGGCGGTGCTGCATCACGAGCCAGAACCACGGTTACGCTGTGGACGTCTCCAGCCTCCCCAAGAACTGGAAGCCGCTCTTCGTGAACGCCAACGACGAGACCAACGAGGGCATTGTGCATGAGAAGCTCCCGTTCTTCAGGTGAGGTCTTGCGAAGTCGTAGAATTTTTGGGACAGTCTCGCTTTTGCGTTTCTGTGACCGTTGGACTCAAATAGCCGCGCGTGATGCGTGTACTCGAAGAGCAGGGCACTTTTCACTCGTGAATATTTGGCGGCGACTGACTTGAATGGTGTTTAGTGTTCAGTTCGTTTTGTCGTGCAATTCTTGGTTCCACGCCTGAAGGGAGCTGCAGAAACTGTTCAGACTGATGCGCTGCTGTTTCCGGTACCCCTCCGGTTCCACGTCAAAAAACTTCTGTTGGACCTCGTCTTGCACGCTGCAGTGTTTCCTTCACATCCATCCAGCCTTTCATCCAACGAGACCTTTCTGCACCTGTGGTGTATTGAAGTTGCTGAGTGCGAATATGCGGGAACGAAGACATCGGTGGATGCCCCTGAGGCGAGCCCAAGACTCTCTGCGTTAAGCCTGTCACAGTGTCCCATCTCAGTATGTAATGACGACACGCAACAAATATTGTTATTCGTAATGCAGTGGCGCCGCTCACAACGCGATTGGCAATAAGCAATGTTGACAAAAAATGAGGTCCATACACTCACTTGTGTTCGACTGCATTGCGTCGACAAACAGCCGTGAGTCACCAGGTCATTCATGTTTCGTGTGAACCGTGCCAACCAATACAAGGAGTAATTTGGCAATCTGGAAACGAAGCACAAATGTCCTGATTACGCGCAGTCGTAACGCGATACGACGGTGTCGGAGCACAAAGCGCCGCTACAGCTCACTGCGCCATCTACGCTCATGACTGCTAAATTATACCGAAACCAATGGTTCACTATTGACGTCACTTCCATTATAAAAGAGATTGTATGGCGGGAAAGCCAAAGTTTATAGAACTCTATAGAAAGATTGAGCATATTGCTTGGTTTCTAGGAAGTCAGAAAACATCCTTTTCTAAAACAAAAGTTCAAAATCGTCTTCATGGTTCTTCTAAGAACGTCTTTGCCCACGTTCACCCGAAACCATATTTGGTCGCACGTATAACACAGTGTACCAAACGGATTATTTGTGACTGGCACTTCGACTCCCGGTCGGCTGCCGTGTAATGGCAACCGGCTTCTTGTCACGGCTGGGCCTGGTGCTCTTGTTTTGCGACCGTGTCCCTTGCGCCTCCCTTTTCTCACATTGCTGTGCTCGCTGCTGCCGCTCCTGCACCACTTTGGCAGTACGTAAAGCCTCAAGCAAGAGCTTTCATGGTACACAGTCCACTTTGCTGCCACCAAGTGCACACCGAGAAAATTCCCCGCACTCAATCGAGGCTACATCCGTAGGCTGGTTCTAGGAAGGCTATGCTTTTAAAGCATTGCGAAATGTGTGGCACGAATATCAGAGGAATTAGAACAACAAACGAAAAGAATCAACGATAAATTAAGAAGAAAGAATGGAATTTAGAAAATCCTCTCATAAGAGCTGAATCCAGGTCTAAAGACTCATAGTCTGACTTTTCTTGTTCAGCAAGATTATACAAAAACCAAGTTTCTTCAGTTAAAGTTGGTAGGTAGTAGGTTCAAGTGCCCCTTGATTCGAGTGGCTCTAGAAAGATCTCTTTAGAAGCTATGAGAAGCAGACGGTATATTTAGAACGAATACAGCAAGCACTTCTTGATCTTGCAGTGTGCAGTTCCATCCGGAGCACATGGCTGGCCCGGCGGACTTGGAGTTTCTCTTTGACGTGTTCCTGGAATCCGTTCAGGACATGCTTTCTGAGAAACCATGGCAAGTACTTTTTGTCTCGTTTGGCCAACAGCCAAGTTATGCATAGATACAGTGATGCATGGGGCAGTAACACTGATATCTAATTGCAGAAAAACGTTTTGCAAACTAGAATTCTGTAAGTATTTTCCCAGGAGTTAATAGGGATATCTGTAATTCAAGCGGTCAATGCATGCACGCAAACTTTTCAGTTAACGAGGTTTACCAAACGAGTCTTGAGAGTGCCGATTGTGTTCTTTCGGATACTTGAAAGATTTGGCAAATTCCGAACCTTGTGAAAAGTGGACTCTGTGTTCTTGGGTGTTTTTAATGTGAAAGCATTAACTGGTCCCATGGAGCGAACCGACGTCATCAGCTTTGAAGCCGCGCCAAACGGCACCTAAACTTTCCTGTCCTAATGGAGCAAAGTGAAGCCGTGATCTGATGGATAAGCTCCCATTGGCTGGCGTGCGTTATCAAGGAACGAGGCTCCCATTAGCTCTCTTGCGGAGTAGGTAATAAAAACACCACCAGAGGAAACACGCGGAGTAGGTAATAAAAACACCACCAGGGAGTTTTCCTCCATGGCTGCGCCACCATAGAGGAAAACGCCTCCATGGCGGCACAGTGCACACAGTGGCCTGGCCGCTGGTAAAAGATGCGAGCCTGGCGGCACAGCCCGCTCGGGCAAACTCCGGAGAGGCTGCACGGCCGAGCTTAGCATGGCGCGGCCACTTCACGAAAGCGCGCTCGGCCATTGGCCACTACCTCGGCAGTAGCAAAGCGCGGCCGTCCACGCCAGTACGCCACGGACGAGCTAAGGGAGCGGAAGAATGACATTCATGCTTTCTTATTCACAATTCGTAAAAAGTGATTAGGTGTCCTCGAACTTTTGTTTAGAGGGTCTAGATTTTTTTTTAAAAGAAAAGGCCGTGAACGCTGCACTAGTGCAATCTGTGCAGGCGAGTTTTCTGGCCAGGTTGGCATAATACATGGGGCTAATCATCACGATAGGTCGGCGTAAGTAAGAAAAATTAGTTAACTTTTAATTAGTGCAAATAAACAGTGGGTTTCAATCAATAAGTTGCTGTGCATCATTGAAAACCATTAAATCGGTCAGTTTTAGAGAGACCCAAAACACGTGGGACGCACGGCGATGCAGTAAAGTTACCGCTCGTGCTTCAGGCACAAGACTAGCAAAGTGAAAATGCAGATGGCAATCTTGTCATTCGCACTTCATATCTACCCTCTAAACAAAAACCTCTCGAATAGCGGGATCACGCAGTAAGGAGGTTCTATGCCTAGGGTAGTCGTTAGTGTCTCCATCCTTGCAACAGAGATGACAGCATAGTGGGGTAGCCTTCAACGAGCCAAGCCCGAGTGCTAACGGGCGATTTCTTCTGGACAGCATACCCATCCAGAAGCGGATTGCGAACAAGTTCTCCGCCCTGTCCCCGGCTCCGACCGTCGCAGCCAAGAGGCCGAGGAAGGTCCTCATTCTGGGGTCGGGTGGACTCTCCATCGGCCAGGCCGGAGAGTTTGACTACTCGGGATCGCAGGCAGGTGCCTCTCTGTTCTCGTTCGAGGTCGGCACGCTGAGAGCGCTGATCGAGTGAAAAAATTGTCTTCTAAAATTTTGGGGAAGGCACCGGATTTGAGAATCTTTAAAATTATTCTTTCCATATTTGGGACGGCTACTACTTGCTCGTTGTTGCGTTTAACGGAAGATAGCTCTGAAAGAAGAAACTCATTTTTATTCTCATCCGCTTCTCCTCGGAGGCAGGGCCACTAATTAAGCTACGCCTCCAAGTAACGACACTTCGACTGTCTTGACGCCAAAAATCATTATTGCCGGCTATCTGAAGCTGTATCTGAAATGCCAGGAAACACTTTTCTGTACTTGAGAATCGTTGAAATGGTCCGTGACGAAGCGAAACAATATTGCTTGAGCTTCCCGGCGCCGCATTCAAAGCTCGGGAAGTTGCATTTTCTAATCGTAACAATCATTCCCGCTCTGCGCTAGGCAGCAAGATGGCGGCGCCCATGAGGCGACCGGGGAATTGAGTGCCCATACTCTAATGCAGTCTGTTCTGTTCGGGGACTCTACTCTCGGAGTTATCGCTGACATTCTGGACGGAACCGAGACACTCTGCCTCTTACAACGGCCAAAACGTCCAAACGTTCTCGGGTCGTCCCGTTGGAAATCCCCGGACGCGCACCAACGCAAACGTCTCATACTGTTGCAGGCGATCAAGGCGCTGAAGGAAGAGAAGATCCAGACGGTGCTAATCAACCCCAACATCGCGACGGTCCAGACGTCGCCGGGCCTCGCCGACAAGGTCTACTTCCTCCCGATCACGCCCTACTACGTTGAGGAGGTGATCAAGTCGGAGCGGCCAGACGGGATCCTGCTCACGTTTGGCGGACAGACGGCCCTCAACTGCGGCGTGACGCTTCAGCAGACTGGAGTGCTGGAGCGCTACGGTGTGGCGGTGCTGGGCACGCCGATCAGCTCCATCATCCACTCGGAAGACCGCAAGCTGTTCGCCGAACTGGTCGAGGAGATAAACGAAAAGGTGGTGCCCAACTGCGCAGTCTACAGCATCGACGAGGTGAGTGAGCCGGATTTCGACCGTATCGTCCCATACCCACCGGCCCGGGCTGTGAAATATGGTTCGACGGAATTTTTGCAACTTTGGTTGCAACCGTCGAGCCCCATCTGGGGCTCGGATGTACCATCGCTCAGCGGCACGACCTGCCCAAAGTTTCTCTTCTTTGGTCACCCGCTGCGCCGACTACGGTTGCTGACAGGATAAGAAAGGCAGGGCGGAGTTTCGGTTCTGCTTTCATCGCGAGTTTCCTACCTTCGATGATGCTTCGATGTCACGTGATACTCAAGCGTCCTCACTGATCAGGTGCGAGGTGAGGGTGAGTGAGTTCTTTAGCCACAAAAACTCGCGAGTTTGAAGTTGAGTGAGGGGCGTAATGTCTGCAAGGGTCCCGAGTTCAGTGAGTTAAGGTGTTTGGTGAGTTTATGTTTTTTTGAGATCATGAGTTTTGTGAGTGAGACTTTATAAGGTGAATGTGAGGGTGAGTGAGTTTTGACCTTTCTCTGTTCGTGAGTTTGAGGGTGAGAAAATGACTGCTTCATTTTACTTTGAACTGGTTGTGAGAGACTGCGTTCAACAAAAAGTTCCGGCGTCCGGTGCCAAAAGTGACGAGTGCACGTTTCCAGGCGGGGCGTTCGAAAGAGATGTCCTGCCGGTCTGACCTTGTCAGTGACCACAGCATAGCTTTCTTGGTCAACCAGGGCTCGTGGTGTAAATACTTCCATAGCCGACTTCCTCTTATTTATTTTTTTGTGAAACGGTAACTTGTTTTTGCCTTCAATTCCTTGCTATATTGAAGCTGGATGCTTCCAACTTTGTGGCTTTATTAATCTGCCTAGTAACTTGCTTCTCTTTATTATGGAAGACATTCTCGTTCATTGAAGCTCTGGAATGGTGCTTTCCACCTATTCATCGGCCCACAGGGAGAAAGAAAATATTTTATCCGCTTTCTTTTTCTTCCTTTCCATCGCAGCCTTTCTCATTTTTTTCCCCGGGACCACCGACATTGGCGCGTACAACGTTTAGCACATACAACTCCCAAATTTTACTGTGGCATAGAAACGGCCCTTGTGTTTACCACATTTCATCAGCCCGAAGGGAGAAGAAGGACCTATCGTCTGCCTTCCTTTTTCCACTTTTCCATCGCTGTCTTGTCGTTTTTTTCGTGTCCACCCGTGTCGGCACTCACGCCCAGCCACGTTCCGCCCGCGTCTCTGCCAGGCGATGTTGGCGGCGGATAAGCTGGGTTTCCCCATCCTGGTGCGGGGCGCCTTCTGCCTGGGAGGCCTGGGCTCTGGCTTTGCCCACAACTCCGAGGAGCTCAGGGCCCTGGTGGCCCAGGCCCTGGTGCGCTCCAGCCAGGTGCTGCTCGACAGGAGCCTCAAGGGCTGGAAGGAGGTCGAGTATGAGGTGGTGCGCGACGCCTACGACAACTGCATCACGGTGAGTGGGGTGATCCGACGGGGCGGTCACCGTCAATGCGGGACAGCCGGCCGTAGAGGCGTGGCCTGATTTAGGGTTACCAGCTCGTAGAAGAGTGACGAAGCACGATAAGATGTCTGGTGCCACGGTCGGCACTAACTTCTCTTACACGTCATGACCTCCTTATCATGACCTTTGCAATCTATAACATTCTTGCCATAGTATCCCGAAAGATGCCCCGCGCCTGAAAGATAACCCGCCCCCTATTTTTTTTACATGATTTGCTGTTTTCTTCTAAAACACTCAGATAGCCCACTTCTAGTTATTGCAGAGCCTTGTCCAATGGTGACCTCGACCAAAATGGTGTTACCTAGACACGGCAGGAGATAGGCAAACATTACTGATTGAGAAAGACTGTCGTCTTTAATTCGTTAAACCCTCCCTGTGATCACAAGTTTCACAAATCGCAGAATTTAAAACTATCATGCTTACAACTTTTCTTTTTATCGCACTCCGAAAGGTAGCTTTTTCCTTATTTTCTCAAGATTTGTTTTCGATTTTAGGTGGGCCATCTATTGGGATATATTGCGGTAGGACCTTTTCCGCCGTGACTTTACTTTTCATGAACTTGTTACTTTTCACCTTCGTCTTGTCCTTACAACCTTCTTCACCACGACCCTTATGACATTCTTCATCATGACTTGACCTTCATGACCTCGTTTCTCGTGACCTTCTACATTGTGACCTTTTTGACATTCTTGCGGATTTCTTCACCACCATGGCCTTACGACCTCTATGACATTCTTGCGACCTTCGTGTTGTCACGGCCCTCCTGCCCTTGTGCCAATCTCGTGGGTGCCTCCCCTCAGGTGTGCAACATGGAGAACCTGGACCCGCTGGGCATCCACACGGGCGAGTCGATCGTGGTGGCCCCCAGCCAGACGCTCACCAACGAGGAGTACAACCGCCTGCGCACCACCGCCATCCGGGTGGTGCGCCGCCTGGGCATCGTCGGGGAGTGCAACGTCCAGTACGCCCTCAGCCCCCACTCCTTTGAGGTATGCATGCTCTGCCATGCGCCACGTTAAATAGAGTCTAGAGGTTGAATGTTTTTGCACGCTTTAGCAGAGAAGTCGGGGGCTGTTTCTTGGAAGTTTGGTATGTTTTAGCGGTGCTCTAACAGTGTTCTCGAGCACTCTTCATTTGTACGAAAAACCAGACATTTGACTTCCACGCGCAAATGCGAAGTCGAACTCTGATACATAGAATTCAAAGGGGATCGTAAAGTAGCTCAATATATTGATAATTTAATATATGCTGTTCACTTAATCGCAAGAATGAACTATGCATCGTTGAATGATACGTCTTTTTGGCATAACCTAGTGTCCAAGAAAGAGCTGTGCGACTCTTTCCTTGACGAGGACAGCTGCCAACCGTTCTCTCCGCAGTACTACATTGTGGAGGTGAATGCCCGCTTGTCGCGGAGCTCCGCCCTGGCGAGCAAGGCGACGGGCTACCCGCTGGCCTACATTGCGGCCAAGCTGTCCCTGGGCATCTCCCTGCCCTCCCTGAAGAACACGGTGACCTGCAAGACGACCGCCTGCTTCGAGCCGAGCCTCGATTACTGTGTGGTCAAGATCCCCCGCTGGGACCTTGGGAAGTTCCCCCACGTCAGCAACAAGGTGGGTGTGTGGGCACGCCGGGTGCACCAATATGGCTGCCTTCAACATGGACGGAACACTACCCACCGAGACCGCGGGTAGGCAAAGGACGACACGAACACACGAAAAGTTTCAGTCTTTTTGTGCGTGTGTCATGCTTTCCTTGCCTGCACTCTCGAAGCTGTGCTTTGTCTAATCGTCACCAGCTCATTTGTGCCATAACTTCCTGTTCTTCAGTATGGACTTTTTTTTTTTTTTTTGAGTAACGAGTGCCATCTGGCAATTGTCTGCTAACTATGAACAAAGGGCAGCCGAATGTTCCTACAACCGTCAGAACCCATTGGCGTTTTGCCATCGTATTGGTCTTTATGCCCCATACTATCATGCCCACAAAAGAGTTGTCAAAAACGACAAACTATGTGCAAAGACGGGTGCTAAACAAGTTGGTCGTGCGGGACAGTGCCTTCCGAAAATGGCGACGGCAGGGAGCAAGGTTCAGGGGAGTGGGTGTGGGGCCTTACTGGAAAAGGGTCCATCACAGTGCCTCCAATGTGTTTCGACTGATGTGCTTCCTGTCCCATCCTGCCCATGCATTGAAAGTGCTCCCGAAGTGGCAACTGACTGAGTCACTGGAGAGAGTGTGTCGTGCCGTCGGATGTCACAATCCCGGCAATCGGCCGTAGGAACGCCAGCACGAAAAGGCGAGCAGACGCATGAGTAGCCGTCGTCGCGGCATCCCATCTCGCATTGGTTTCCGTGGGCTGCCCGGCTGCTGAGCGACCTGCAGCGGAGCATGCGTCTGCCGCAGGTCGCTCTGCTAGGATCGCAGCCGGTGACAGCTAGTGTCGCCGAAACTCCCAGGCTCGATAGCGCCAAGATGGCGGCCCAATCTTCTTCTTTTTTAGTCGTTATGAGCTTAGAAAACATGTTTTTGCGTAAAAACAGAACGGAAAAAGCCCTTTTCGTATGAACTTTTATTATTGGAGATTAGTACAGAATCACGGAAACGTGATGTCTTCGTGGAATTTTAGTTTACAAGGTTTTGCAGCACAATTAACATCGTTTTTATACAACCTTGTCTCTCCGGTGATTTCAGGTAGTGCCTCCCGTCCTGGGTGGGTCCAAAGTTCAGTGGCAATTCGTGGCGCGTTTACTTCGAAGACAGGGTTTGGCATTCCCGAAACCCCTTGCAGTGTATATGTTTCGGCGCCAAAATGGCCGATCAAAGCTGTAATAGTGCTGTCGCTGTGGATGCTATCAAATATAATACTCTGGAAAGATTCAGTGACTAGTTACATACAGCATGAAACCTGTACGTCATCGGGCGGAAGTCGAGGGAACACTTTTGAGACGACAGCAGACTCACCAGCCGGAGATGTGCCCCAGGCACCATGTACCAATGCAGCTGCCTCTCCACCAGGAGTCTTGTTACAAAGTCACAGTCGTACGGTTGCAGATCGGGAGCTCCATGAAAAGCGTCGGGGAGGTGATGTCCATCGGACGGTCGTTCGAAGAGGCGTTCCAGAAGGCGATTCGGATGGTCGACGAACTGGTCTTCGGACTGGACCCGTACCTCAAGCCGGTCAGCGACGAGGTAAATGTTTGTGTTTATGTTAATGGACGCATTAAAACTTGCATGCTCAGCGGTGTAAGACCTCATTAAGGTGCCCACGCCGAACCAGAAGTACCCGGATGCCGTGGGGGGCCCCTACGGACGTTAACAGGACAGTCACGACGAGACGTTGTGGTATAGTGGGGATAGGTACACAGCCTTGTATACAGTCACAATAGCAGATGTGAATTTGCCCTCGGCATAACAGGTGCTGGACATTTGTAGAAGAGTAATGCAACATTTGTGATCCCTGGTCACGTGTGCTGTCACAGTAAGGGTTGAAGAGCTTAAAGGGAAGCTGACAGGTCAAAATCATATTATTGTTTATTATTGGAAATGATTGAAAATGATGCCTGGACATCACCCTCGAAATGAAAAGCTTAGGAACTCGGTATTTGTGAAGTAAAAGAACAATTTCCAAAAGGCAAATTTGAAGTTCCCGCGCGATCCTCGTCAATGCAGCGTCGTCAGAGATTGAGTCGTCCTGCAACTCGAGTTTCTCTCACGCCTCTGAACTGACCAGACCCGAAATGTCATGTTCGCCCGCGAACAATTGCTCTCCTCCGTGCGTACTGACTATTGCCGTGTGCAGATGATGCTTCACTTTCGAGTTTGAAGTTCGTTTAGGGCCCTTGCAGCGATCTCAAATTCTTTGAAATGGTGTGAGGTTGAAGAGAACGCAGTGGACCTTTGTGAGCGACATGAGGGGCTATGTCACGCCAGCTCTGTGTGAGAGGCTGCCCCGGCTAAGTCACAATGCAAATTGGTACACAGACACCAATCCCAGTTGCTTTGACCATTTGACGATTTCCTTTTCGAAGTCTGAGAGGTCGTCAGGCACATACAAAAGAGAACTTCGTTCGATTCCCCGACTCGCCGATCATCCTCAGTGCTACATGTGCGGAGCGCCGCGGTGCCGCCATGTTTTCTGAGGGAGGAGGCGACATCACTCCGGACTCCAATTTTCTGTATTTCTAAACGAAAGGCCATAATGCGTTTGCAGTTGCGTAAAAAAAAAAAAAAATTTTTGTGACTGTTGGTATTAAATATTATAAAAATGCCACTTAGAAACCTTCTAAATTTCATAATCAATTACGTCACAAAAAAGAAGCGAGGAGGTAAAAGGGGAAAGAAAAGCAGCAAAATTAAAAAGGTTCGCGTGTATGTGAAAATAATTTTTCGCATTGTGGTACTTTTTGCGTGTTCAAAATTTGACATTGCCAGATAGTGTCCCCCTTAAGAAGGAGGCGTTAAAAGTAGATGTGCTTCTGTGGGAGATCCAAAGTTTCAGTTGACGACTGGTGCGTGATGATAAGTGAAATGGTTCTGAAAATAGTGCCTGGCAAAGTGTTGGGTTCGAGCGATACATCTTGTGAAACCAATACGGCTGGGAAATTTTCCTATGAAGGGAGAGACTAGGCAAGAACAGGGCTGCTTTCATAGAGGTGATCCTAGCTGTTTAGTGACCGTTGGAATGTATACAATATAGTATACATATATATATATATAGTATACAATATAGTATACTTAGAAAGTATAGCTCGCGACCATAAGACTGCCACTTTAGTCCAAAGAATTTTAACCCAGAATACTCCATATCACTCTTCTATATTCAGTTTTCCAAAACGTGAAACCCGACAACTACATTATAATAACCTTAATTTGCCGATAACTTACAATGCTTACGGGCGCCGCTTAATATCGTTCATTGGTGCGAAGATATGGAATAACATTTCATGTAATATAAAACTAGCAACAAATTTTGTACTCTCATTAAAACGATTTATTTCATCTGAAGTGTACAACTCACCCTGTTAATTCTGTACTAGTAGTTATATTATTTGTGCAGCTATGTATAGATTGTGTGAATGCCTATAGGATTGTTTTAAATGTGAATGTTTTTTTAATGGATCCATTACTAGCCATGTAGGCTATGGGTCCAGATGACTAATCAGACATTTCTTTGTACATCTTTACGTGAATAAACATTGATGATGGTGATGAATGAGCAGAGTCATTTTGGATAGTTTTTATTTCAGTTTCAAGGGTGATGCTAGGCTCCCAGATTGAAGCTGCATACTCAAGTTTAGTATGAATTAAATTTTTATAAAGAAGTTTGAATCAAATGGGGCTAGAGAAAAGTTCCTTTTGATGTAACCCAATAATTCATCAGCATTGTTATTGACACAGTTAAAGTAGGTATTCCAGCAAAGATCATTAGTTATGTGAACATCGAGGGGTATTCATACTAGCAGGGTACGTATTAATGAGGCATGACTGTTTGTGGGTTTCTGTGAGAACAGAGGCCTGCAATGAAGCTTTTCTCGCATCGTATTTCTGTGGGTCGACGCAGAAGCTCAAGTGTCCAACAGACAAGCGGATGTTCTACCTGGCGTCAGCGATCAAGGCGGGCTACTCGCTCGAGCGCCTGAACGAGCTCACGCAGATCGACCCCTGGTTCCTCAGCAAGATCATGAACATCATCAAATACCACACTTTCCTCGAAGGTCTTCGAAACAAGGTGAGTTGTTGGGTGGAGGGTTGCGGCAGACTGTGCGTAACATTTCCTTTGTCTTTTTACAGCCGGAGGCACTTTCATACGACATCCTGAAGCGTGCCAAGCAGCTCGGTTTTTCGGACAAGCAGATTGCGCAGTGTGTGGAGAGGTCAGTGTCATACTTTTGTTGTCGGCTTCTATTTATTTTTTGTATTTTTTTTAGATGACCAGTTATTTGATAAGAATTATTGTGCAGACGATAATTTGTGTTGTTATTATTTGATATTTTTTTTTTTTATTATCCTCCGTCTGTAGGCATGTAGTCGTGCGAGTAAAAGTCTCGAAGTGTCTTCCAGAGTTAACATGCATAACTCCAGTTTGGTCATATTCCTAAACTAAGATATATAAATCGGAAAAAAGTGTCTTCGTAAAAGTAGGATCGCTTTGGTACACATATTCGTGAAAAGTGTGCTTGTCGAGACAAACGCTTAACACATCTGGGGTGGGGTGGGGTGGGGTGGGGTGGGGTTAAAAGGCATTTGATGCTTTTAAAAGCTCTAGAAGCAGTGTTGCTCCTGAGGAACCCCTCGGCTGTACATAGGCAGCGGGTACAGCTACCAAACCCATCCGCCCGGTTGCATCTAGCACTTGTAGCTGTCCACAATATGGCGCTACCTATAGTGCGTTGCAGGTGCAGAATAGCAGGTGAAGCTCCTTCCATGAAATCCTCCGTCCTTTCCACTTTAGCAGTGAATGCGAGAGAGGAAGTGAATGGACAGGAGGAAACCATGCATGCACCAACCGCAAAAAGTAGGGATCAGTGTGACGAGGGACTACTCCCGCTGTTCTAAACCTGAAATGCAGCCATGAGTTTTGCCTATTGTTTAAAATTGCAGAAGAATCAAAAACAGGCCTGCAAGTTTCGGGATTTTGTTTTGTGTCTTTCCCGTTGGCCCTTTCAGCATTCTTGTGCCTCCGACCGCGAAGGCGTACGCTGTTTCCACCCGTCTTTTGCCTGCAGCACCGAGCTGGTGGTGCGCAAGACGCGTCAGGAGCTGGGCATCGTGCCGCTGGTGAAGCAGGTGGACACGGTGGCGGCGGAGTGGCCGGCGGCCACCAACTACCTGTACCTGACGTACAACGCCACGAGCAGCGACCTGGCCTTCGTGGCCCAGAGCGCCATCATGGTGCTGGGCTCGGGCGTCTATCGCATCGGAAGCTCGGTCGAGTTTGACTGGTGCGCTGTCAGCTGCGTCCAGGAGCTCAGGAAGGTGGGCTCGCTTCTCTTTCGGAATGTCTACAGTCTCGCAGACAGAGTCTGGAAATAGAATCTGACCAGAGCCCAAGGACAGGCCACCCTTCAGACATAGTCTGAGAAGTCGGCAGACAGTCTGGAAATGGAGTCTAAACACAATTCAAAAACATTCTGAAAACTTAGTTGGACATGCCTGCAGACAGAGCCTGGAAACGTTGTCCAAACATAATCCACACGTGGTCTAAACATAGCCTAACATAGTCTAAACATAGTCCAGAGATGGTCTGCAAACATCTGAAGCTTATCTACAGTCAGAGTCTAGAGTCTAAACACACTCCAAAGGCAGTCTGAAAGCAGTGTGAAAAGTCTGCAGACAAAAAAGAAAACTGTCTAAGCACAGTAAGAAGACTGTTTGCAAACATAGTCTGAGAACCGTCTGCAAAGGGAGTTTGGAAACAATGTCTAACCTTGGTCCAAAGACAGTCTGCAAATATAACCTGAAAAGTCTGCAAACAAAATCTGGATACTGTTCAAATCCAGTCCAGAGACATTTTGCAAACTGTCTGAAAGCCTGCAAACAGTCTTGAAATAGTCTAAATACAGTCCAAAGACAGTCGGCAAGCGTGGTTCGAATGATCTGCAAACAGTCATGAAACGGTCTGAAAACAGTCTGAAAACGAACGGTTTGAAAACATCCTTGAAACAGTGCCTGGAAATGGTCTGCAAACAGCCTAGAAACCTACTGTAAAATACTGTGCAAGTGCCTACCCAGTCTAATCAATTGAAAGTCAGGAAGGAATGCCCGTTAGGTCCAAGACCAAAAATGCAGAAGGGGCACATATTAGAATGGGCTTCATAGCGTTGCACTTGGGTGCGTGGAGAAGTGGTTTATGGGGAGGAGCAGCTCAGTTAGCTAGGTGGGCTCAGGAGTCTGGGGTGTGTGCTTGATACATCTTTTGCTTAGTTCTTAAATATTTCAAAGGTAGCGGGAGTGCACTTATTGCGACCTGAGCGCATGCTAGACATTTTACCATATTCTGGAAGCAGAGCCTGATACAATGTCGTCAGAGTCCGTTTAGGGTTTCAAAAGAAAGCTTCCCAGCATAAACTGCTTAAAAGTTCAACATAGAGTGTCACAAATGACCTCTGTATTATGGGTAAAGGTGCCACAGCCGCTAACATCCTCAAGCAGGAATCCAACATGCCATAGTTTATTGACATATGCACCATTTTTTTTTTTAATAACATAGCTAGGTGTTCTTGCGGTGTTGTATGGCTTGCTCTGGTCTTTGTAAGACAAATTGAAATTCTAGATTGTTCCTGGATCTTGGTGACAATGCTACGTGCACTCCGATTCAAGACTGACCCTTTGACAATTTGTATTTTTGTTGTGACCAACAGCTCGGCAAGGCGACCATTATGGTGAACTGCAATCCAGAAACGGTGAGCACGGACTACGACATGTGCGACCGGCTCTACTTCGACGAGATATCATTTGAGGTAGGTCCTGTGTTCACTCGTTCCTTTCATCCCATTGTTTTGTAGTCTATCGAGATCTGGTTGTACCTTCTTACAGGATCATGAGGGAATAACTGATCCCTGGTAAACACAGCAAAATGGTGGCACCCATGTGTGGTTGAACAAACTACCTAGTTCGTATACTACACCTGTGTGCACCTTTTTACACATAATGCATTTTACGAAAGTTACATCTGAAGTTTGGAACTTTTTAGGGAGTGGAAAGACACATCCTATCCGTTGTCTTACAGTCAACATGTGGCCTCGATATGTCGCGCAAAAAGGAGACACCAGCTGCAAGCATGTCGAGCCTTTTTTGGCGAATCTTCGGGTGCAAAACATTTTGCTGAATCCTTTTGTGTTGTGCCGTCGGTAAAGTGGTCCTCTGGGGATTTTGGTAGGGGGCTTCCCTCGCAAAGTTTAATTTTAACTTTGGAATGGCTGATCATGTGCGAGAGCTGATCCGACTCATCGTCTTTTTTTTTTAATTCTGAGACTGCAAGGTTTTTTTTAGAATGAGTTAGCCGGCATAGATATGCACAGTGCTCTAAACTAAAAAAAAAACTCACAACTGAAAAAAAAAAAAAAAGCTTTTAAGAATTTGAGCAATTTCATAATCTTACTGGCCACATATGTGCAGTGTGCAAAAATCTTGAATTCTCCTCGTGCATACAACTCTATTTCACTTCCACTTAGAACTAACCTTCTAGGCCAGCTACCCTCGTTTATTGTTTGGTTGAACACACTAATGCTCATTTGTAGATGGAGAAAATTAGGATTGCCGTCTTTCATGTTTCTGTTTCCTTATAGATCTCCTAAATTTTCAGGTGAGGGTTCTATTTGTGTGTGGCTCATCAGCTAGAAAAAGTGATGGATGAACTAATGCCTTTGACCCTGAATGTTGTCCCGCTCATAGCTTGTAGCACCGCTTTTCTTAACCAAAGAGTTTGCAACAAGTCACTTTTCCATGATTGTGGTTCCCATTCAGACGGTGATGGACATCTACACTTTAGAACAGCCCGAAGGCATCATCCTCAACATGGGAGGCCAGCTGCCAAACAACATTGCTATGGATTTGCACAGGCAAAAGGTTTGCACTTCCTTTTCTTCGTTTAGCAAGTAACACGTTGACGAAATGCCATTGCGTGTGTTTCATGCGTATGTTGAGGCGCCTTGTTGTGTTGTGTATGACATTTGTTTGGGACAAGTGGCACGCTTTGACGCACAGGCGCGGATCATGGGAACATCCCCGGAATCGATCGACTGCGCCGAGAACCGCTTCAAGTTTTCGCGGATGCTCGATTCCATCGGAATATCCCAGCCTCGCTGGAAGGAGCTCACTAACCTTGAGGTGAGGACAGAAGGCGTTGTTTACCCGAAACACTATTCATTTATCCTGGGGTTGCACATGACTGCACTACCGAGACCCATACCCTAAGGGGTCCATTACAGCCCGAGGGGACATCTAAGATGAATTTTCTCTCTTCAACCGTCGTCTCGGCTGAGGCGTGGCCCTTGCGAAGAATCGTGTTTTGTATGCCAACACACATCTCTGCTAGTGTTTGACACGGGGTGCTTTCGGGGATCTTGTTACAAAAAAATAAATACACTCTTGGAACCAGTTGCTAGTCTGCTACTTAGAACCAGGTGTATTCAAGTTTGTCCTGTAGACAACATCAGTACAGTACAGGGGTGGCCAAGCTGCGGCTCTTCGCGTGTTAAAGTGCGGCTCGCGGCTCTCTCCACCCCCCCCCCCCCCCCCCCCCCCCAGCACTTCCGGTCACACGAACACTTCCCCAAAAAGAGAAATGGAACGAGTTTTGAATCGAAAGTCAAGTAGCGGTTTGGTAGTCTTGTGCTACTGCTACCTTACGTATACAGTTGGGCTACTCGGATAGATTGAAAGTAACTCGAGTTTCGTTTATTGCTCTGGGAAAGTTTGACCCCCCCCCTCTCCTCTCTCTCTCTCCCCCCCCCCCCCTCCCCCCCCCCGCGCCTCTTGGAAGTTTCGTGGTTTGCTTTGTGGCTCTTAGGCCGGGTCAGCGTGGCCGCCCATGGTATAGTATATCTTGATGAGGGCACAAGACCGGGACAAGCTGCCAGGGGTTCATCGATAACTTGCACTTCCTTTCGTACACGAGTTTTCGATTCTGTCGCCGCTGTGAAGGGCCAGTTTCATTGCAGAAGGGGATCTCTCCTTGATTGATTATTTTTGTTTCTACTTTTTCCTGCCATCAACACCTGATAGACTAAAGCACTTGCTTGACATTTGAGAAATGCATCGCTTCCCATTAAAGTTGTGTCTTCGCGCCACAAACTCGTATCAAGCTGCGGTCGGCAGTAGCCCACCTTTCTTCCGCCAGGGGCAACCTCTGACCGAAATCCGGCGAAGCGTTGTGCGGCTTTCGTCACACGACGGAACAGAGACACGAGATTGGTGTGGATGGCACAGGGCTCTTCCCTCCCCAGTCAGACGTTCTTCCTCGTTCTTCCTTTGCAGAACATCAAGTCATTCTGCGAGGAGGTTGGCTACCCGTGTCTGGTTCGTCCCAGCTACGTCCTTAGCGGGGCGGCCATGAACGTGGCCTACTCTCACCGCGACCTCGAAGGCTACCTGAGCGAGGCGAGCGCCGTCTCCAAGGAGCACCCCGTCGTCATCTCCAAGTTCATCTGCGAGGCCAAGGTGGGCCGCCGCCTTGTTTCTCGCGTTGTACGAAACGTGACGACCTAAGGGAGCGGAAGAACGACATTCATGCTTTCGCGTTCACAGCTCAAAAGAAGTGCTTTGGGGTCCTCGGAATTTTTTGTTCCCTTACCTGGAGGGCCTCACAAAAATGTTTTATGTAAGCATTAGCTCAACCAATCGCACGTTTCTAGCAACACAGAACTTGAACTGAGCTAAAATAAAATTTAGAGGAACCATCGTCTCCAGAGCTACCAGGTTGACATCTGGTCACCGAGCGTGGTTCGTTCAGACGGTGCGGCCGTACGACCAACAGCGTCTACGTTGTCGACGCGCAGGAAATCGACGTGGACGCCGTGGCCAAAGACGGCGTGGTGGTGGCCATGGCAGTGTCGGAGCACGTCGAGAATGCCGGAGTGCACTCCGGGGATGCGACCCTGGTGACCCCGGCCCAGGATCTGAACCCCGAAACCCTGACCAAGATCCGGGCCATCTGTCAGGCTATCGGACAGGCCCTGTTGGTCAGCGGGCCCTACAACATGCAGCTCATCGCAAAGGTCGGTCTGGCACGGGTTGTGGTTGGGAGGGTGTCAATTGTCAATTCTGTAGGCTGCAATTTCTTAAAGTTCCTGGGAATTCACGAGTTCTCTGAAAAGCCTGGGCTACCGAAGCATTCCAGGGCCAGTTTGTCTATCAATGCGATCATCTCGGTCAGTGGGTAAAGTAGCCACAAGGATTCTGAGGTCACGTGACCGGCTCTGTGGGGAAGAAGTACCTATAGTCAGTGACTGGTTAAGAGTGCAGGACAAGCTTCTCCTGCAATATCCTTCACTCTTTCCACTTCAACAGAGCAAACGCTAGAAAGGAGGCAAAGAGAAACTCTCTTCCTTCCTTTCCAGCGTTCGCTCTGCTGAAGTAGAAAGGGTGGGGGGCTTGGGGAGAGGAGCACCGGGGCCTTTCAGTTGATTTCGCTTGTCTTCTTTAATTCTCTCTTAACACGACCTTCCTCGGAAATAAATTTACACGCCGCTTTTGAGGTACAGCAATGTTGTTCATTTGTTGTATCATAAAATCTTGAGCAAGCTGGGGGATGGCCACTCTTTAGGTCAACGATATGTAAAACTATGTTTTTTGTATGTTTTCCGAGAGTTATCAAATTGACGTGTAGGAAGATATTCTAGATTAGGCGGTTGCTCTGCATTTTACGGTAGGTTCACACGTATTACCCACCCCTGCTTATAACCCGCACCCCCAACTTAATACTCTCAAAAAAAACAGAAATATACCTCATATTTTCCGCACTAACTACGGAAAGCAGTGTCCAAATCTCGCTAGAAACCGTACCTTTATTTTGAATACACTCATCGCTGCAGTCACTGCAGCTTTCTGATGTGCCTTCACTGTCGCAGGTAGCATCGTAATCCATCGCGCACGCACAATTCGGCACCGAGCGGAAGGCTGTAGTCCCGGCCTTTTGCTCGGTTTCTGATCTCTTGGCAACGTATCTCGCGATAGTCACACATTTTGCCGAAGAGATCAGAAACCGCGAAAATCGTTGCCGTCGACTGCAATGCATGCTTTACAGCAATAACGCTCAGCGCGCTGCCGTCGAATCGATGACGACTCTGTTCTGCTGCTCCGCCGGCAAAAACAATGCAAAAATGGCTACTCGAAAGAAGGTAATAAAGAAGGAGGAGAAAGTGAGAAAAAGAAAGTCCCTTGAAGAGACCGGAGATTTGGAGTCTTTGAGGGATTCTATCCATGTAACTTTGCGTGCATTGCCGTGAAGCTGCACTGTCCGCCGAAGTTCTCTAATAACCCGTGCCCCTACTTCGCCTTGGATTTCGTATCAAAATTTTGATGCAGGTTATACGTGAAAAAATGTAATGAGCATGAAATTGGATTTTTATACTCCAAGCGAGGACAAACTTATGGCATGCCTGTAACGCTAGTCTCATGATGTCAGTGGCTGTGTGGTGGCAGCGATAGTGACCTCGTAAAATAAACTTGCTGAGGCCCAAGTCAGGCACTCAGCACTTACAGCGGAACGCAAGTGTTTGTCGACGTGGCCTCGCCACGAGTCTGCGATTAGGACAGCGGGGTAAATTTATTTTCTTGTTCCCACGGAGTCAGTTAAGTGACCTAAACATCTCTCTTGCGGAAGAGTTGACCGCTGGGAGCAGTATCCGCATCATTAGCAAACCAGCCCTGGGGTTCTTATGTAGTAATTGTGTATTGTATGCATGATTATGCAGCCGGAAGTTAGTCAGCCCCAATGAGCGCCTGGTGTCTCAGCTGTAGATGAGCAATCTAGCCAGAGCGGTACAACTGCCAGCCTTGGGCCTTTAATGTGCGCCGCGCAGTAGTGGTACGTACATGACCTCACGCCGGTACAGTCAAACCCGTTTATAACAAACAGCAGCAAACGCTACGATCAGTTCGATATAGAAAGTAGTTCGATGTAGCATAAACCTTTTACAACGAACTTTCACAATGCTTTCGTTGTAAGGCGAGAGCTTCTCTTTCTCTCTCATCTTTTCGCTTCCACCTTGTAATAAAGCGGTGGAATAACTTTTTTTTGCATATGTGCAGAAGATTTGTTTTTCTTTCTTTTTAGAAGCTTATTTTTCCTTTTGAATCACTTCCCTTCAAAGGCAACTGCTTTGGGATGGTTTTATTTTCGGTGTGTGTGTGCAGTGTTTTTTTTTAGCTTTTTTTCCCTTCTGAATCGCTTCTCTTCGTCAATTTTGTCTGTGGCAGGAGCTTTTAAAATTTTCTTTCTTTCATAGATTTTTTATGGGGGGGAAAGGACAGGCTAGAAGGCGATTGTTTGCACGGTTTGGAAGCCTTCCCGGGGAGAAAAAGTTCAATATAGCCAATATGTTGTTCGGTATGAAAAGTACTTTTTACATGCACTTTTATTTAAATTTTCCGTGAGTTCGATATCGCCAGTAATTCGCTGTGTGTGGGTTTGTTCTAAACAAGTTTCATCCAGATTGAATCGGGCAGGGGTGAAGATTGAACCCAGGATCCCTGAGTTGTGCAGCACAAGCTTTCACTTTCTTATGTGACCATTTACACAACTTGGACAGCCATGTTTATCTCTTTTTTCATTTTTTTTTTTCTTTTGGCACGACAGGACAACCAGCTGAAGGTGATAGAGTGCAACCTGCGGGTGTCCCGCTCTTTCCCGTTTGTGTCCAAGACGCTCAACTGCGACTTCGTGGCTCTGGCGACGCAAGTCATCCTGGGCTTGCCCATAGAACCCATCGAGGTGACCTTTGGGTGCGGCAAGGTCGGCGTGAAGGTTGGTGCTCGTTTTTCGGCCCTCCCCTCGTCTTGTGTCTCTTCGTTGTATCTTAGAAGAGATTATGAAAGAGATGATTTATTCTTTTACAACTACACATTTTTCGCTCACATTCATACTGTTTCATCTATGCACCGCAATATGAGTGCTATAAAGCAGTGGGTTTCAACCATTGATGTTTTGCGAATTCCTTATGGATCAGTGGAGATAATGGAGGACCTCATTTGCGGCACGGGTATAGATTAATTATGATAATGATTTAATAATTCAATATAACTAAGGGCTGGTGCAAAGTAGATTTCTCTCCTTGACATGTGAAAACTCGCACCAAAGTTTAGAGATTTCTTCTCAATCTGAAAAAAAAATAGACAACTTTTATTGTCGGGTTTGACTGATGAGACAGGGCTTCTCAGATCCCTAAAATGCCTTCGTGGACCCCATTTGAGAACGACGGCCATGAAGCATTCTTTCTGTAATTGACAATTGGAGGTTTATATTTTTGCGATGAGTAATCCTTTAATTTTGCTCGGTGGAGCTGGGAGGGGAAGTACAATAAAACTAGTAGTCTCAGAAAAGGCTAAATGTGAGAGATGAAAATCTCTGCAGCCAATTGCCACCTGACGCATGATGAGTCATGTTAGACTTAGTAATATTAGTGGCCTCAGGGTAATGTCACAGTGATGTCACCTTGACGTTATCACATGACAAAGAGAAGTATCATCCAGTAATGAAAAAACAGTGAGTGCGCAGGCGAGCTGGTGTTATTTAATCATAATGTAACAGCTGAGACTCTGGCCGCAACAAGATCAAAAAACCTGCAGGTCGAACAGTAAAAGAATGTCTCCAATCACTTTTTTTTTTTCTAGAGGGTTTCGGGATTCATTGTAAAAGAAAGTGTCTCTAGGTCATAGCCATTGTGAGAAAGGGATGTACAGTTTAGATGAATATGTGTACCGTTATCAAGGTCTTGCAGTTGAGAGGTCATTCTGTTGTGTCCACAAAGAGGACCCAACCGACCCACGAAGAGTTCAGTAACGCCAGCATCAGATGTACACATATAGGGAGCGAGAAAAATAAATTTAAATTAACTGGATTTGAGACGTTCTCCTATTGGTGTCTTTGCCTTCGACTTGAAAGTTTCTTAAAATATCCGCATTACAGTCTCGGGTGTTTCATTATGATGATTTATCGTCCAGCCTTGATATGGCCTTCTGCTCTCATCGGCAGTTTGATTTATAATTGCCATCGAGTCCCTGCAGACAATACGAGCTGAGTGGTTCAACCTTTCTCTGTGCCTGCGGTCCCCACGAGCTCTGTTGTCTCAATTTGCCCACTGGTCTGAAGCCTGAAGCTCCAACTTCGCATTCCATTCGTAGTTTGAGCCACAGCTATCTCAAAAATGGCAGATACACCAAAGGAGCATGAAGGGCTGTCTCGGCTCGTAATGTCCGCGATGTAACTCCTGAAATTTCCTACAGTTTGCTTACTTAGCGCAGTTGAATACCGCTGATAATTTTATAAAGCCCTCTGTGAAACCAACAAGTGTTTTGAGAAAGGCCGAATCTTTTCCGAATTGTCGAAGCCCGAAACAAATATGCAACTCTTAAGGGGAGACACTGCTCTTTGAAGCAAAAAATAAAAAAAAGAATACTAACTTTTGAAATTGTGTTTCTGGAGATTGACAGGCACTTATCATATTCTGCTGAAGTATTTTCGTGAAATAAGTCTCTTTTTATCTTAAAATAATGAATTGGGGCGGCGGTGCGGGCTAGTTGGTTCATGCTTTGTAGATTTGACACAGTGCACAAGAAACAATGACGGAGTAGAAGGGGGTACACAAGCGCTTGTCCTTTGTACCTCCTTCTTCTTCGTCTTCGTTTCTTGTGCGCTGTGTCGAATCCCTTGAAATTTTGACTTCAAAAATATGGAAAAAAATGGGTCTGTGCATGTTTCTTGCTGTTATTTAAGAATGTAGTATTTACACGCTTTGCTATTTTATGGAAGCCATATCTTTACGTGCACACATCCAGTCTTCATAATTTTTTTCTTCTCTGGTAGATAAATCTGGAAGCAATCCAATGAGGGGTATAAATCTGTGACCTATAGCGTCAGGTTCTTTCTTTTAGATGCCTCTTATTACATCCTGCAATAAATAATTTGAAAGCATCACAAAAAAGTTATATAAATGACCCTAGAGCTTTCATTCTTACCTTATTGGATTCCACACACCTTTCTGCTTCCCGTGATAATTTTTCCCCCTGATTTCAGTGTTTCAATTTGTCTTTCATAGTCTTTACATATCAGTATTAACAAAACTAATTAATTAGGCAATATTGAAACCGAGCGTATATTTGTAGTCAGGTTGTAAAGGCAGATAAGCTACATAAATTTCATCTGAATTGGATCGCAAGTTACATTATAAAAGCTCTAAAAGCATTTTTGCCCCTTAAAGCAACGTCGCACGCGTAGCCATTTCGAGCCATCGGTTACGTCTGCGTTTGGACTGCCAACGAGTCCCGGTTGCCACCGTCCCAGGTGCCGCAGTTCTCGTACTCACGCCTGGCGGGAGCCGACATCCGCCTGGGGGTGGAGATGGCATCGACGGGGGAAGTGGCCTGCTTCGGGGAGAACCGCTACGAGGCGTACCTCAAGGCCCTGGTCAGCACGGGCTTCTGCATCCCTAAGAAGAACATCTTCCTCTCCATCGGCAGCTACAAAGTATGTCGCCGGACCCAGCGCCGGTGGCTCACCACAGTTGTATAACTTCCCGTAGATACTGCACAACAAAGAGGTTTTGGAGCCGCGTCTAAGTATTCATAGCTGTGGCGCTGCCAGCGCTTTGTGCGCACGCACATCGTCTGCCAGCTGTGCCGTGAGGAGGTTTCACGCGACATACTTTCGGCTCAAACTCTCGCCAGACGCCATATCGGTGAACTTTCGTTGTTTGTCTCGACCGAGCTAGAGTGTCTTCCAGCTCAGTCGACGTGTTTTGCGTTGTGATTGGCTGTGTCTGCCGGCATGGTCGGGGGCACAAGGGAGCATCGTCTGACACCTAATTATCGTACATACCGGTCTTTATTCGGACTGAAGCCGAGCCGGTGATAGAGAAGTCGCCCCGTCGGCAGCCATAAAGGTCTCTGTAAAAGCCGCCCAGGAGGTTCCGAAGGAAAACAAATCGGAATAAACTTGATTTATGGAACCTTAAACACTGCATTAATTCACATAATGAACACTCTTTTTGTCCTGAAAGCTTTATGCATATTTGAGGTTTCATAAATCCACTCATTATGCGGCGTTAAAATTCCGTGCATTTATGCATTTTGTGTAGATGTCATTCCAGGTGCCAATCTGATGGAGGCATTACCGTGGCAAATCTCCGCCAATGGAGCAGTGCTCATGGCTGGCTGTGGGCGCACCACAGTAAACATGCTCTACAGATTGCAAACTTTTTTTAATGGCGCCTTGGCGTCCTTTTAGCCAAAGTGAGAGTGCCTTACTTACTCGGCACAAAGAGCGAAGTGAGCGTGCCTGGGCCTAGCCACTTTCGCGATTTCATTATACGAAATCAGACCACAGATGACGGCGTGTTCGTTGGCGTCAATGCATCCCATAGACGAAAGCCGTCCGGAGGCTGGGCAATTCGTCGACCCCAGCTTGTTGGTTGTGTGTGCCTCTCGGTTACGCTGTCGGATCACTTTTGCAACTTCCCATTTGCCGCCATAACGCGCGCGCCTGCTGACATCCTTGGCTTGGATTCATCTGGGTGCTTGGCAGCTTACTTGATTTAGTGGTTGACTGCATCGGACGTAGCTTGAGACTTGCGAAAACAAAAAATAGAAGTGCGTTCACTTTGTGCGCAAAAAAAGAAAATCCCAATTTTGATGACTGTTCTGGGGGGGGGGGGTGCATTCATTGTACAAGTAAATACGGCACGTTCCCAACCGTACTGACTAGGGATGTCGCGAACCACCCTAGGTTCGATTTCGAAAGGTTTCGATATTTGCGAAGCGAACTGAGGTTCGATATCGAAAAATTTCGATATTTTCGTACCGACCGAGGTTCGATTTTGAAAAATTCGCAACTTTTGTCCACATCGGAGTTTCGAATTCGAAAATTTCGAAGCTTTCACGGTTTCCAAAAATTTCGAATTCGAATATTTCGAATATTTTTTTACTTCAGGTTCGATAAATTCGAAGATTTCGAAATTCTTTGTAAAAAAAATTCGAAAACTTCGAACGCTTCGAATTTTTATAGACATAAAGTTCGAAGAACTCGAAGATTTCGAATTTCTTTTGGCATAAAGTTTGAAAAGTTCGAAAGTTTCGATTCTCTTTTAACGCTAAATTCAAAAAAACAAACAAAAAAACCTTCGAAGATTTTGAATTTTTTTCTAATCCAAGTTTTCAAAGTTTGAAGTCCGATTTCCAAGTTTTTCTACAGTTTCAGTTTCAAATAACGTTTTCACGACTCACTGGTTTTCACAAAATCAAGTTTAGAAAAGTTAGGGTGTGATATCTAGATTCTGCGAAGTTGGTCAGGCAATTAAATGAGACACGAGTGTCCCGGACGTGCTAGAATATTTGCCAGTGCAGAATTGTGACAGCCAGCCCCGGGGGTGTCTTTAACCTGAATCACGCAGTAGTGATTGCACGAACACACTGTTTTACGAGACTCATCCAGTTCGAAACGGCCAGGGGCGAGCAGGAGGTTGAGGCTCAGAAAAACCTTGAAGTGACCTGGCAAACTAGCTCGCCACCCCTTGCACGCTGGTAGTAATCCGATCCGGTGAAGTTTATAATTGTCCTGGAGGTTTATTTTCTGGGACGGAGGAATCGCCTCGCAAAAAGCACAAAAGCCGACACAACTCGGGGTCGAGGAGCGTTCTACCATACAAGTGGCGTCGGAAGAGGAAAAACGGGGGGAAAGAGGGTAGCGGGGGGGGGTTTCAACCTCTTTTTCCCTCTTGCAGGTATTTCGGACTGTTAAAGAAAACAATACGGGGAAAGAGGGCGTGGTCGAGCTTATTTTAATCTGAAATTATTTATGCATATGTATAGCTACTGTCGCTCTTCACTGCATAAAAGGTTGCGTAGATGGTCACTGTTAGAAACTCGTTGTCAGAAGGCACTGCTCGTCACATGCTTAGTGGTTCGGAAGGTCAAAGCTATGTCTTTTCGACCTAAACACCTGTGCCGATAGTAACAAAAGAAAAAAAAAAAAAAACGAATAAATGCGGGAATAAAAAGCAAGAGAAAAAAAAAACTATCAAGAATTCGTCGGAAGTGTTCTATTCTTGCATATTCAGAGGTTCAGAACTTCGAAACAAGTTTCTTTTATTAAAATGTGTACAGGCTAAAAGAAACACGTCCCAGGAACGTGAAGCGAAAAAAAAAAGTTTTCTTTTAATGACGTGCTGAACTTGAACACTACTAGAAATCTTCTGCAATGAGTTAATTTATTCCTTAACGTGAAAAAACAATAAATATATTATTTTGTATTCTGCAGATGGCAATGATATGTACTGTCTGTGGTGTTAATTTAAATGCGATACCTCAAACAACTTAGACGAAAATAAATATCAAGTTTAGGTCATAATTGCATGCAGATACATGTTTGGACATTTCTTCGAAACTCACGTTGAATAACAATAATCACATCTTAAGACGGCACTTACCTAGGCTATACATAGATCATTCTTAAAAAAGTATAACATATCTGCCATAAATAGCTCCGGCTGCAGCGTGCTTCAAATCTGGCACAAACGATAATCGTCAAAAACCCGTCGTCCGTCCTCGCCCCTTCGGGATTTATTTCTTTAAACCTAAGCATGCCAGAACATTGAAATAAATGACATTGTCTTTCGTAAGAAACGCAGCACCGCGTGTAAAAGTTCGAGAAAAAAAAATTACGAATGTACCCCACTACTTGAAATCAAATGAAACCGTCCGCCGGTCTTTCGAAGTTCGACGAACGTCGAACTTTTACCCTAAAAGTTCGAAGTTCGTCGAACTTCTGACTTTTCAGAATTCGAAAGTTCGAAACTTTTCGAATTTTCTTGATAAATAAGTTCGAAAGTTCGAAATTAATAGAATTTTTTGGTCAGTCAAGTTCGAAAGTTCGACAAGCATCGAACCTTGCAGCGCAATAAGTTCGAAAGTTCGAAAAATATCGAATTTTTTAGCGTAATAAGGTCGACGGTTCGAAAAGCGTCGAACTTCTTAGCTTAACAAGTTCGAAAATTCGACCTCCGTCGAATTTTACGATATACACCAACTCATCTCTGTGACGTCACGGCGCGGTGGTGGCGCGTCGGTCGCACTTCCGGTCTGGGGCTGTGGGCAGAAGTCCCCATGCCAGACGTGTATTCCTGCGTTGTTTTGAAGGGAACCAGACAAAAAACTGCCTTCCCGTCAAAACGCCGGGACTGGGGCCGTACCAGAAGAGTCGAGAAAGGTTTGAAGGTCAGTTTTCACGTGCTCGGTTCGTCCGAGAATCTGAACATGTGCTGTGAAAAGGGAAAAGCAGACGCCGTCGGACAACGATTGCGTGGGCGGGAAGCACTTTTGGTTGAATTCACGGATACTTGTGGTCATCAGATTTATTTGTTTTGTTCCAACATGAACGACAGAAATTTACCATCAAGTTGTGCGGACCACCTGCGGACTACGTTCAGTGCGTCTTCAAGTTCAAACGGCCGCTTGATTGTTCGAATTGTCGTCTGCTCTTTCAAACGTTTCTGCTTGTCGTCTGCTCTCTTAGACGACGCCGGTCCGTAGACCAAATGTTGGCCCGGTAGTTGCGATAAGAAATGAGTGCAGGCCTCAAAAGACATACATTTGAAGGTTGGTAAGCAGGCTGGATGTAAACAGTAAATACAAGGAGATGTTGGTCATTCAGTGACCAACACCGACTTGTTGTTATGCCTAATTCAGTTGGTCCGATTCTGCTTGCGATTTTCAGTATCGTCGTCGACCAACTCAGCTACGGTTCACGCTTTTGCAGCACGAGCGGCGTCGCGACTGAGAATTCTGAGCGAAATCTCATCATGCGAATCAGGCTTTAGCGTACGTTCTGCGGCGTCCACGCGGAATGAATCGCCGCATGTCAGATTATTCACGCGAAGTTTTTGCGGTGTAACGAGCCTCGCTAATTTTGCTGACGCTGCTCAAGTAGTCAGACATCGTTAGGAGGACGTAGAATCACCAGTTCCAACGCGAAAAAGAGCGCGGGGACTCGCACCGGCGCCGACAACATCGCATTTCAATGGTTTGTTTATGGGCGACGGCGAGCTTTTGCCCACACCCCCATCGCGCATGCGCGGCGCCGGTGGCGTCCGCTAGGGGCGCTCCGGGCGCTCCGGTTTGTTTGTAAACATGAGTTGGTGTATAGACAATTCGAAAAATCGAAATCTTTCGAACCTTTCGAACCGCTTGATTCGATCATCGAAACTTCGATTCGAAAAAAGTTTGCGGCATCCCTAGTACTGACTGAGGTCTGGCATTGACGGAGCCACTCGCCATGCTTCAGCATTTCACCAGCACCAAAAACGATGTGAATAACTAAGTGTCCGCATGTAGCAAGTGGCGGACGCCATTCATCTACATGGCGGGACGCGGGTTACTTGAAGAAAAAGCAATTTCGTAGAATTGCCCTCTATTCCGTTCATAGCTAAGCTGACAGTGCAGTGGAAGCTACGTGCTCGATGGACCAGTCATACTTCTATCCCGAGTTCCGTCATCACGCTCCTGCCCAAACACATGTGCAGAGAGCACGGTCAGTTGATCAAAGCACGGTGTTTGATTGGTCCGGCAAACTAGTAGCTTCCATCGCACATCAGTCATTTCTAGGGGTGTGCGAATACCGAATAGTAGTTTTGGAATCGAATACCGAATCGAATTAAGAAACAAAAGCTGAATATTGAATGGTGATTTTATTTGTGGGAATTTTTCAAAGTGTGCTGCGAATGAGATTATTATATGTGCAGAGTGTGCACCTAATGTAGAATATACATCTCGTACAAAACAAAAACTGAAATGTATAAAAATGCTGGTGAAAAAAAAAATAAAAGCATCTGCTGATGGACGTTGGGCACTAAAGGTTCCATTTTATGGCCCAAACATAATCTATCTACCCTAAATGTCACAAAAAACCCAAAGTTACAGCCACGTGTGCCCTTTTTTTTTTCTAGTTAAAAGCACAACCTAACATTGCGTCGTTTTTTTTTTTTTTTATCTTTATTTGCATATTTTAGAAAAGGGGCATTTTGCGATATTTGGTCTCAATTTTGAGGAAGAAAAAGGGCACCTGGGATTTTATTTCCCATAAATAAACAGAGTGGGTTTAAATCTGAGTAAACAGGCTTAAACAATATAATCTGAAATAAGGAAAGAAAACATAGGGTTAGGTGGCTCAAGTCACCGTCCAACTGCCGCTATGCATCCATTCCTCTGTCCATCTATCCTGATTTAGAGAGCCTAGATTTTGAAGAGGGAGCAAGCGAAACTGAAACCACGGAGACTGCTCCAGCGCAGATTGGTCGTAAGCGCGCATGTGTTGTGTTGTCTCGTGGAAAAAAGGTGAGCAAATGGGAAAGCGACGCCTGCCCTGCCTGCCCGATCCCGATCAACACTTTCGTCTTTTCGTCACCTTCTCGCAGTTCGTAATTCAAACGTGGCTATGGAATGGTTGGAAATACTCTCAAATCTAGGCACACTATTTTTCCGTTCAGTTTCATTCCGAATCAGAATTTGTGGCTTGAGGTTCCAAAAGAATGACGACGATAACTCGGCTGGTTCCATCGGCATGGTTAATGTGGTTTCTTTTTGTGATGGTGCAGTCGCCGATTTCTGTGAGTGCGGCAAGTGTGTTCTACATCGGTGCTTCATTTTGAAACTAGGGGCTTCCTCTCTCTGGAAGCGGCCCAAACGGGATGTTTCGGTTGTGAATCAAGGGTAGATATTGTCATGATCATGAGTAAATCTATGTGCTATAAAGTTTGTGGTGTTCATTACTTTTCTTTTTTCTAACCTGTGCGTTTGATTTTTGTGGAATGGTAGGACCAAGAGGTGTTTCTTGCATGGTCTGTCTAACATTACGGCACTAACATCAGGAGAAAAAAAACAGTTTTTTGTCAGCTGCGCGCCAACCGCGTGTTTTTGGCCGAATATATTGAATATTCGAGTGACTGAATGCTAGGAATTCGATTCGCGAATCAAATTATTCGGGAACTTTCTATTCAATTCGAATTCATATACTCGAGTATTTGCACACCCCTAGTCGTTTCTCCTAGCATGTCGGTGCAAAGCAGCGAAGCTTGACACGAGAAATCGGGGAATTCTGAAGCAGTCATGTGCGTATAGGGGATTTCAATTTCAAAGTGAATAATGGTTTTGGACAAATATTTTCTAATTGGATATTGAATAGTTTCTCCAAGCCTTTCACTACTGCACCATTCTTAAACCAAAACTCAGCTGAACTCGTAAAGGTAGTTCCCAAGCTTCCACATCATCTCTGAGCTAAGTTAATTTTAATCAAGCCATGTTTGTAAACTGTGGGCTCAGAAAATCCACTGCCTACATTGGAAGGGCAAGTAAACAATGTGTTTAACATAAAATAAACAGCTGGACATCTGTAGAGATGTCCAGCTGTACCTTATTGAAGAGATTTGTAAATCTTCTTGCTATATGCTAATATCCTTTCTTTAATATCAAATATGAGGGGGAAAAAAAAAAGAAGTCATGATTGATGAGTTTAGATTTTCAGGACATCTCTGCCTATTATATACTCTTGCATAATTGCCAGAGTTTAATTTCAAAAAGTGGGCTTTCCTCCTAAGCAATATTTGTACTTCTCGGTGTGTTGATCGCAGCAGGTTAGTCCTGTTGAGTGCACTTCTTACCAAGCGTTGGTTTACTCGGAGAAGCAGCACCTCCGGAAGTGAGCTCCCCGGGCATTGCATCTCTGCAGTGCAACGGTGCTCAGTAAAAAAATGCGCTCAACGGGGCTAGCCCCGTTGAACGTGTCAACACTTAGAAAAATGATAATATCAAAGTTCATATCGAAGCAAATATTGAATAGCATACTATTCGAAATTACCTACTATTCGAAAATTTGAATACTATTTGCACAACACTATTCCGAATACAATAATATTTGTAATTTGGATATTTGAAAAACTCCATTACTTTGAACAGTAAAGGTGTGCTGCGAATTGAATCGAATAGCAAACAGTATTTGCTAGGTAATTGAATATTCGCTTAGCTCTAGTTTTAGCATGTGACTGCATTTGTTTTCTTCCAGCACAAGGCAGAGTTTTTGCCCAGTGTGAGAACCCTGGAGAAAATGGGCTACAAGCTGTACGGAAGCCTGGGCACCTCCGACTTCTACATGGAGCACGGCATCAAGGTAGGCGTTCGGACTCTTTTCACCCCCCGCCAGAAGAGGGATCTGGACTTCCGAGAGTCGAAGGGCTGGTTCACACATCTGCATTTGAGTGCGATTGATCATGACTGCTTACGACGACGAAAGGGCACACGGGGGCACTGTGTGTGTAGGTTCTGGAAGTATTTGACGGTCACAAAATTGCGCGATTGGTCGAGGTACGCTACGCATTCGTTACCGCAGGGGGACAAGTGCACCACACATACCTGTGATATATTTTCGAGGTATTTCTACACTTGCAAATTTCGCGAAAATTGAGTCGTCGCAAAATTTGGGTTTGTTACGGTACTATGTGATTCCTAATGTTTTAATATACCTTCCCTCGATCGTGGGCTCGAAATAATCCTGAAAGCGTTATAAGCAGCCTTTTACCAGAGATGGCGCAAAGATTTTGTCTCGCAAACGTTGCAAAACCTCTGGTCAAGGTTTACGCGGATCGAAGATGTTTCAGGGCTGTGCTATGGATGGCGCCAGCTTGTTCATCGTAGTCGTTTACAAGCGGGCACAACACACTTGGTCACATTAAAGTGCAAACGTGCGAACCAGTCCTACCCATGGAGAAGACTGCGGGTAAGAGACGGCGGTTCAGAAAACCCGGGGCCAGCCTTCGCACGAGAGTCGCATGTAGTCGAGTCAGCGGAGTCTTCCTTTCCATAAGCATGTTTGTTAACTTTTTCAGGCTCATCGAACAAAGGAAGAGAGAAACGAAAAAAAACAAAAATTGAGCAGTCCTGCATTAATCCGCAATGCAGTCCCAGCGACAGCTATGCGACACGTCACGGCAATGTCGCGTTCACGTACCGTAGGGTGCGTGAACAAAAGCGTTTGGAACAAAATAGATATCTGTTTTGTTCCGGAGCGTGTGAGAGCGCATCTCCCGGCACGAGCCCTTGGCATTGACGGTGCTACAACAACATTTTGTTAAAGGCTAATTTTTTTTTTTTTTTCCAAGATCACGAGGAAAACATTAAATACTACAAAAAAAAAAAAAATGTATAGAGCGGGTTGTTAATGCTGTGGCGTAGCTCAGTGGTAACGTTTCCGCTTCGTACGTGGTGGACCCAGGTTTGACTTCTGTGGGCAGTCTTTTTTCAGGATTTAGCAACATTGACAACGGATGCCCTACATCGCCGATTAAAACGTGAACAACAATAGCCGCTGCAGCTATTGAGAGCTATTGGAATATCACCGACGGATTTCGTTTCCAGCAGTGGGAAGAGTCCGTAACGGCTGCCTTCGTAAAAGAAAGCGTGCTGCGGCTCGATATTACCGACTCCCTTCTTTCAGGGAAGGAGGGAAACGGACTCCCTCCTTCCCTGAAAGGAGGGAGTCCGTTTCCTCCGACGGGACAGCGGATATTCCGCGGACCAGTTGCAGATTTTCCGCAGCTCCTCGCGGGGTTGGGCTAAAATACTTGGAACAATCGGAGCTTTTGAACAGCCTCCTCCTCCTCCACGTGACGTCATCACATTCGGATGGTGCCAACTCTGCGATTGGGCCCGAGCCGGACGCCGAGCGCCCTTTGATGCTGTCGCTGGGCACGAAGCCCGGGCTGTACGTTGATGGAGCAGCTGCGTCCAATCTGCGTCCACGCTCGATCTCGCTGCGACAAAGTAAAAGTTCTAGTGCGCAGTCTTTGGTTCTTCGAGCTGGTGTTGAGGGAGGATTGGTGAATGTCCTTTGAGCAGCACACGTGTCCTAGAAACTGGAGAGTGTTTAATTCGCTTCTCGGGAAAACTTCTTTGTGTGAACATACCATTAATTGCTTTTCATTTTTGCAGCAATCTAAAGGCCATTGTGGTTGTTTTTGGGCACTTAGATAAAGAACTTTATTATTATTGTTGCCTTTATTTTTGTCCGCAGATCGAGGCGATGACATGGCCATTCCACGACGCGGGTGAAGAGGGCAACGCCAACGCCTCCAACGTGTCCTCGGACGGCCAAAGCTGCAGCATCGCGGACTTCCTGGAGCAGAAGGGCTTCGACCTGGTGGTGAACCTGCCCATGTGCAGCAGCGGCGCGCGGCGCATCTCCACAGTGCTCACACAGGGATACCGCACCCGCCGCATGGCTGTCGACTATGCCGTGCCCCTTGTCACCGACGTCAAGTGTGCCAAACTCCTCGTCGAGGTCCGTGTTTTCCCTTTGACTTTCCCCCGGTTTTCCTTTCGAGTCTGCGGAAGATTGCAAGTGACAGGGTGACACGGGAAGGGCGCAAAAATAGCAGCGTGGGCAGGGACAAGTAGGGGAATTAAATGGGACAAGCTCTACTTTTGCTACGACACTGCTTTGCCGCTTCTTCCCCTGCTCTTACTTCACCACTTCTGCTACTTGATAACTTCTACTTCTTCGCTATTTCCACGTTTGCTTCACCTCCTTCGCTTCTGCCTGTCCTTCTCTGTGGCATTATGGTGCCTGGAGCACGTCTCCGATTGGTCAGTTTACCATGCCCTCAAGGATTTGTGCCCAATGAAATCTTAAAAAGTCACACTGTTGCCTGCCACAATAGAGCATAAACGGGCCTGTTCTGCTGCATGTCATACCTGCAGCTTTACGTTCCCCGGAAGCTTTCGTAGCCGGGAATTGGGATGTCACGATGGCAACAGTACTCACTTTTGCTTGTACCTTTGCCAGAACTTTTATGGTCAACTGCCGGGATAGTGAAGTCCAACAACACGACAGACTGGCTGCTGCGACGTCGTTTGTTTTTGCTTCGGGACCATTTTCAGTGCATGGGCAGTAAAGGATGCAAAATGCATCAGTCGAAGATGTGTTTGAGGAACCTTACTTTTGTTGCCTAAAGTTGCCTTTCATCTGCAGAAGACTAAAGGCAACGTCACGAACTGCACGGGGGCTGGGACCTTCGTCAAGCTGCTATTTGGTAGCTTTTTGTCCAAGTCCCCTGTTGTCATCTAAGATGATGCGTCAACAAATAAATTTGATTTGGTTTGTTGTGAAGACATTGAGTAACATGGCGATGTGGCAAGAGTGAAAATATAGCGTTACAGACGTGTACAAGTAGAAGAGGGAAACAGGGCTATACTCCGTCTCACCTTGCGATAGACCGCAGAGGGCACTATGAGCAACCGGAGCTAATCGTGGCTCTGAGGGTGTCATGTGCCCTTCTGGTTTGGCGTAGCAACGCACAGAGCATGAAGCCACGTGTCACGTGTGGAGCACCAAACTGGCCAACATGGCTCGTGGCATCTATTGCGTTTCATCGTAACACGAAACAAAGTATAGTGCTTGTTTGGTTCACTTCTACTTGTCCTTGTGTCAGTAGTGCTGTTTGTGTTCTTGCCGTATCTACCCAACTAGCCCGACGGTTCGTTTTCAAATGTGGCGGCACATTGAAAGTGTTGTGTGCCACCTCACATGCAACTTTATGTGCGATTTCGTTGCTTGCGTGCAATATTGTCCGCATTTCCGCAGGCCCTGCGCCTGGTTCGCAAGGCACCGCCGGTGAAGACTCACATCGACTGCATGACGTCGCGCAAGATCGTGCGGCTGCCGGGGCTGATCGATGTGCATGTGCACCTTCGGGAGCCCGGCGCGTCCCACAAGGAGAACTTTGCCTCCGGAACGGCGGCCGCCCTCGCCGGAGGCTTCACTCTTGTCTGCGCCATGCCCAACACCAAGCCACCGCTGTGCGATGGCGCAGCGCTTGCGCTCTGCCAACAGGTCGGTCAATGTTTGTACATATTTTTCGAATTTAAATGAGTAGAATGATTGGAAGTTTTGTCATCCAAATCTAAACTAAAGAGTGCCTTGCATGTGAGAGGTTTTTGTGGGATTGTAAGCATTTGTCACTGGAATGGAAGTCGAGCAAATTAAGTCGCAACTAACCCGTAAAAATAGTTGCCTTTCAAAACTTGTTGTTTTTGGGGCTTCTGTTACATTGCTTTCCTGTCTGTTTGAGAACCTATTGGGTGAAAGCTTGCACTTATTGTGAGATACCTAGCAAGGGCCCACTCAAAAGTTGGAGGTAATCTTGAAAAATTGGGCGGCAGGCACCTGTTAGGTCGAAGAGCAAAAGTGCGGGAAGAGTACGAGATGGGGCGGGCTTTGCCACCGGCCGGTGCATCCACGTCTTGCTTCACTGCCTTGCACCGGTATGCTTGGAGAGGCGGCTGACGTGTAGGAGGATCTCGGTTAGCAAAGGTGCGTTCGGAGACCTGGGTTGAGTGTTTGATGTGTTTTGTGCTTCTTTTAGAAACATTTTAAAAGTAGTGGGAGGGAGCTTATTGCGACATGGGCGCATGCTCGGTATTTTACGATAAGCAAAACAGTCGAGCTTTCAAAATGCAGGCTTCGGAGCTTCAAACGAAAAGTGACGACGGCATTCTTTATCATTTGTTGTTTCTTGGAAAGCACAGGGCTGCGAAGGTCGCAAAAATTTCCCGAGTGCAACAAAAGAGCAAGCTCTGTGGAGCGAACATCACACTGGTCTATAACGCAGGAGCTTGCGGGTTTCTCCGGCGAGTGCTAGACTAGTGTTGGCGGCAACTGAGTCTGGTGACATGGGCTACACGGAGCGGTCCACTCGAGGGGTGTCCTAACCTCCATCAGGCGCTGCTGAATGCGGGAGGCCGCTCGCTTGCAAGCTTCGCGTCCGCTTTGGTTCACACATCAACAGCACGCTATTGTGCACATATCAACAGCTCGCTTTTTCCTGCACGTTTATTTTCTTAATGCTGTCGTTGTTGATAAGCGCTTGTGCTTTATTTTTGTTTTCTATCGCTATGGCTATCTCGCGTTTGTAAAGAGCATGCGAGCAGCCTTCCACACATTCGGCGCAGCCCACATCGAGTGGGCAGGACACCCTCAGAGTGGACTGTTCCATGTTGCCCTCGTGACCAGATTAGTTGTTGTGAATGCCACCAGTCTAGCACTCTCCGGAAAAAGTTATGTGCTCCCGCATTATAGACGAGTGTAATTAGCATTGTACCTTTATAGTTCTCTCGCCACACGTGAACATTATCAAGTTGTAGCAACCTAGTCTGAGGGAAATAACGAGTGCTCAAAGTCACCTTCTTCTTCTTCGGAAGACGACGGAGCATTGTCAGATGTTATACAGCCTCCTGCTGACAGTGGTCTTTGAAAAAAATATTGTTTGGAGGAAATAACAAGGTCTTAAAAGTGTGTCTTTCTGCAAATGCCGACAGAGTGTGCTTAAATAATAATGTGCAACCCTCCGTGGACAGGTGGCGAAGGCGGGGGCTCGCTGCGACTACGCCTTGTTTGCCGGCGCCAGTCCAACCAATGCGGAAGAGGTGCTGTCGCTGGCCTCGTCCGTCGTGGGACTCAAGATGTACCTCAACGACACCTTCGGGCCGCTCTGCATGGACAGCGTGTCGGACTGGCTTGAGGTCAGCGCTCTTCCTCGCCCACTTTTAAAGTGATGCGGGAACCCTCCACAGACCCTCCGCAGTCGTGTTGGTCGTGCCCTAGCAAGTGAAGCCGTGGAGAGAGCATCGGCAACAAGGTGTAGCTCTATTGCCGACACTCTCCCATGGCTGGCTCTCTCCCCCAAGGTTTGAGTTCGTAGCGTGTTATCTAGCAGGCACGGCGGTATTTGACGGTCAGATTGCTTGCGTGGTTGTGTTTCGAAGAAAAGAGTGCAATGCCCCCAAAGAAGGGGTGCAGGGACAACGAATAGTCCTTTATAAATTCGCAATTCCTTCACCGTGTGGTTGTCACATTGCTTATCATTCCGATAGCAAGTGCTCCTCTTCAAAAACCCCCCCATCGTTGCACTTGACGTAACGTCTGAGCCAAGCGATTTATCTCTCAGCTTTTTACAGCGGAGCTGTTAAGGGCTAGTTTCCCCAGGATCGTGTCCCCTGCAAAGAAATGTCAACACAAGACTCTGGTTGCCGCCGTCACTCATAGATGGCGCAACCTTTCGAGCCTTTCCACTCTGGCTTGCCGACTTGCGGCTGGCCATTACTTCATTCCCACCATAGTACAGCTTCGCTGGTCTTTCTTCTTCACCAAAGTGGAAAGGCTAAAATTTTTTTTCCACATTGCATGTCGCGGAAGGAAGCAACTGAGCCGACGTGTCCAGGATTCGTATCTCTCTGCGTTGTGTTGACACACCTACTTCAGAAGTCAAATAGCATCCTTGATCATATCTCATCCGGAATTTCCTCGAAACCAGGACAGTGCACAGTGCTCCTCGGTCATGCAGCGCGAAGTCAATGTAACATCGAGGACCAACCAGACAAACTGCGCTGCACCAGTGCACCGCGGCGAGCGCCACCATGCGTCACACTGCGTTTTGTTTGTTTCTTTCTTGCATACGCCTGCACAAGGTGTCCGTCTGTTGGTCAATTTCTCCTTGCTTTTTACTCGCGGATTTAGCGGTCCCACACAAATGAACGTCGTGGACATGATTATCAATGGGGTCACAAAGCGGGTGACAATTCCACAGATATGTTTTGCCCATCATTGTTGATTCAAGGAGGAGTACCGCTAGATAATAGCCGTACCTTAGTGTCATTGAAATGCCTCGCAGCGCTCTCCATCAAGTTTTTAATTTTTGGGCACTCCTTGCCACCGCAGCAATCACCGGTAATTGCGGCAATGGTAAGAAGCTCGTCGTTCTTGCTGTCAAAAGGGCTAAGGAATTCATTGAGTGCCGCTGCAAGGGGTGTACGTTTTCTCGGTCGCCATCTCGAGAGACTGCACGTCTGCTATTCCCGCCATCTGCTTGATTTCCACTCCTGGTCGCAATGCCTGATGGAACTGCACCCCGGTGCACCTTCGATTATCTTGGTACACATTGAGGCAACGAAAAACTGCACCGGGAGGGTGCGCTGCCTTGATCGAGGACTCCGGTGCGCACCGGCGTGGATGATCGAGGATGCTGTAAGGCGGAATTAAATCGTCTAAATGGCGAGTCCCAAAGCTCCGTCGCTTGCTCTGGAAAACATAATAGCAGAACATACTGGGAGAGAGGCGGAGAAACGCATGCCTAAAGTGGCGTTTTTCTGCACAAGAAGCCAAAATTACAGGAAACAATTTTTTTCTCTCTTGATACGATGCTTTCTTTTTTTTTTCCCCATGCAATCAGTGTGTCGAACCGAAAAAAATACGGGTTCGGTTACGGTTCAGGTTCAGGTAAATTTATTTTGTTCCGGTTCAGTTCCGGTTCAATTAATTCGATCCACGAACCGGTTCGGGGCACTGAACCGGTTCGCGAACCGGTTCGGAAATTATAAATGACAAATTGCAACATCAAAATAAATTACAAATAAAACATCTGAAATCAGCACATACGAAACGGGATACATCGTAGTGTAAGGCTCAGGGATTTCTACCAGGAATGGTTTCTTTATGTGCACTCAAAGGTTACCTCACCGATGTTTACGCATTCGGACTTCATCTAATTGGGTCCGACGCAGTAGCTGTAAAATCCGCGACCTCCTTACAAACCCACTTACAAGTAGAACTCGCTAACTATCCCGCCACCTCGGCGTGTAAGCAATTGAAGGAACAGTGGGGAGAAAATACAGCTTTCTTTATTTGAACTAGCCTTCGGTAACTCAAATTAGACCCTTAAAGAAGTTTTCATTAAACAAGATACGGAATATGAAAAATACTTCACCAAACGCAACGCCAGAAAGACGTAATAGGATAAATATTAAAATAGAAGAGTTCGCTGTCTCACAAATATGTTAGCTTCTAAGTGCCTACACGAAACCGGATGCATTATTATCGAACTCCACAGCCTTTTCTTTTCTCATTCCGATGGAAGCAAGCTTCAAGAACTCGCGCGTTCTAGAAACATGTTATGAAATGAGCACACAGCAGCATTTAGGATTTACGAGATTGTAGGAAAATGAAATCCCGTGACGCAATTTTTTTTTTGCACAGCCTTCCAATTCTCTCTCTTCCGCGCAAGCCGCGACCAGCGCAATACTGGTTCCTATGTCAAGATTCATGGATGCAGCGTTTATACGTATTCCTAAGACTGAGTGGAGAAGAAAAATATGTAAGCGAGGTGTGTGTCAGTTGACGGCACTTAAAAAACAAATGGCATTGATAGCACATTCATTGTTAACAGCGCGTGGCCGAACCGTTTTGACATGAGCCGGTAACCATTATTTTTTTTCCGGTTCAGTTCCGGTTCGGGTTCATCGCGATATCAATATAACGGTTCGGGTTCAGTTCCGGAAAAAATACCGGTTCGGTTCCGGTTTTCGGTTCGGTTCGTTTCCGGTTCGACACCTTGCATGCAAGGCGTACCGGTAGTAAAAACGATTTGGCCGGCGTTCCGTAACACGCCCCATGTAGTAAAAAAAAAAAAGAGGGCCAGAAATGTTTGTCACAAAATCGTGCCTTTCTCGAAAATTTAACTAGCTGCAGAATGAATAAACTTGCATTTTTTTTAGCGCACCAAATTACCGTATGGCAGATGCAAGAATTTCATTAAAAACAAGACAAGAACCTGAAACCGAGGGCTGAGCCAAGCGTTAATGCCTAGACCCCCAGCTCCCCGGTGTGTTCATATTATCAAAGCTCGTAAGCTTGAAAGCTTTTTAATTGGAACCGTGCCAAGCAGAAATTTCTTGGCTGTTCTTCATAACCAGCTAGAGACTGTTGACGTTGAAAAGTGTTAATAAAATTTTAGCTTTCTTTAAAGTTTGCAGAATATAATATAGCACTAACAAAGTTCTCAACAAATGTCTGTTTACTACCGAGGCAGCCCGACGGAACACTTCGCTGTGCGTACGGTTACGAGCTCTCCATTCCTTCCACTGATCTCCCGCAAATGTCGTCAGTACATCAGGACAGCAGAGCAACATCATGACAGGCAGCATTGTATTGTTATTCACAACTTGTTTTTTATTGGCTTGTGTGCATTGCAAAGCTTCTTTTTCTTTGTGTTCCAATTTTCGTTAGGTTGGAATACATATTAGGCTTCACATGTATGTCAAGCTGTAAGGGTGCTTGCGTCTTCTCTCAGCACTTTGAGAAGTGGCCCAAGAACGTCCCGCTCTGCTGCCACGCCGAGGGACGGACGACAGCGGCCGTCATCCTGCTGGCGAGCCTGTACCAACGGCCCGTCCACATCTGCCATGTCGCCAGGGAGGAGGAGGTAATGACGTTTTCCGCTTGCCAACTGAGGCACAACCGGAGTTTTAGTTTTTGTCTTGCATTTCGGCTGTTTCCTACAACGTCTGAGATTGTGCGGCCTTTTTTATCGCCGTCTTTATTTTACTAGACAACCGAGTTGGAGTGAAGTTTGGGTGGATTGTGTATGGTCAATTGTTTGCGCCTACTATATAAATAAGCTTGCAAAAAACAAAAGCAGAAATTTTGACGTATACTTTTTTTTTAGCCGCAACTGGTTGACGGATGTTTTTTTTCATTACCTATTTTTGAACTTGTGTTTTACTTGTTGGTGTGTTCGGTAGCTCTTTCAGTTATCATATCCTTTTCGTGTATATTTCCCTGGTTTGGTGCAGTGTGGCCATCGGAGCTCTTGCGTCATAAAACTTGCAAGCATCAATTACATGCCTATTTTTGTCATTCCTCAAGTTTCTAACTTACGGTTACGTTTGTGTCTAGTGTATTTGTCGTTCTTAAACCACAGTCTCGAGGTTTTGATCATGCTTAAAGGGACACTGACAGGGTACTTATGCTTACCAAGGTTTTTATTTGTACATCACATATGAGAGCTTGACTACCCAGAACACAATTGGCAGGTCGAAATTTGTTTTCTAGTTTATAGTATGGCCAGATCGGCCATACTATAAATGATTCGCTAACAAAACCCTGCGAATGAGTCACTTCAGTTCTCATTGATAGTTCGGGGATCGAAAAGACGGCACCCTGACTCTTGCAGATCCTGATAATCAAGAGGGCGAAAGAGCAGGGCCACGAGGTCACTTGCGAGGTCACCCCGCACCACCTGTTCCTGACGACAGAGGACGTGAGCGCTGCGGCGCCGGGCAAAGGGGCGGTCAAGCCTCCCCTGGTGACCGCCAGGGACCAGAAGGCCCTCTGGGACAACATCGACGTCATAGACTGCATCGCCACCGACCACGGTGCGTGCCAGGAGCTCGAAACTGCCTCGGTCGCAGTTTTACAGCAGAGCTGTTAAGGGCTAGGTAGTTTCCCCAGTATCGTGTCCGCCAGCAAACAAACGATGACAAGAAACACTGAACAGCTACCGCCATCTATGAGCAACGGCGGCAACCAGACAACCGACTTGCCGGTTGTCTGGCTGCCGCCGTCGCTCATAAATGGCGGCAACCTTTCGAGCCTTTCCACTCTGGCTTGCCGACTTGCGGCCGGCCATTAGTTCATTCCCACCATAGCACAGCTTGGCTGGTCTTCCTTCTTCACCAGAGTGGAGAGGCTGAAAGATTTTAATGCAGGAATCGTTTTAGGTCTGGTTTCCAAGTGTAGAGCTTGGGTTCTCGAAATTTTTTATCTTGAGGTACACCCATCCCTCATTACGGATAGCTGAGGAGCCCCTCTTGGTCCTAGCATTGACGCAGTAAGGCAGTGCATGAGCCAACTGACCTTGCAAACATTAATGCGCACGCCGAGGACCGTTTGGCTTATAGTTATGCCTCGGTAGGCAGCTCAGATCTGCTAAAACGGTGCATAAAGTCGAAAAACACTTAGTCTTAGGAGTAGGGATGGATTCTTGAGGAACCATTGGATTCCTCTGAACCCAGTTAGAGATCCCATCTTCTGGAGCATCACAAAAGTTTGTTACGAAAACACAATAACGCTGTAAAATAACAAAGTTTAAATATAGCAGGAAAGCTTGACTAAAGCAGCTTGTGCACAGTGTCTTGACGTCCAACACATTCTTTCACTAAATTTAGCGGGGAAACTTCCCGCTAAATTGAGGTCACGTGACAGCACGATGCAACACAAATGCCAAGGTGTCCTGTGACAGCATGGCGTGCCACCATGACATGCCAGCATGACATGTCAGCATGACTCCAAAGCATCGTGTGACATGATGTCTGACACTGATGCCGTGCGACATCACAGGCCGCTGCAATGTTCACCATGGTGTCGCTTGAACTGACATAACGTCCCAGGGGCATGTGGTTACATGACTCATCAGTAGCATCAGCCCCAAAAGCCAAATGGGTGAAACATGTTAAACTGTTTGGCATAAGCTTGCGATAGAGATCAGATCAGGTCAGAATTTAGGCCCGACCCTACCCAGCCCGATAAAGCCTCGGCCTGAATCCGGCCCAAGCTCGAGTGGGCTTTCTAAGCGTAAGCCCAAGCCCGACCTGACCAAAAACAAATATATGTTTCGAACCCGACCCGTGCCCGACTATTCTTCTTGATATGAATCGAACCCGAACCCGGCCTTAATCACCCCAAACCGGACCCGAACCTGACCCGAGCCTTACTGTGTTTTCTATTAGGTCTACATTTGTTTTACATGACACCGTTCATATTGAGCGAGAATTTCCAATCTTGGAAGTTAAACACATTTGTTTCAAATGTCTGCACAGCCATTTTATTTACTCAGGCTATTTCTAGAACAATGATGTGTGTTTCAAATTATTCCGTTTTTTTCGCCAAAATATGCCGTTAACAGAAAATGTGATTTTTTTTTATAGTATTGCATATTATGCCTGGAGGTCAATGCATTTGATTAATTTAATAACTATTCGATTAATCGGTAGCAAATAATCAGGCTAAATTGTTTAGTTGTCATTCAGCCCTAGAGACTCTGGAACTGCGCATGTATAATTTAATAGTATGTACTTTCCCACACGACGCTTGGGGAGCTACTGGGGTGCCAGTTCCAGATCTTTGAGTTGGTTGGTGAGCTTGCGCCCTGCCGCAATTGGTTTGCGCCATGCCTCATGCGATTGCAAATGTTAACCAGATTGTGATGTCTGTGTCACAGCGATGTGACCGGTCTATTTGCGACTTTTCCGAGCATTCGCGATCATGTCGAGCGTGGTGCTGATTAATCGCAGCGGGCGGCAAACCAACCAACACCTGCTGAGCCAACTTGTCGATGTCGAACGTTGCCCCCATGGACCTCCAGCACAAGTTTCCTGCCTCCGATAATGCATCGGCGTTCGCGAACCTCAAAGAAGCACACGCGGCCAAGCTATTCTAATCAATGTCTGCTTGTGTTTGCGTGACTACAGGGCTTACAAAACGTTCAAGGCCAAGCTCGGCGCTGACTTTTTTTTACACGAGACACGTATATTAAAAACCCCTGATCCCCTCTGTGCGCCGGCGAACACCGCTGCGATCATCGCAATCGCGTTACGTCTACTCAATCCGCCAGCGAGCGAAGAGAAATCCACCATAAAAGAGGAGCGAAAAATACTTCTTATTTAAATTTTATAAATTACTGCCACCGTGAACGTCGTTCCGTAGTGATTTCCATATTGTCGAGCAAACAGACACTTTGTAAAGGCACATTCTGGTGCAGACAAACAAAAAGCATGGCGGCGTGTTGCCATCGTTGTCCCTCGTCTGCGAAACACACGATTGAACCCAAGCTCCGAGCAACTCGTGCGGTTCGAACGACACGAAGACACATTCAGAGAAACACTGGGCGCGGTTAGGCTTGCAAACTTTAAGGTGCCCTACATTCACTCCGGAGCGAGATTGAAAAAAACGAGCGCAGGAAGATGCGGACACGGCCAAGACGCTGCTGGCACATTAGAAGAGGTCGAGGCGGCAGCATTTCACTGGTTTCACTATGCAATGCAACATGGACACTGCATTGGCGGCACTGTAAACCAGCTTCCAAGGCAGACCGGCGCGCCCCCTTTTGGGTGTCGCACGCTGCGAATAATTTTGAAGGCCTGCTGGCTCACCGATTGCTCTACGTTGAGACCTCTTTCTCGATTTGCCAAAAATATTTTTCTTTTTGCGTCTTTTTTTTTTTTTTGCGAGCAGCCCCGCACACGTTGGAGGAGAAGATGGACGAAAATGCTCCCCCGGGCTTCCCGGGACTGGAGACTGCGTTGCCACTGATGCTGACTGCTGTAGCAGAGGGCAAGCTGACAATGGAGGCAAGGATTGGCTTCCGACTTGATTCTTGCTCTTGGCCCCAATCTCCCCGTGGTCTACCAGCCTCGCTGCAGCGACTAGTTTGGCTGTCCTTTTTTTGAAATTAACTCAACTTCTGGGCCTAATACTACAGTAGACTTCCATTAATTCTAACTCCAGGAAGCCCCAAATTTCGCTTGAATTATCGGAAGTTTGAAATATCAGAAATATATCGAAATATGATGCAAGATAAAATTATGATTTGCCATATGAAGGGCTACACATACAAAGCAGATATTTGATGATTTCCTCTACTTAGGCCTAATCAAACATAAGCAGATATGCCACAGATGAAACATTTGTGAAATGTAGGTAATAAGTTTATTTTTCACTCAAAAATGTTGTTTATCGTGGACTGTTTATGCAGCACATGATGGCTCAGAATTTTGTTCGTCTGCGCTTTGTTCAGCACCTTGCGAAACCTACGAGCTCCAGCAGCTAGCTCGATAAAAAGACTCGCTGTGCTTGCTCATGCAGCTCGCACCTCTTGCAAAAGTATGAGCCTGGAGATTTCTGGGGAGCGTAAACGAAGTCGACCCGAAATTATGAGCCAGGCTTGTTTCTCCGTGCTCGAACGGTTAACAAACTACCGTATGTTGGAAAATGTTTTGCAGGCTTTGGTGAAGAAGATGTACCACAACCCCAAGCAAATCTTTAACCTTCCTGTACAGCCAGACACCTACATCGAGGTAAGTATGTCCGGCGCTTCTCCGATTCCTGCCGTTCCTGACTCGTGAGCTGGTCACAACAAAGGCTTCTGCCTAAAAAGAGTTGCAGCTTATTCCTCGACCTTGTAGCTTCAAAGCGGAATGCAAAGCCTCACTTAACGTATCATGTTGAATAAACGCCGAAAGATGCTTGCCACAGAATTATTTTGTGATGTAACCTCTCCAGCAGAGTCCGTTTTTCCAGTAAGTATCCACTATATAGAAGTGTACCTCACCGTACGAAATCCCAGACGTCCATACCAGTATTGGAACCTTTCAGCTTTGCATCTCTAGGTGTCCATATAGTCACTAAATACCCATAGGGCCACTCTAGTTACCGACAGGATAAGGACAGTAAGGCATCTCCCTTAGATGCCCGGCCTCAAGCATGCACTCATTGCCTTCTGTCATTCTTTGGCTGCACGTGCCTGCTCGAGTGTCATGAGACGTTGAAGCATCATCAAAGGTTGGAGGCTTGCACTGTCCTCGTCTGTCAATGAGTATACTGTAACGTCTCGTTGATATGGACACCTCCGTTCCCGTAAGAAAGCGTCCATAACGTGAGTTGTCCATAATGAAAAGGCAAAAATGCACGTGTTTACCCAGTCGTTCCCCGAAAATTTTGTCTACACAGTGGAGCACCCATATTTAACGGGGTCCATATTAATGAGACAGGACTGCATGCCAATCTCCTCTGAGGAGAGCTTTTACTGCACGCTAAATGTGATCTTTATAAACAAGCAATTGAGACATTACCTTCAGATTGCTGGATATTAAGGTTTCTTGGGTATATAACAGTAGCCCCTCCTGTGAGTGAGCTCCAACGATACCCAGGTCGGACATTGGGAATCTTCCGACTTTGAACGAAGGTGGTTGTTCTCTACAACGGTTGGCCGTCGGCGCTCTCGCCACAGGTGGATTTGGACGAAGAGTGGACCATTCCTGAAGCTCCTCCGTACAGCAAGGCTCAATGGACCCCCTTCGCCGGCCGCAAGGTCCGTGGACAAGTCAGGAGAGTCGTGGTCCGTGGGGAAGTCGCCTTCGTCGACGGACAGGTGCGTATCGCATCTTCTTGACGTTTTAAAATTTCTGTATGCCGGTTAAGGCCCTCTTGGTAGCCAAGCTGAGCAAGTGATGGTAGTACTCTGTAAATGAATCTTTCAAAATATTTTTTGTGTGTGATGTGGACTGCTCTGGTTACTTTGCACACTATCGTCAAAAGCAAGCTTGCATGTTTTCAAAGTTTATTTTTGACACTCTTCTTGGTGTAACACTAAATTGTTGAATATTTCGCTATGAATGTCTTGACGTCTATTTCTCGGAGTAAAATATAAAATTAAAAAAAAAATGTCGGTAAATTTTTATGGGAAAAGTTGCTGGAAAAAGATGTTATCAGGTTAATAGTGGGGCATGAAAAGGAAGGAAGGTTTGGAAGAATATAAAATTGTCAATGTGCTCATTTATAATGGGGAGCTTGAGCTTTATTGCATATTTAGCTTGGAAAGACAAGGTTTGTCATGACTGGCATGTACACCAACATCAAGACCGCTGTATTTTCATACCAGGTACAAGAAATAAGGTAAAAGTAAATACCAGATAGCCTTTCGAACTTCCTTATTTGTTATTTTCACCAAATATATTTTTTATATATACCGTAAAATTCCGAGAGAATGCCCGCCCCCGAGAGATTGTCCATCCAGTTTTTCTGGATACATATCTGTAACATAAAAATTACGAAACATTGCCCACCCCCCGATTCCCATCAGACTTCACACAATCTCTGACAGGAATTGCATCCGCCGCGCGATCTGCTGTACCGGTACTTCATAGCGGGCTCCCTCGTTTTTGTCCGTGATCTGCGCGCGCCATATCGGCTCCCGTAATACGCTGGTTGTTCCCGTGTGTATATAAAATCATGAAATGTGAATCTGCTCCGTCCACGATCTGCGGTATCCGTTCCTGTTACATGAGAGTTTGTAGCGGATTCTTGCGTTTTTGTCCACGATCTGCGCGCGCGATATCGTTTCCCGTGACAGGCAAGTTTGTAGCAAGTTTGTTGCGGGTTCCCGTATGTTTATTGCACCATATAACTTGAATCTGCTGCGTCCGCGATATGCGGTATTTGTTCCCGTGAGATGCGAGTTCTCGGCGGGTTTCTGCGGGTCCTTCACACGGTAAAACGCGAATCTGCTGCGTCCGCAACCTGTGGTATCCTCAGCGACCCCGGAAGTGTATTCTACATGGGGGTGGCTACAGGTCAAAATAAAAAAAAAAGGGGGGGGGGGGGAGTGAAACAAGTTTAAATTGAAAAACACAATCATTACAAATATTTCATTGTTTATAAAATGTTTATTATCCCTAGCTATACGGTTTGTCCATACATTCAGACTAGGACCAGTGCGCCTCTTTAAAGTCATGAACATTTCAACCCGATATCGTTTCATGACCCCTTTAATTACTGCCTTTTTTTTTTTTCAATTCATTTACAGTAGACTCTCAGTAAACGGAACTCCAAGGGACCAAAAAAATTTGTTCCATTTGACAGGAGTTCCGTTTACTAAGAGAGATGTAAAAAAGTGCCGATTTATGTGTGTACACTCTCTTAATGCTATTTTATGGATGTCTAAACACTATGAGGTGAATGTAACTCATAGTTTTTTAGAAAGCAAGGAGACTACATGAGGTTTTTACATAGCATTCACAAGTTTATTAGGCAGCAATTAATCACTGTGGACTGAAAAATGCATAAATTTTCTTTTGTTTGAGTACTTGCATCTTTATCTTCAGAATCTTTTTCTCCATGTCACTTAGGCTTTGGAGAAACACATCCGATTCTGGCTCCTTAAGAAAAAAATTCCTTAGGTACAGCACGGCAGACTCTGCCCCTTGAAGTGTGATAACTTCTGTGGCAGCTACCTCTTCAGAGTCTTCTTCCACCTCCTCCTCCTCCTCATCGCATACTTCGTCAACAATGCTTTGCACAGTGTTGTCGGGGCAAGTTGCAACGCCGCTGCCAACTTGCACGTATTCATCGAAGTCCAATGTGATTTCTCTTAAAGCACACTGCTCAATTAGTACCCCCTGCCTTTCAAGGGCATCTTCGCTGTCACATTCAAAGTCCTCCAAGTCAGATGTCAGGTCACTTGAAAAAAATCCTGCTTGCCTGAAGCAATTTGCTATGCTAGTGGGAGTCAGCTGCCTCCAGGCATCGGCAATGAGGTGAACGGCGCCAAGAACGTCCACCTTGTACTCTTTATCCTGGCTCATGCACAAGAGCATCCCCTGCAAGAGACCCTTGCGGAAGCGTGACTTGAGGGCTTGGATAACTCCCTGATCCATGGGCTGCAACAGTGCTGTGGTGTTAGCTGGGAGAAACTCCAACTGAATCGACTTCAGTCCTGTTACAGTCCCATGTCGAGGGCAGTTGTCAATAAGGAAAAGGACTTTCCTATTTTGCCGCGAAAATCGCGCATCCTCGTTGTGCGGCCATTTGCTGAAGAGGGCTTGGGTCATCCAAGCTTTCGAGTTCGGCTCGTAAGTGACGGGCAGAGTAGTGATGCCCTTGAAACAGCGAGGATTTTTTTATTTTTCTATCACAAGGAGCTTCAACTTGTCGCTGCCCGACATGTTTGCTCCCACAAAAACAGTCTGTCTTTGCTGAGTTTGCTACCTGTGCACAGTTCACCTTTAAAAGCGATTGATTTTGATGGCAGGAGCTTAAAAAAGGGCTGTTTCATCCACGTTGTATATGTCATCGTCCTTGAACTGCCGCATTAGAAAGTCTTACTATAGCGTTGCTGGATCTTACGTACGCAATATGCAATAGTATAGCGTACGCTAAAAATGACCTGGTCGGACCGAATTTAGTTGTGCGTTACGTTTTCGAGTGAACACCGCGCATGATCTTGGTTAAATTTGCTAGAGCCGTAGAATTCCGCGTGCTTATAGCACAACCATGCTCCTGGAAAGAAATATTGAAAAAGAAAGTGTCCAATCATTTTATTTCAGATTAAACCAAGCCACAGCTGCCTCGTCAAGCGGGCTTTTTTGCGGGGTACAGAGGCTACGAGTGCGTAGCCAAATTCGATCACGGAGCCTCTGTCAGTCGTTCCGTGGAAACGGCACCTTTTATCAGTGCTGTCGCGGAATGAAATTCAGGGCCCTGATGTCCAGTGCATAGCGAGAACTTTGGCGATTTCTTTTAGAGTCGTTCGTCCGTCGGCGATGAACTGTGGGAATAGGCTTAGCGTTGAGCAGATCGCAGCATCGACGCACACTGCGAGCGGCGAACATTTCCACCGTGCACTCCTTCAGCTGCAGGGCGATCTGATTCGACCGTGGTAGGTCTCAGAAAGAATCGCCGAGCTCAACATTACGCAATTTCACGTAACACAGAACTTCGAAAACACCACGTCGCCCTTGCTGCGCCAGTTGAGGCAACCGCCATCTTGAAACTGGCGCTCTCGTTGGGTCCGAGATCTCTCGAGAGCGTCCCGCAAGGCCCGCTATCCAGCAACGCAAAATCCCCAGCGTTGCGTGCGTACGCAATACGCTAGCCTGTTCTGCGCATGTGCACTCACGACCCGCAATCTCCTTGCGTACGCAAAGCTATAGCGTACGGTCCACTAAAACTGTCTGCTATCTCCGGCAGCCGTCCTGCCCGCCAGTCACGACACGCAGTCGCATCAGCTGCAGCAGCTTCTCCCGCAATGGTGCGAAAAACGAGGCCATTTCTTTTTTTAAACCTTGTCAGCCAGCCTTCACTGCACAAGAAGTCCGTTATCCCGAGCTGAAGAACAAACCCTTCTGCTTTGGCACGGATTAGTGGCCCGTTGATGGGAATGCTATGGCTCCGGGCTCTCCTAAGCCACAAAACCAGACACTTCTTCAGTTCTTCGTGGTCGTCGTGTCACAGACGCTTCCTTTGGGGCCCGAATTGCGAAGTTTCGAAGGCATCTCGTAGCTTGTCCTTGTCGTGCAGGATCCTCGTTAAGCTGCTTTTCGGGGCGCCGTGCTTTGTCGCAAGCGCCGTCTTCGAGTATGAGCCGCTTTTGAAGCCAAGAATGATGTCCATCTTCTTTTCCAACGTCAGTGCATGGTGTGCCCGCTTCTGTGTCGCCATTGAAACAACGGAGGCAAGGCCTCAACTTCGCGAGCGCTTACGAGCCACCGAAGTTGGAAGACACCAACGCGGCAATGAAGCACGATAGGCACCACGACGGCAGGAACGATGCGGCTGTAACCTAGGCGACTCGAACAGAGACCGAACGACTTGATCAGGAACAGCGGTGTTGCATTCGTTGCGCCGACTACCAACAAGGCTTACGAGGCTAGAAAAAAAAAAAAAAAGAAAGAAACAGCCGGAATCGGAAAAGGCTGATGCTCATGGCAATGGGTCTGCCAGAAGTTCTATTTTCGGTTCCGTTTACATGGTGAAGTGCAAATTTTAGTTTCGATTACCGAAAGTTTTTTTTACCTTATCTGAATACAAAACCAACCAACTTACGGGCTACTCTTCCGTTTAAGCGGCAATTCCGTTTAAACGATTTCCGTTTATCGAGATTCTACTGTATTTACTCTCATCTTACATATGGGGAGTTGAACAATAAAGCAAAACATACAACAAAGTAATCTTGGTGGTTAAAGTACTTAGGGCTCAAACCGCCTCTCTCATGTCCCAAACTAACCGACTTCTGCATACAAATAGTAAAAGAAATAATTAACAATGAATGCAATTGTAATATAGCAACCACTATCATTTTGGGCACATTCACGGGCATCTCTCATGAAGATCAACAAGGTATTTTCAAACTCCTCTCCTACATGGTGTCTGTTTTAAGGGTAAAATGTTGCAATTAGTTTTAGAAATGGTCTTGCTTTTTCTAAGTTCACAAAATTTAGAGCTTTGCAGCCATTTAGACTTATTACTCTAAGCCAGGGGTGGCCAGGCTGATCTGGCCTAAAAGCCGCAAACAAAACCACCAACTTCCAAAAACCACCTAAAAAAAAAAAGGCAGAAAAAAAAGGGGGGGGGGGGGAGTTCAAACTTTTTTTAGACCATTAAATGAAACTAGACTACTTCAGCTCTATCTAAGTCAAAAGCAGTTCAACTGCACGTACGTATGGTAGTAATAGTACAGGACCAAACCGTAACCTGTCTCGATTTAAAACTCGTTCCTTTTCTTTTGGGGAAGCGCTCATGTGGCCAAGAGGGAGGCAAGAAAGGAGTGGGGGGTGGTGTGTTAGGTATACTATGAAGCCACGAGCCGCACTTCAACACGCAAAGAGCAACAGCTTGGCCACCCCTGCTCTAAGCTAAGAATAAAAAAAATGAAAGCCATTTACAATTCCCTGTAACGCCGGTTAGAGCGCAGCTTTTGAGGAGGAAGATGGAAGCGTTCTGAGGGATAGGTGACTCCTTGAGGTCACGTGACCTCAAGGGGGTCACGTGACCTCAGGGGGTCACGTGGCCTGAGGGGGTCACGTGGCCTGAGGGGGTCACGTGGCCTGAGGGGGTCACGTGGCCTGTGGGGGTCACGTGACCTGTGGGGGTCACGTGACCTGTGGGGGTCACGTGACCTCGCGGTGACGCCGACGCCGCTCAAGCCGGAAACGGGCCCCTAAGAGCCGCACTCTGAAAGTCATACCTCAGAGGCTCGTAAAAAAAAATTGCAGCGGTCATATCACTCGATGGCAGTAAAAGTGTTATTTCGGAATGCCAGATTAGACACAGGTTCCAGAGCAGTTGCTTGCAGTCACTGCCTTTCGAAAACTTTTGGGGGGACATCTCAAGAGCCGGCTTTTTGAAACAATTGTTAGTGGTTAGAAAGGAATGCTTCGGAAAGTTCACCGATATTTCTTTTTGCGTGTTCTAAACCTGTCGTTTCGGAGGAAACTTTCCATGTGGAACTACACTAAAAGACCAAAAATTAGTACAAAAAATAATGTGTAACATGTATGTTGCTCGTGTAGCCTTCGGCAACACTTGCTTGCCTTCCAACCCACTATTGTCCGTACAACGCGTCGAGGGTGCCCCAGTACAATAGAGGACTCCGTGGCCGTTTTTCCGTCTGGTTTCAATTAGAAGAGACCTCAAAGGACCGCCAGCGTTGACAAGGAGGGTGGGAGGCAACGCTTACATTTTGTTGCTCTAGCGCAGTTTTTTTTACAACAAGCTCACAAACACCAGCTCGTCTAAAGAGGGTAACTCTGTGGCATCCCTGTTTTCCCGTGGAAAACATAAAATAAAAAAGGGGGTGGGGGAATGGCACGATGTCAGAAAGCCAGGGCCCAGAAGCTTCTCTGAGTTTTGTTGCACTCTTAGGTCTGAGCTATTCTAAACTAAAACTGACTAGCATTTTTTTTTTTTCCCCAAATTTCCGGGGACCAGCACGGGGCCACATGGGGCCCTGGGCTGTAGCTCCCTAAGCCTATACCTTAATTCGGCCCTGGGGGAGAGGGAGGCCATGAGCCAAATGCATGGGGGCTCAGCATATTGCCCGGCACCCCCTGGAAAATGACAGCGGGGGCTCAAGCCCCTGTTGACCCCCCCCCGGTTCCGGGGTATCCTTTCCCGTTATACAGGAGTTCGTAGCGAGTTCCCATGTGTTTATCGCATCGTGAAACGCGAATTTACACTGTGCACGATCTGAAGTATCAGTTCCCGCGTCATGTAGTTTGTAGCAGGTGCCCGGTGTTTTTCATTATTTTTGTTAAAGTTTTGCTGTGAAATTCCCAAAGATAGCCCACCTCATGTTTTCACCATTTATCTCTTCATTTTGGGTGGGCGTTCTTTCTGAACTTTAGGGTATATAATTGGAGATTACAGTTATCAGTGGTGGTACAATGAAAACCTTGCATTCACCCCACTCAGGTCTTGGTTGAGCCAGGCTATGGCCAGGACGTGATGACGGTGCCGGCGCAGACGGAGTTGGAGCGCACCTCGAGCCTCGTCAACCTGTCGGCGGTCAGTACCCGTTTTCGTATTGTGTCTTGGGACCTTGGAGGCCTTTTCTGCAGCAGCTTTACCAGGGTTCCAAGGCTGCTGCAAATGCTGCTGAAATCTGCTGTCACAAAACTTGTGGGGCTCAGGTTGTTTTTGTATGGGGCCAAGAACTTTCAGGCTGTTCTTGGTAAAAGAATGTGGGTGCCTGCTTACATTATGTTTTTAGCACCTGACCCTTTACTGTCTCATTTGTAATGCAGACAGAGTGGCACGCCAAACGGTAACTTCAGGGCACCAAGTAACACCTAGTACTAGTGGGAAAACAATCGAATGTTCTGGTATAGGTACAGAGCACGACACTGTTACCGCGAACAAGCTATCGCTGGTTTTTCCAGTTTCTCTCTTTGAGACCAAGGGATGTCATCCAAGTTTTTATTGCTACGGAAAGAGCTGATATAAGTTCTATAATGTAAGTGATAAAATTTCGTGCTTGCTAATACAATTTAGAAGTAAAATGCCAAAATGCGCCGATGTCATATTCGCGCTAACAGTGTCGCGATGTGTACCTTATGCACCAACACAAGGTGACCAGTTCTTTTTTTTTTTATTTTACAGCGGAGCTGTTAAGGGCTAGTTTCCCCAGGATCGTGTCCCCCGCAAAGAAATGTTGACAAACTCTGGACAGCTACCGCCATCTATGAGCAACGGCGGCAACCAGACAATCGGCTTGCCGGCCTTGCTCATAGATGACGACATCCTTTCCAGCCTTTTCACTCTGGTTTTCACTAGAGTGGAAAGGCTGAATTTCTCTAGGTGTTGTCCTCAAGGTCATCCTTGAGGTTGTCTGAGAGGTTGTCCTTGAGGTTGTCCTTGAGGTCGTCCTAGAAGTTGTCCTTGGGGTCGTTTTAGACGTCGTCCTCGAGGTTGTCCTCGAGGTCGTCTTTGAAGTCATTCTTCAGGTCGTCCTAGACGTGGTCCTCGAGGTCGTCCTCGAGGTTGTCCTAGACGTTGTGTTGGGAATCGTCCTAGAAGTCGTCCTTGAGGTCGTCCTAGACGTTGTCCCTGAGGTCGTCCGAGACGTTGTTCCTGAGGTTGTCCTAAGCGTCGTTCTTGATGTCGTCTTAAAAGTCGTCCTTGAGGTCGTCCTAGACGTTGTCCTTAGGCGTCGTCCAAGAAGTCGTCCTTGAGGTTGTCTGACCATAGTACAGCTTCGCTGGTCTTTCTTCTTCACCAGAGTGGAAAGGCTGAAAGTTTTTTCTTTTTGTGTGTGACACGAGTTTGTTGCATGTTGCATTTGAAGCGGCGGGTGTCGTGCCTTCCACTGGTATGTTCCCAAGCCTCCATCTTGGCCTTTGTAAGAACCAGCGGCATATGAAGTAAGCAGACAGATATATAGGTGGGCTTTGCTGTAGCAGCCACTGTTCATTTTGCATGATCAACTTTTATCTAGGACAACTAAGCTATGTGCAATGTGTTTAGGTCACCACTGGGGTGCCAGAGTCATTCTATTGCGACATCTGTCTGTTTCCCACAGGCTGTGTCGGACAAGGCAAGTTCCGGGGTTGCGGAGGTTTCACTCGCAGTCGCAGAAGCCAGGCGGAGAACTCCCGGTCGCCGGGTCAGCTCGGCCAAGACACTCACGACTGGCGAGTTCTCGTTTTCTCAATCTGGCACTTTCGCAAGGTTTTCTGCTGTTTTAATCCTTTAACCCCCAAAAAGTTGTCCGCTCTTGTCCGAAATACCGCAAGAAACAGCCCTTTTTCTGAAAACATCGTTGCCACTGGTTGCCACCGGCTTTCCTCGTGCGTGCCGCCATTTTTAAATCACCGTTGCTAGGATACCGACTGTTGTCTCTTGACTGTTGACGCACAGCAATATTGCAAAACATTTTTTTTTCTCTGAACTTTTATCGCCCCCTGGTGTTGAAAATAATAACCGAAATCAACTACCGACCATAACTCGTCTGTGGCCTAAAGAGCAGCACAGCGTCGAGGTGGAGGAATGTGACTGTAGGTTAAAGGGTTAAAGCGATAGCTTTTTGGGCGACACATTAGAGAGATTTACACCTCGCCCTTTGTCGTTGCCGCTACGGAAAAACTCTTCTCTCCTTTCTTGGCGCGAGTTCAGGGAAGTTAGGTTTTTCCGTTGGCCGCCCTGGCATCCCGTCAGTAAAAATGCGACAAAAGGAGAGCCTTCTGAGTCGTCTGCTTGAAAGACTTGTTTTCAAACATTACTTGCGTTATGCAAAATTCCACTTTGACAGTATCCAGTTGCTACGTGCAATGTATGACTGTTTAAGCGCTTATCTGCTTACTTCACGGATCGCCGAGCACTCGTAGCGGTCGTCAGTGGCATTCATGATGCCAACCGTGACAGCTATGAGAATTAACCACGTCGCACCTCCGTCCTCAGGTATGTGACGGCACCATTCCACCCACATTGCGCGACCATGCTACAGCTATCGCTTTCGTTTCTTCGCACTTTGTAAGCGAAAAATACGAGTTTTATGATGTGATGCCGTTTGTCACTCCGCTAACATTGGGTGCATGAGACTGGGAATTGGTTGGTTGAGTCTTTTTTCATCTGAATAATAATTGGAAAATATTTTTTAGAAGTGATTTGATGGTTCTCTGATCTGCTAATTTTTCGAACTGCTCTATTTGGACATTTTTTCGATCCCTGCGAAGTTTGAAAAATCGGTCGGCAACTGTATAGGGAGTAGTACTCACTGGCAGCCATACCTGTGTGCACAACTGCTGAGCACGTGCTGACGGCGAACTTCCACAATTCTATTGCAACGTACATTCCACACCATCAAGATTGTCGGTTTTAGTATCCTACTAATGGGTGCTCGTTCTGAGCATGCACTCTAAACAGCGGGCTCAAATAATGTGGTAGCTTTATAGGGTGGGTGGTGCCCTTGTTTTGTGTGTGCCTAGGACAGAAAGACCCTTATACTTTCGGTGCCTAGGACAGGATTTTTTATGAAAACATATTACGTCATGATTGTCTCTTTGCAATGCTGCGTGGATTTCTTTTCAGCACCTTCCGGATGCAAAGACTTTGCACTAAATGTTCTAGGTCCTCAAGAGAAGGAAAGCGAACTTTGCTGCCCATTCCGCTCCTTGTTCCGCACACTCTTTCTACACCACCTGTTTCTTCTTTCTTTTTTGCCCTTTCCACCCCTCCGCTCCTCACACTTTTTCCCACCACCTGCTTCTGCTCCTCTCATTCCTGCATGCTGAGTCTGTAACTCAGTCAACAGCACACTCGGCTTCCTTGCCGGTGATTGGGGTTCAATCTCTGGCACCTGTTTCTGCTGTTTGTTTTTAGAGCGCAGCTCTTAGGCGCCCGTTCCCGGCTTGAGCGGCGTCGCCGTCGGCTTAACCGCACGGTGCATTATGAATAAATTTCCCTGCTAAATTTAGCGAAAAAACTTCCCCGCTAAATCTGGCGGAAAAACTTCCCTGCTAAATCTGGCGGAAAAACTTCCCCGCTAAATCTAGCGGAAAAATTTCCCCGCTAAATTTAGCGGAAAAATTTCCCCGCTAAATCTAGCGGAAAAACTTCCCCGCTAAATCTGGCGGAAAAACTTCCCCCGCTAAATCTGGTGGAAAAATTTCCCCTCTAAATCTAGCGGGAAAAATTTTCCCGCTAAATTTGGCGGAAAAACTTCCCCGCTAAATCTGGCGGAAAAACTTCCCCGCTAAATCTGGCGGAAAAACTTCCCCGCTAAATCTGGCGGAAAAATTTCCCCTCTAAATCTAGCGGGAAAAATTTTCCCGCTAAATCTAGCGGAAGAATTTCCCCGCTAAATCTAGCGGAAACATTTCCCCGCTAAATCTAGCGGAAAAATATTCCCCGCTACATCTAGCAAAAACAATTTCCCCGCTAAATCTAGCGGAAAAAATTTCCCCGCTACATCTAGCGGAAAACATTTCCCCGCTAAATCTAGCGGAAAAAGTTTCCCTCTAAATCTAGCGGAAAAACTTGCCCGCTAAATCTAGCCGAAAAACTTCCCCGCTAAATCTAGCCGAAAAATTTCCCCGCTAAATCTAGCCGAAAAATTTCGGTCACGTGACCCCTCCCCCGAGGTCACATGGCCTGGGGGGGGGGGGCACGTGACTCCCCCTCCACGTGGACCCCCCCCCTCCCGAGGTCACGGGACACCAACAAGGTCACGTGCCCTTGGGGGGGTCACGTGACCCTTTCCCCTATGTCACGTGACCCCCCTCCCTATCCTTCAGTACCCTTTGATCCTATCCCTCAGTACCTTTCCCTCCTCCTCCTCAAGAGCTGCACTCTAATCCGGCGTTACAGGGAGTAGTAAACGGCTTTCACTTTTTTCTTTCTTTTTTCAAAATCATTTAACAGTTATGAACTGAACTACACATTTTGTGCTTACGTGGCATCTAAGGTTGGTTAGCCCTGTAAAGCTAACGCTTTAAAAAACAACTTCACTATTAATCCTATAAGGCTGTGGCACACAACATTTTTCCGTAACATCTTTTTGTAATCTGTTCTAAAGTTGGATTCATCCAAGTGGCTGATGCTGTACCATTGTTTTTCTTCCTACTCAATGTTCATATGATGAATCAGTTTTATGTTCCCAAGTTTATCTGAAGCCATTTTTCTCCCGTCTCTTGGTCCCAGACCAAGGAACGGGATCAAAATGGCTTTAAATAAAGAAATGAACTGCAATTAAAGCATTATTCATTCATGCTTCAATTGCAATTAATTTCTTTAATTAGTTTGCTGGTCAGTTTCATGGCATTTTGCAGGCTCGAATGACACTGAGAGAAGTATTATTAAATTTGAAGTAACTCTTTCTTCTCATTGAAAGCATAGAAAGGTCTATCTTTATTTGTTATTTGTGTTCTCTATACTTCTATTAGGGTTTAAGCTCAGTTGAGTGATTCTAGGTAATGCGAGAAAAATGATAGTTAAGCTGAAACTTTATATAGTGATACTTAGTTATAACGACAGTTCACTGAGCTTAGAAGCTCACTAGAGTGAACTTTAGACACCATACAGAAACTAACTAATCACTAAACTTAAACTTCATTCTTGTGAAGTTTACTACAGCGATACTTCACTCCTGTAGTGTTAATATAAGACAATAGTAGAAGATTCTTTTTTTAACGTCATTCTGAAATATTTGTGGTTCACTAAAATGGCTGATGCTGCATTATTTCTTTTCTTTCACTACAATGTTTGTATGATAAATCAGCGTTTTGCATCCCAAAGCTTATCATTGAGGCTGATCTCTCCCCCGGTGCAGAGATGTACAACAAGATGTTCCAAGAGCTGGGCCTGCCCGAGCACCTCCAGATGCCCTCCGTGTCGGAGGACGCGAAGCTACTCCCGCGGTGTCCGAGCCCGCTGGTGCCCCCTGTGGGCAAGTGGTCCCTGCCGGAGGTGCCCCACGCCCTCCAGGGCTGTCACGTGCTCTCGGCAGACATGTTCTCCAAGGACCAGATGCACGCCATGTTCAACTTGGCACATGCCTTCAGCCTCTTCGTGAACAAGGACCGCCCGCTCGACCACGTGCTTAGGGTGAGCTTGCGTCCGGTGGCTTTGAGGCAGGGCGCGGGATCCCCAGGTGGCGGGTTCGAAGCCCGGCCGAGGCACCCGCAATACGACGGAGGCTCATTGTGGAGAGGGCAACGTATGACCGAGGTTTTGCTTGCATCGTCAAAAAATCTCCAGGTGGTCGAAGACAATCCTTAGCACTCAACTGGGGCGTACCAGATGCCCTTCATTGGTTTGGCTCGTAAAGCGCCCAAATTTGATTTTGACTTGTGGTGAGCTCGCGTGCCACCAACGCCCTACTGCACCTAAATTATGGGTTCTCAAACTGTGTTCTCCAATGCTCCCTCAAGGGTTCCCCGAGCTCCCGAATTTCCTCTTTTATTCGCCCTGAAGTAAAGTGTTGTTTTTAGTCTAAGCACGACTTCTGCAAATATTAACCATCCAAGAATGCGTGGCAATGCCCCGGATACTCCCTAGTATGTGCGTTATTACATGTGACAGCATTTATGAGTGAGCCTTCAACGTTTTTGTGTCCGTCGGTTGGTTTGGGACCAAAGAAGCAGGTGGCACACATATGTTGTAGACCTACTTTAATTACCGTATTTGCATGAATATAACGCGAAAGCAGGTTTTAATGCCCTCAAAAAGAAAAAAAAAAAAATTATTACTATTATAACGCGAACTGAGGCTGCGTCAATTTCTCGCACTCGTGGACATAGCAGATTCGAAAAGTCAATGGAAATAGAAGAAATGTCAGTTTATGTTTTGACTGCACTCATCCTCACTGCTCAGGTCCTTCCGTTTACGGAGATATGAAGCAGCAGCACAGCACCTGCTTGTCTGGTAGTTCCTTTTTCTTCCGTGCATGCGAGCTCCTCGGCAGCCCACAATCCAAACAAGGCACGGAGCAGAGGCACCAACACACAAACACCAGATCACTCTGGAGCAGAAACTAAACAATGCGCAGGTGGAAAAAAGACTGCTGAATCCAGTACACGATCACACTTCTTGTTCTGGTCCCTCTGCATAAACAATACGTAAACGCGGTTGGTGGTCTTAACCTGGCTTGGCTTGTGTTGACTTGACTTGGCTCGGCTTGGCTTGGCTCGAATTGGCCAGTGCCCACATTTCTGTGGCGTGCGCGCCTTGTACAAACACAAAAACAATAAAAATGTTGTTGTTTTTTTTTTGTTGTTTTTTTTATTTGTTCTTTTTAATAATTTCCCTTCCACACCCCTACTTCTTTTCCCGTTGGATATTTTGCATTAAGCCGGAGGGATGGCTTTCTCCAGACTTGCACGCCTCGTGGATGAACTCGATTCCGAATATAACGCGAGGTGCGTTTTGGAGTACGTAATTTCGAAAAAAAACTTGCGTTATATTTGTGCAAATTATGCATAGACAGGGGTAATGCGCCCAACGAATGTGATATGGTGTACTATTAGCTTCTGACTGGAAAATACAGTTACCAAGCTTCTTATTATGTTTACATGCACATTTTGTTTACATTGGCATAATAAGAGAGAAACATTTTAATTGCAGTAATGTTTCAGGGAAAGTAGATTGGTCGCAGGAGGCTCGTCTGTGGGAAGTAGACATATCAGACAATTATGTGAATTGGTTTCAAGTGTAGTAAAAAAAGCTTTACGTACGCTGGCGAAAAATAATTTTAGAATTTTTGCCACATTTCCCAAGCAGTTCAAGAAAAAGTTGCACGGTACAACACAGCATAAAATGCTCACAAGCCTTATTTTTATCTCGCGACTTTGCGTTTTTCCTGCCACGCAGGGGAAGGTGATGGCGTCCGTCTTCTACGAGGTGAGCACGCGTACGTCGTGCAGCTTTGCGGCGGCGATGCAGCGTCTCGGCGGCACGGTCATCCACATGGCGGAGTCAAGCTCCTCCACCCAGAAAGGAGAGAGTCTCGAGGGTGAGGAACGGGGTGTACTTGCAAACGTCGGGTTTTCTCGTTCCCCGGACGAAGCTTACCATTCTCTCCCGTGGGGAGCGCACGTCGCTCCCTGACACGTGTTCGCAAACTTGCGTTTACAGAGCGGCCAGAACACGCAGTGGTCTGGTTTTTCTAAAAACCAGAACACGATGTCGTGCACAAAACTGCCAATGAGATTGTGCACTGCACTACACAACATCGGTGGTTGCTTTTTTACAGCGGAGCTGTTAAGGGCTAGTTTCCCCAGGATCGTGTCCGGTACCAAACAAATGTCAACACAACGCTGGTTGCCACTGTCGTTCATAGATGGCGGTAGCTGTCCAGAGTGTCGTGTTTGCCAGTTGTCTGCTTGCCGCCGTCGCTCATAGATCGCGGCAACCTTTCAAGCCTCGGCAACCAGACAACTGGTTGCTGTTGTTGCTCATAGATGGCGGCAACATTTCTTCGGAGGAAGAAGAGCAGAAACAGAACGAGCGGCGATGTGCGCAGCAGCGGGAATGGTTCCGCAACCGCTGCGAGGCCGCTATCGCCCAAAAGTTCTACTGCATCGAGTGCTTCAGATTCTCTTTTGAAAGAAGAGCAGATAGCTTGCCTGGAGAGCCGCTGTTGAGAACAGAAGCTACAGCTTCACTGCTCTTCCTTCTTCACCAGAATAGAAAAAGTGAAAGTTTTTTTCTTTTTTTCACTTTGCTCGGATGATGTATGGCTGCGCTCCAAACTTTAGCACCTGGGTCAGTGCCCTGTAAGAGGACTTCCTTCCATGCTACTAGTTTTTATGGCAGCCTTTTTGTTCTTGGAGAACAACAAAGAAAAACCTTATTGTCCTAACAGCTTTACATCATGCGTCGTACAATCGGTGAGCGCATCATTCTCTACTTGGTGCCTGCAGTCGGCGCAAACGCGGTGTCGGCACGTTTTTTGTATTTTACTCAGATGGGGCATGTACGACCAGCAAATATTATTGGTTTGGCCAGTGACCCGAATGAGCTTTTTTCACCGCACCAGTAATTCTGTTGACAGCCTTTCGATTACGAGAGAAAAAACCAGAAATGCCTTGGATCGCTCGTTTGTCCCAACTGTGAGGCACTCCATGTGTCAAGCGAGAGAATAGCTTTGGGCTCAAGGCCCTTTCTTAGAGCCCCAAGCTTGTGGAGCTACTGTTAAAAATCGGATGCTATACTCTTCACATGGGAAAGTCATATGCCCTAGTCTTCACATGGAGGTCTGTGACATTGTTGTTTTGTTAGTGACCTTCAAAGTGAACTGTGAAGTGTTGCCGAATACTTGTTTGTTTCCTCGCTTCAGATAGCATCGCAGTCATGGCCGGCTACAGCGATGTCGTGGTCCTGCGGCATCCACAACCCGGCGCTGTCATGGTGAGTTTCTTTAAGAAATTGTGAAACCTTTGTGAAAAGAGTAAACTTCCTGGAATTCATTTTTTTCTTGCTTGCTATCACGACAATTGCGTAAGTTAGAGGTGCACTACAGTTAGCTAGGGGCGCAACTACGACGGGGGGTTTGTGGCACTTGAAAGAGCCGATTGATCGTCAACAAATGGTTCAAACAACAAATTTCGTGACCACAGGCGTGCTGAATTTGGTGGTAGCTTGAAGTAAATGATCTACTTGAAAAGCATGCCTGAGAAAATTAATTTAGAAATTTTCTTACATGGAAAGTCCCAATAAGTCAAAAAAGTTGTGCTTTCAAAATTTTTGTTTTTTGTGTTTGTAAAATACTATAGTAGTAAAATATGTCTTTGTTGAGAAAAATGATATGGCTTACCTCTTGATACTAGTCTTCAGCTGGAAGGGTTTGTGTGTTTGATTGAGGTTAAGATAATCCTTTTCCTTTCAGTACCTCACTTTAGGAGAAACGTTTGGTTTCCTTACACCAATGTTCCCTCTTTATTTGTTCGCATAGCGAGCAGCCAAGCACTGCCGCAAGCCTGTCATCAACGCTGGAGACGGTGTTGGCGAACATCCCACACAGGCGCTACTTGACATCTACACCATCCGGGAAGAAATCGGCACCGTGAACGGCCTCACGGTAAATGGATGTTTGTCCTCCTAAATATGTCTTCTTTTTTTTTTTTTGTGTGTGACATACTTTTGAAGAATTTGTTTTACACTAACTGGAGTGGTCTTAGAAAGGAAAAACTGGCAGATGGTACCGTATTTTCCGGTGTATAGGTCACAGTTCTTTTGAAAAATTATTCTTGATTCATCTAACAACAATGCAATTTATATGCTTTATTTTTCACGGTGCGACGTCATGTTTTCGTGCGCTACACGCCATTTTTTGTGGAGCACCGAACTACGTAGCCATAGGTGGTGTTGCTCTTTCCAGGAGGCACTGCTGTTGCTGCACTCTTCTAAACTTTTCATAACTGAAAGCAAGAAACCACTGCATGGTCCTGGAAATATTGAACCACCAGGACCAGATGGGATTTTTCAATCGTACACCAGTCACCTAGTTGTGTTTGGAGATTTGTGTTTGTCCTTTGTCCCCCTGGTTCCCTCTCTCGAGGGTTTATTCTCGTCGTTCAATCTTGTGCTAAAGTGCAGAGAAGGGGAGCACTGTTTATTTTTTACACGTTTGACTTTGGATTGTAGGTCATAAACACGAGTGTTTTATAAATGGATTGGAGAAAAACAAATTTCATGATCCAAAATGGGAACAAGAAAGCATATTTCTCGACAGAGCAATTAAATTATTTTGCCAGCCAGCGAATGCAAATGAACCTAATCCTGTTTGGTATTGTGTTCGATAGATGGCAGACCCCATAACCTCCATAAAAAAAATGGCACGTGTTCCACACCGCGCTCCCTCCGTCCGAGAGAAGTGTCGCGTGTCTTTAGATGCGCTTTCCATTTCAAGGTTCAAATAAGGGTACATCTAAACACGTGCTTTCCATATAGGGGGTTTCAGAATGTTGGAGCAGTGTTGCACATTAAGAATGTTGGAACAGTGTTCTACACACGATTTATTGGTTATGTTGCGCAGGGTGAGGAGAATGTACCACATATGTACTCCTATTCCAACCCCGCTCATTTTTGGCGGCTCAGGCTCGGCTAACCGCTCGGGAATTGTGCAGGTGACACTGGTGGGAGACCTGAAGCACGGGCGGACGGTGCATTCTCTGGCCCGTCTGCTGACCCACTATGACGTGCAGCTGCGCTACGTCGCCCCCAAGAACCTGGGCATGCCGGACTCCGTCAAGGAACTTGTCGCCTCCCGCGGCATCCCTCAGGTGGGTGGCGTGAATCGGCTCGGCTTGCGGACGTACAGCGTGACGGGAAAAGGTTGGGTCTTTCGTGGAACTGCATAAACTTCATACAGCACTAAACAGGGCGGCACCTCTCGTTGGAGACGCTTTTCTCCGACGTGAATGGTGCAGCAATATCCGCGCGCTTAGCTGTACAAAACAAAAATTGGAACCTGCTTCACATAGAGCCGACTGACGCAGAGAACGTAGCACGGTTGTGTCGAGCTGTTTAGATCTGTTGCTTCGGTTTTGCCCGTCCAGGCATTTGTCGTGATGCGATGGAAAGTCGGATGTCAACGTGCAGTGCATTGTATGTCGGTTAGCTGCTTGGAGAAAGGTGCGTTCGAGCATGGTCTGGGGCGGGTTTGTGGACGGGCGCCTGAGTGGACAGGCTGTGCTTTGACCGTCCTTTTGTAGCCGCCGACATCTCAAGAAATAGGGGGCGTGCCGAGTGTCGGACACCTCATTATCGCCTTGCAGCTAATGAGGTCGACGCATTACCTGACAGGGACGCTAAGGAATGAATCTCAAAACAAGAAGTGTGAAACTTAAGCTGCGCCCTGCTTTTCTCGTACTGCCAGTGACAAGAGGATAAAAGAAGGCTGTTGGACATGTTTGATTTTGGAATGCAGGAGGAGATTGCAAGCTTGGAGGCAGCATTGCCAGACACGGATGTGCTGTACATGACGAGGATTCAGAAGGAACGCTTCAGCAGTGCCGAGGAATACGAGAAGGTACAGTGATGTCTCACCTCTCTTTTCTCGTTTCGTTGTCTTACCTTCCTTGATATATATGAGCATTGTACTCTAACTTTGCCACCCACTTTTTCTTTTTTTCAATGGGAGGTTGGTTAACATGAATATTAATTTCCCTTTGAAAGACAAAAATAGCAAAATAATAAAAATTTTAAAAAGTGTGAGGATATGTTTCTCATTTAATTTTTTGCACATTGTAACAGATGTGTTCAAACGGGACATTGTAAGCATAGTGGCACTCTTCTTTTCGTTTCTGCTCATCTCTGAAGTGAGCCAGGTGAATCACAAAGCTCAATTTATATACGAGGAGATTAGGTTCCTATGACATCACTTGGTTAATTTTTTTGTGTCTATAGTGCTACCGTAATAACCCCAGTCATCGCCCACCCCATTTTTTGGGCCAATATCGATTTCCAAATAAACACCGAGTCATCACCCACCCATTCAAATGCCCCAATGCGGATTCCGCGATCTGCGAACGCTCATCCTACCCGAATGACGTGGCCGCAGACGTTACAGTTGGAGGACGTCCGTGACAAAGTAAAGCGAAGGAGAGAAAGACACTTCTCCTTCTCTTTCTTTATGCATTTCCTCCGTGAGCGACCCCGAAGTGGTAGTGTATCCGCGCGAAAAGAAAAGGATGGAGATAACAGAAGAGAAATTTTTTTTTGCTCACAAAAAAATTAACCTTCCCTCCAAAAAAAAAGAAAAACGGAAATATAACAGAAGCAGTAACCCAGTCAGGGATCGCAAGGTAAGCGAATGCCCCATATCCTGGAATGTAACCGCAGAGTGTAGGGTCAAAGTCTGTCTCTGCCAAAGTAAGGTCGCCGCGAACCTGCTACTTCTCCCCGCACGTAGCAACCGCGGTTGAGCAATGTTTTGGACAAAGCCAACGGGTAAATAAAGCTTTACTGGAACACCCTACACAGACGTTTGTAGAGCGTCCCGAACCCCCATTGATAGCACGTTGTGCACGGACGCACGCATGTACGCACCAAACAAGAAAGTTGCACAAGAGCTTGCGATTGACAAGGTGCCCGACTTGGCCCGACTTTAAAGTCACTGAGATCTGTGGCGTAGTCTCTGCAAAGCTCGTTTCCCTCCCATTCCATTTCGCCACCCCGCCCTGTGGCTGCACAGAGCAGTGTGGTAAGATGGATCCTTCAGCTGCCCCCCTCCCTCCTACAGTTGTAACCTTGACACAAGCCAAAGCGATAATTGAGTCACGACAAAAGCCACAACAGCAGCTTTTGTCATGACCCAAAATTGCGATGACCCTTTGTCCTGGAGAAAACTTGACAAGATAAACGGTGGACCCCCTTTTGTCAGTGGTCAGAGATTTGAAAGGAAACTGCAGAGGCCACTCCTCAGGACCAAAGACCCTATGCTATGACCAAGCTTACTTGTAAAATGCAGTGTTTTTTCTTCTTTTTATTTATTTATTTATTTTTGCCACTGGGACTTAGAAATTTTGAGTTTTTTTAACAAGTTTTACCAGCAAGTGTTTCCCTGATTTTATTGGATTTATTTGAAAACGGGGAACTCTAGTTGTAACCGACGGGGTTCTGAGTGGCGTGTTTCTCTTCCCTCTCTCTTCCGCAGGCCTGCGGCCTATTCGTTGTGACACCTCAGCTGATGACCAGGGCAAAGAAGAGAATGATTGTGATGCACCCCCTGCCGCGAGTTTTCGAGATCAGGTGCGTGAATGCGGTATGCGTTTGTGGCCGGCACCCGAAGGCCCGTTTTTACGCCTCTCGTGTTTAAATTGGAGAGAAAAAAGCGCTGCACATGGTTAAGGAAATTTGGGAATTTTGGAAACCCCTGAGGGTTTCCAAATTCTATGCTCTATGCACAGTATCGAGGGAAACTGTAGTCTTTTACCTTTGGACGGAGAGGAGAGGTACTACTGACGTCGAAAAAAGCCAACCAGGATGTTTGTTTCGAGGAGAAACAAAAGGGGGGGGTTGGTTGTAGCTTCTGGGGCGTTACCTACTTTTTCTTCCGCTCAAGCGCGTCAGTTGCTGCTACACTCTGTCTCGCCGTAACTTGGCGAGCGGCGAGGGCTACGGTCCCGGCGAGCCAGTCTGCACGTAGCTGGAAGGCGCGTGACTGTACCCTATCTTACTAGTTGCATGCAGTGCTGTCGAAGCCACGGGCAGGAAAAAGAATAAAGCCGCTTTTTGTACAAATTTTGAGCCTAGAGTCAAACTCGAATTTTGAACTCCGCCAAGTTACGGCGAAATGGTCGCTGCACGTCGGTGGCCTCCACAGTCTCTACGACCTTTACTGACAAGTTCAAAGGGCAGAGGTCAGGTCCGCTTGCTCTCATGTTTACTGTCTCTGTGGGGAATGCGGTGGCACGTGTTTGTCGGCCACGAGCGATGTTACGGCCGAACTACTGCATTTCACATTACAACGAATGTGGGGGGGCGGGGGGGGGGGGGTTGCCAGTGCGCTTGACTCCGGGAGGTGGTTTAAAGCATTGAAAATAAGATAGCCACTAAATAGGTGACGCATTGGAGTAACGACACCTCGGCCGCCTCGATGCTTACAATCGCCGTTCCCAGTTGTCCGAAGCTCGATCTGAGATCGCAAGAAATGGTTGTCCATCCTCCAGAAATTAATGGTCCACAACGTAGCAGAACGACGTCGCCAGCGACGGAAGGGCTGCGCCATTGGCGCCAAATCGTGCCTCAAACGAAAGTGTGCCACACTTTGCGCCAGAGCACCGATTTTGCTAAGAACCATGCCGCAACTGTGCCAAAGCAGGCTTAAACGAAGCAAAAATCAAAATCTTCTGTTATTAATCGATGCCAATGCTTGGAGAAGTGGAGGGAAACGAAAATTGTACAAATCTGTGGTTCACGGCATCTATACCCTACGCATCGTTTAGGTTATTTTTCATCTTAGGTTGGAGCGCGTTCAAAGGCTTAAATGTATACTATCACGAAGACGGGCTAAAAGCACGAGTTTCCAGGGGAATTTGCTGCACTTGGCTGTTTTAGCTGACGAAAGCTGTAACGAATGCCACGATGTCGTGCTTTTGACACTGTCCCATCAGCTTGTAGCATCGCCATGCTTTGACTTAAGATGAACTGTTGATATGGCTTGTCAACTGCACCGGCCCCGTCATTGTCTGAATTTACAGACTACGTTGGTGACAAAGAGTTGCGAAAAAAATGTCCAAGATAGTGGGATTGCGGCTACTAGAAGGAAACAGGATCAAGGTCTTTTACTCCTAATAATGTTGACTGATCATTGCATCTGACACGTGCCTGCATGCCATGGGCACAGTGTACCGTAGCACCTGTGCCTCTCGCGTCAACCTTCACCAGTGCACACGCGTCGAAGCTTCACCGCTTTGCACCGGAGTGCTAGGAGCAGCGGCTGACGTGGGGAAGCTCACGGGCTAAGCTTCGTTTCAGCTTAGGTCCGAGCGCAGCGAGAGGCTTGGGGTCATTTCACCACTTGGACAAGAGCGTTCGTACGCATCACAATGTAGTTCGCAAAAGTATAATTTTAGAAATACTTTATTTATGGGAAAACATTGCACAATTTTCCAGCTGTATCCTGCTGAGACCTAATTATAAAAATATAAATGAAATAAATGATGTTCCAGGTTCTTTATATTATAGTAATGAATATGGTTTGAAGAAAAACACCTACCTGCTGGCAACACTGATGCAACTACTACAAGTTTTTTCAGTTCTTTTTTTTTTTTTTTTTTCTTGTTTGATTTTGTGTTCTTAATGACCGAATCGTAAGTTTCAAGTTCAACGCTTTCCTCGCCAGGTGGCTGGATATCCTTTGGTTTTCTGTTTTTCCAATTTCCAACGACAACGCAAGATAAGAAGAAAGGCTTCTTTGAGCGTCAGGTTCAAGATCGTGATGAATGTGTACTTTACTTTGTTAAGAGTCTCAAACTGTGTCGCACCGCAAAGTTGTTCAATGAACATCGGAGCTGACAGACGTTGGGAAATCGAAGAAAAGTTTATCTGCCGACGGCGGGAAATATTCTCCGGTGAAAAATGGGTCAAAATCAGGTCAGAAACAAAACCATGCGGTGTCGGTGGAGTGCCGAGAAAACGCATATTCCAGTGCAACCGGAGGGAGGCGGTATGCGTTTGTTGCTGTTATGCGTTTGCGGGGAGGGCTTTGTCTGAAATCGGAGACAGTCTACCAAGAGAGCTCGCTCAGCCTGCTTTTTCCGTGGGCTCCAAATGAAACCACGGCAGAGAGGAAGACCTGTCTGGGCACAGAACATTACCAACTTCCATGTTCCAGCCCTGGCCTTCCTCTGCCAACAGTGTGACGGACCTTCGCGAAGCCGAGCAACCACCACACTGAACCGGAGTTTTAATTCAGGACGCGAAATGACATTTTTATTTATGGGGCAGACGACGCCGTTGATACTCCCATAGCCAACGAAATGTCTCTCTTCAACTTTTCTGCACCTCCGCACAGATTCGTTGCAGGTTGATATACGAAGTGCAGGAGAAGTCATGTCCTATCGCTGGCGTTTGATTGGCCCTAGCCACCCGTAGCTTTAACCATGCTCGGAGCTAAGCTGAAACGAAGTATAGCGAGATCGGCTCGGAAATTATGCTCATTACTATTATGTGCCGACCTAGCTTCTTTGGTCTTGACTGTAGGTTGATCTCCATTCATAAAAATCTTCGCTGAGAAAGAAGAAAAAACACGGGTCTATATTTGAATAAATATATTAGTCAAGGTGGCTCCTGTGCAGCGGTCGATCGAAAGGGCAGCAAACTTTGACTCAACCCTGCTTTGAACGCCGCTAAAGCGCCATGTAACTTTTAAACCGAAAATGTAGGTTTTCACAATATTTACGAGTGGCTGTTTTTGCAGTTTATAGAATCAAAATCTTGAGTTTGGTATTCATAAACCTTGAGGGGGTATCTTTTATTTTTTGACAGTTTTGGCAAATATGCTGATCTTTGCCGGCATTTTACGGAAATTATATTTACAGGCTAAATTAATTACCAAGGGTAATAGAGGGATGAAGAGAGAGTCTTTATCTCAACTGAAGTGTTGCTCTATGGCTATATGCTTCACATTTCAACCATTTGTTTTTACATGCTTGTAAATTAAACCTACTCTGACCCAAGCCTGACTTTTAAAGAAGGCTGCATGTTCCCTTTGCATCCTCTCTATTCTTACTACAAAAGACGAGAAAGTAATATGCTTCAGTATCAAAGAGGAACCCCCAGTCATTAGCAGATATGAACTTGTTTAGTGAGACAATCACGTTTTCATTATCAAGCAACGGGCTAGCAGACGTTGGCGTCTGCTCGAAGAATGTCAATGGCTGCTCCAAACCAATATTTTGCCTGCTACAAAACCTGCCACACAAGGTCCAGTACTGCTTCCATCACTGTGACGCCGAAGCTTCCCCACACGGTGTCTTAAAGGCCGCCATACAACCTTGGTTTTCTGCAAAGGAGCTTATCCTCTTAGCGCTCCCCCTCTTCTCCTAAGCTGCAAGGGAAGCCAAGGTGGGGCAAGGTAAAAAGTGGACAGGATACAGGAGAGGAGGCAGGCAAAAGTGGAAAGGGCAAAGTGTACGTTGGGTCCTTAAATTCAAGATGTTGCTTTTCCGAATCGTAACAATTGCCAATTGTGGGTGCACCAAGATGGCGGCACCCAAAAGTAAACTGGGAAAAGGACACAAATTATCTAGAGGCTCTAGCTAAGATTGTGCTCTTGGTGCTGGTGCAACGGTTCTGCGATATTGAAACATGCACTGCCTCCAAGGAGGGGTATCGAAGTGGCCCCGGCAATGGAAATTTGTAGCAAACATTGAATCTCTGACCCGCCACCTGATCTTTGCAAATAAAAGTGTTACTGTAGGACCATAGCTTTTCGTGAACTGGTTTACAGTGTGGTTCGAATATTCCCTCAAAATGGGGTTGTTTCTGCTAGAAAAAGAGGCAACATGTAAGCATGCAAAGCTCACTTTGTAATGGACTTTGTGTTGTTTTTCTTTGGAAAGAGTTAATGCCAACCCACCATCGACTTCTCATGAATTCATACTGAGGTTTTACGACAGTAAACACGGGGACAAAGAGTGAGAGGCAACACAGGACGATGCCTTGTCCTGTGTTCCCTCTCACTTTTTACCCCCGTTTTGGAGCGTAAAAACTCGGTGTGAATCAGAACCAACTAACCCAACCTACACTCTTAATTCTCGTGAATGTTGTTAATGCTGCTTTAATGCTTTGATAACGAGTTACTCCGCTAATTGTTAATTAGCAGCTTTTTGGCCCATTCAATGTCTGTCCTGGTATGTCCGTAATCGAATGTTGGGTGGCATGTTACTTCATCTGCGTTCTTGGTTCGCTCTTATACCTGCCACATCACCCTAGTATGATAACTAAATTTGTATGAAATTTCAGTAGATATTCCGATCACCTCTTCGACAATGTAGAGGAACTCGGAAACTTGTTTTTAGATGCAATATCTTTAGTACTGCAGCGTTTTAGCAGAGGAGAATGTGATTTTCATTGTGACGTGGCATCTTGCGTTTCGAAATGGGGAGGGAAAGACGGGCAGACAGAGAAAGCAAAGAGTGAAATGAAATTATATCTTGACGAGTGTGGCTGCTTTTAACCGGCATCATTTTCTTCGTATTCAAGGTGTAAATTAGTTTTAAAGTGACGGCTTTATATGGGAATTTTGCACTGATCTTGCTTCCTCTTGTTGGTGGTGGTTTCACTAGCAAGGCTGTTAGAAAGTGTCAGCAACGTCATTGTACGCGCAACGAATGGTACAGCACTGCACGGAAAGGGAGGGGGGTAAGTGGGGCATAAGCACTCTCCTCTCCCCCCTCCTCCACTGCGTAGGGCCAAAAGCTGCATAGTAATATAGGAACTGTTAGTAGAATAACCTAGGAGACATGAAGGCATTTCAAAGTGTTGCTCGTTGGAAACCCCATTGAGTACTATCTCACCACCATTGCATTTGACGAATTGTCTAAGGCAGGCAATTATTTTTTGTCTTGCAGCCCCGAATTCGACACGGATCCACGGGCCGCGTATTTCCGCCAGGCAGAGGCCGGGATGTACGTCCGCATGGCCCTTCTAGCGATGGTCCTCGGCCGCGTCTGAGAAGCGGCCGTCGCACACCTTCTTTTGGGCGTTGTGTTCGTCTATTTGTTGTTATGGTGCGACGTTTCTGTTTGCGCACCTCTCGCACACCTCACGTGTGTGGACATTTGAATTCGTCGAGCGTCGGGACACTTTTTTACTCTTTGGACACACTGCTACGCTCCCTTCTCTCGAAATGATCGGCCGTGGTTTGCGTTTCCTGTATATTGTATGTTGTTTAGCGCGTAATATTGGCGGCACTGGGCACTCTTTACATAGGTTTCGTGTACTGAATTGGGGGTAGCAGTTTTATTTGGTGCGTGTTATACTTTGCAATTGTTAGATTGGTGGCACCGATGCTGTGAATTTTTCTCACCCGAACATTTGTCGCCGCTATGATGATTACATTGCCTACTTTATTGTGATTGTTAAATTGGGGTGGCAACGATGCTGGGATGAATTTTCCTCGCCCGAACGTTTGTTGGCAACACGATGACTGCACCTGCTAACATTTTATAGTTTTGTTTGCAGTGGGGTTTGTGTTGTTAAAAGCACAGCCTTTTCTCTGAGTGTTTAAGCGAGTTCAATCTTGAAAAATTTAGTCGTGGCTACAAGTTCACTCCAGGAGTTTAAAGTGGGCTATAATCAAGCACACATAAATAATAGGTTTGCACTTTATTAAACAGTAAACGTCTACTCTAGCCAGTTATTTTTGGAGACAAATTTACCAGGTGATTCTACTGCTAGTATGTTCTATACAGATCTGAGTCTACATAAATTAATTAAATGATGATTGCAAGTTTCCATACATTGATTGATATTGATTTAGATGTGCCATATTAATGAGAATAAAATGCCTTGTTTTTGTTGTTTTGTGTTTTTTATTTTTTTATTTTTTCTGTAATCAGATTCAGTGCCATTTCCATTCAGAATTTGTTGCAGATATTTCTACGCAGGTGCTGGAATAAAATATATATATTTTTTGTAACGTCAATAAAACAATTGCAGAACGCAAATTGTTTCATGGCTTTTTTATGTCTGACTTCCTTTACGTTATATTTTGTTCCGAAGACTGATCGATTCCAGTGCCAAGAAATGGGTGCAGCTTCCGCCCTTTTGTTCCAACGCGTCACTCTTTATTCCCGCGTAAAACCGGGAAGCGCGCGCTGCTTATTACGTCATCATGACGTCTGTGCACGTGATCGCACATGTGACCGCCGCCGCAGAGGGGCTGAGGCTTGACTGTGTTGATGCGTGAGTCATTCCGTTTAAAAGCTGCAATCTCTTCACCGGCCCTCTGGCTGCATCTAGTTCAAGAAGCACCTGTGATAAAGGTGAGCTAAACTTTCCTGCAAGTGATTCAAATAGTTGGTTAGGCCGTTTGTTGTTAGAGGTGCGAACGACGAGTGTTTGACGCTGCTCAATGCTGCGCTCTGGGCAGCGGTCAAGTCGTGTTTGATTATTCGTAATTTAAAACGGGCATGTATGATTTAAGTGGCCCAAACTCGATCAAAGTGTTCGTTAACTTCTCTGTCGAAAGCGGTTAGCGACGTTGCTCTGTCGGGACGGTGAAATTGGAGCTTGCACTCGTCGTGTAAACAGATACCGGATTTTTTTTCCATCGGGAGATTTGAAGCGGCTGCTCCGTGCTGTTTTGTTGGGCAATTTTATTGGTTGGGGATGTCTGCTGTTTCCTGCTGCCACTAACGTTAGCTGCTACCATACCGGAGCGTTTCCACTCGTACGGTAATCCAAGTTCTCACTGGCAGACAATGCAAAAAACAAAGAAACAAAAAGTCCCGTGACTGGCAGTGCGTCATTTGTTTGTTCTAACCGTCGCAACTTATCTGGCGGATCGATATATCTTGAGTGTTTCCTGCGATCCGTGGATAACGTTATTTTTTTAACTTCCTTTCCTTCTTTGTTCTGCGCTACATTCGCTCGTCTCAGCGTGTCCTCGAACAGTTCGTTCCGTTCGTTTCTGTGCAGCTGAAAAAATGAGCCTGTATCCGACGCTGGAGGACATGAAGGTGGATCATATGATTCAGGTGAGTGGTTGCAATACCGGTAGTAACATATTTTGTCGGGGGCCGCGCGCCTATCTGCGACGGTATGACGTTGATTTCTTTTCCGTTCGAAGAATATTTGCTGATTATACGAGAGCGTACGTGCGCCCAGTGCGCGTGCAAAGGCCGGTTTTCCCCGCGATCAGAGATGAGTAATCGGCGACACCTCTTATGCCAGCCGGCAAATAAAAGGTGTTACGTACGTTTATTCTCAGCTTTTTTGTTTGTCTGTACGGTGCTCTACACAAATTAAGAACGTTTTTGTTTTTAATGTGTGCGGTTTATTCAAACCACTTCCGTCAGGTTATGCGCAGGTGTTTGTTGTCGGTTCCCGTCGACAACTGCGTGTGTTCCGACTTGCCAGCACCGTAGTTAATTTTGCATGTGCTGTGCGATCACCGAACTTCAAATGTCGCAGTGCAGTATCAAAACATATCCTCTACAGGGGGTGAGGGGGGATTTTTTAGCTACTTAATTAACTTGTTTTTGGATTTATGCGAAGATGAAGAAACCTTGAATTAGTGTGGTTCCGGGTCCCTTCTGGGGAAGCCTGCAGGTGTGTACACTTTATATGAACATAAATTTACTCGAAGTGTCTAATGGCACGGCTAACAGCAAACATACAGTTTGATGCTTTACAGAGTGGCATATTTAGTTGGCTGTTTTATACACTTGGGTGTATTGCGACATGTGTTCTTTGACTGTGCCTGTGGTAGCACTGTTGTTTTTTGCGTCAAACAAGTGCACTGGCGTGTGGGCCTCTTAGCTGTTTATATGAACTAAATAAACCATATATCTATCTAGGAATCAAAACTACTCCGGTTATTGCCAGAACTGAGGAAACGAATGCTGTATACTCTGCCTTAGAAGTTTAGCACTGTACTGTGGAGGCCACAGGAGGGAAGGGAAAAATTGCCTTTATTTTTTTTAAAAGGTTTTCAGTGGCAAGATAATTCCTGAAGGGCACAAAGGCAGCGTTTGAAATACAAACGAGAGTATCTGTAGACGGGAATTTCCCCTCCTCTCCAAATGCTTGCACTGCACTCTCGCCCCTTTATCTTCGGTAATATGTGTGCAATTGGCGAGGTGGAGTATGACTGGACGTACGTATGGCACAACAAAGTTTGGGCAAAAACGTCATTTGTCCCTATTTTGCATTTTACTCAAATGCTTTAGTGGCAAACAGCAAATTTTATCATCCAGGTTCGGTTGCTACTTCAGCACATTCACCTACAGATGCTTTGCAACAGCATTTTGGCGGTAATATACAGGGTGTTTTTCAAAATGTGAGCCAAATCGTTCTTGCGAAAAGTGTGACTGAAAAAAAGGTTAATGCTACATTTGTCTCTATCAAAGGAATCATTATAAAATATTAATGATGGTCGGTATAATTAGCTTCTTAAAGAGACTATGACGGTGTGTATGGTGACCAAGGTATTTATTTGTACGCGACATATGAAAGCCCAACAACCCATAACAGAATTTGCGGCTCGAAATTCGTTTTCTTTCCACTTGAAAACTGCCGATCGAGAAGTGGTCGGTTTGAATTGCGCTCACTCTCTTCTCCATGGTCAAGGGCTGTTTTCTATGGTTTAGACACAGCCACCAAAGATAATCGAAGGCATGGGTCATCGAAGGTTCACACTCACTACTAAAATAGACAAAAAATATTAGACCCAATTTTCGTGGCTTCTAAAAAGCTTCAAATACTTTGATTGAAAAAAAAAAAAATAATAAGTTGCACAGCTTTGTAATTTTTGGTAACTTTCTCATCCTCTATATTTCTTTTTCATCCCCATCATACGAAGCACACCTGTGCTTCGTATGAAGGGTGGAATCCAATTCAAGGAATAGCTTGCCACGCAACCTAAGAAGCAGATATGTCCTAGTTTCTCGCAGCCGCAACGCAGTCAAACGCTTTCAAACAGAACTGTGCGTAGTGGCCTTATATGCCCCCAGGTACGCAACCAAAAATACCCCCCCTCCCCCCCACCCAAACACAAGGACAAGAGGTATGTTTGGTTGCAAACCCACTACAATCAGCCGCATTAACTCTGAACAAGTTCGAAAGATCTGCCGGATAGAATTCGCTGATCAGCTGATCCCCAAACAGGCAATAGGCTGAAAAGTACAATTGTAGCAAAGGACTTCATTAAGTTTTCCACTGGCCACCCTGAACTAAAGCTTTAAAATCTGACATCTTGCAGTGGCCTTGATTGAAGTTTTCGCCACAGTACACTTTTTCAAGATGAAGACTGTGAAGTCAAACATGGTCCTTGCAAATGACAGATGAGCACCTCCAAAATTTTTTAAGACTTTCGGTTAAGAGTTTAAATGTGAATATTTGCATCTTGGCAAATCAATATTGTACACCCAAAATCTTACTGAGAAGGGACTCTAGTAATCTTGCGTTACATGTCCCCTGCTCTCTGTAGCAATAATTTGGCCCCCTGCAGTGGAACGTTGCCACCCCTTGTCCCATAGCATTATGAAAAACAAAACTTAAGACTGAAATAAGCATAGTGGAGTAATCACCCCCTTTCTTGTGTTTCTCAGTATCCCCCCCCCTTTCTTTTTAATGAATATTTATAAGCTTTTTTTGTTTAGCATCATTAAGAATAGTTTCAGACAAACCCCCCATTGCGTTTCAGGCGCAGACGAGGCCAATGCCGTCGTCTGCTCCCCCGGGAGCCCCAGCGCCGTCTGCTCCCCTCCCGTATGCCCTGTATCCGTCTAGCGGTGCAGGTGAGGCACCAGGCATGGGGGACAAGTTCCAGGCGCTCTACCCGACCCTGGACGACTACATGGGTATCTCCCTGTCACGTGACCTCCCGCCCGAAATGGCTGCCCTGGCCGTGCGACCTCCGGTGAGTGTCGTCTGCCTCCGCTCTGCACAGTTTGGGCCGTTGAAGAGTGCCTCTCCTTTGTGTAAATGGCCTCAAACTTGCATCGTTAAGGACTGAACCCCAATGCAGCGCAATCCCTAGTGGCAGCGGTGAAATCCGTTGGTGCCACAACATTGCAACAAGCCTAGGCATAAAATCGTCTGAGCAAATGGCACCCACGAAAATTCGCCCAGCCCATTCTGCTGACTAAATACCCCTAAACGAAGAATGCAGAAACGTCGGCCTGCAAATAAGAAAATATCAGATTTAAAAAATTGTGAAAAAAAAATAGCGGTGCTCACGATGCATCTACGCTGGCAATACAGGGCGCTGACACAAGTGTGGCATGAATAGTTTCTATTGTATGGGCTGGCACAACGGTCATGATTGCCGTTAGACACGTCTACTTGTTTTCCGGGTCAGTGAATAAAATTACTTGTAATAGCATTGTTAAAGTAGAGAAACAGCTCCATGGAATGTGAGATCGCCGTGTCCACAACAAACAGTCTCAGTTCCTGCATCGCACAAGTTTGTAACGGGCACTTGCATGCAGACGTTTCATTTTGGTATATAAATGTTTGCTGTTGCACCCCAAGAGGATGCCCGCCCTGTTATGTTTTCTTGTTATAGGATCAGGTGAAATATATGTAATTAGGCTGGCCATCTTTTGCCATGTCTTCTGTTACATTAGCAGCATTAGGCCTGACCACCTGAGCCATACTCCGGCAATTTTCTTTTGACTGCCCCAACTACCTATATTTTTTTTATTCCCCGGCCTTTTACCCTTCCTGGCACGCTATTTAGTATGGTGAAATTCAGATTGAAGGTGATGCCAAAAACGACATTGGAATACACCAGGGGTGCAGTATATGCACAGCCAATTTTTTTTTTTTACTTTTTTTTTTGCATTTTTTGTTACATTAGGTTTGACCACCTGAGCCATATTCCGGCAAATTCCATTTAGCTTTTAGCGTTCAAGACTTCACAGTAGTCCTTGTGTCTTTGTGTGAATCGTGTAAGAGCCACCATTGCCGTGCGGCGTCTTGCAGGCCCACGTAGCTGTACCGCAGACGGGTGCCAGTCGCCTGTCTACGATGGTGGCCCCCGTCTCGGGCTCCTCGGTGGGGCTGAGGAGGGCCGAAGTGAGCCACGGGATCCGGGAGGTCGTCCTCTGCAAGGACCAGGACAAGAAGGTTGGCCTGCGCCTCGAGTCTATCAACAAGGTGCGTCTGGCTCAAGATTCTTCGTTATACCCTAGTCAGCCCTAAGCAAACAATGCCGCGGAAGATACATGTGCTCATGGTCCCAGTCATACGTCTATTTTGCGCTGTGTGATCATGCTCCCGCCAGTGCCCACACACAGATTAGGTGACCCGTCGAGGAAGGTGAGGTAGTTCACTGGCCCCACAAGTCTGTCGCTCCCACCGATGTTACTAGATAAAATTCAGTTGACAAGTTTCGTAGAATGCCCGACCCCCTTTCGTGGTGTGTCCACTCGACGGCTCTTACCACACTACCAGCCCACCTTATAGCCAGAGCCGGTGGAAAGTTGGATGCCCATTGTCTGCGGTGAAAGTGGTTCTATCGTGGTTTTTTTATGATAAACATAAAGTTTGTGGAAAAAGAACATTGTTCGAAAACAGTCCTTGTCGATTGTGCATGGAAGTATTGCCGTCGATGACACTAGGAACACTATTCTCACGTACCTGCTCGTGGGCAAGCAGGAGGAGAGCCGTTTTTAAATGCCGCTCTTTTGTGGAGCTTGTCAACTGATAAATTTAAGGATGTTGGCTCCCACCACTCTGTGAGCTTGTGGTAAATGTGGAGCATAGTTGGGGGGGCAACTGTCTCCCAAACTTTCGCTTCTTCTGATTGGGTGTTGGTGTTTTGATGCTCAAGACATCAATTATGATAGCCTTGATTCCGAGAATGTTCCCAGCAGAATGCATGCTCTGTGTTCATTACTTTGCGAACCACGGCACCTGCTTCATTACAGAGGGAGGTGACCTTCCTCGTTTGAACAAGTCTGTGTGTGGTCAAACAGAACCGTTTTGTTTGATTTTTCACAAAAACGTCTAGTGTGTGAAAGTTCCAATAGAGATTTCGGTAATTATGATGCGTTCAAATTTGAGATGACCCTCTCAAAGCTGGCTTTTTATATTTTCAGAAAAAAAAGAAAGAAAAAGGCTTCTTTTTAATTTAAAGGGGTACTACAACGAAATTTCTGCGCTTAATTTTTTGGTCTATTCATGTTCAATGGAGCATTATCACATCAGGCGCACCAATCTCTTGTTGAAAAAGACACAAAAGCGAATTTTAAAACGAATTAAACGATTAGCAAAGAGCACCTGGTGGATGTCGCTAACGCCTCGTTTGTAATGCCTATCTAGGAACCTTGACAGGTAGTGACAGTAACTCTCGCCTCCGGCCACAACGAGAGAGGAGCTGAAGGAGGAACTCCCCTCTCCCCCAAAGGTTTGCCTCCCGCCATTCGAAAAGCCACGGTTTTGGAGACGGCTGTTAGGGTAACAAATATATGGGTTTTGAAGCAGAGTGTCTAGTGACTCTTCACTGGAGCTGCTCTAAACAATACGATTTCGAAATCCAGCCTCTAGATGGTGCTTCAAACTGTGGGCGGCAGCCTCTGAAGGGAGAGGGGGGGGTCTGCCTCTTTACAAGACTTTCGCAACTACAGGTTGATCTAGTAACATTGGTGTCTAATTAAAATGGTGGCCACCAGCAGTCGACTTCAGATATTGTGGTAGAGTTAGACACTCTATACCTGTTTGGTTGATTGATTGGCTTGTGGCCCTGACCCTTCGGCACTCTCCTTCCAGGGCATCTTCGTGGTGTTGGTTCAAGCCAACAGCCCTGCTGCCATGGTGGGCCTGCGATTTGGGGATCAAATTCTGACCATCGACGACGAAGTGGTCGCCGGTTACTCCGTGGACAAGGTTCACAACATGATCCGCAAGGCCAATCCAGAATGCATCGTCATGGCCGTCAGGGACAGGTAAAAGGCTTTGTTGTTGCTCTCGCTACCTTCACTGACCACTGGGGCGAAAGAAAGTTCCCCCCCTCTGTCGGCACAAAAAGAGAGGCGAGGGCAGATTTCAGGCTTGCAAACAAGTGTAAAAATGTTCTGGGCATTCTCAGTATCGGGAAGCATTTGTCGGCATTCCCTCAGGAGCGGCATATTTCTAGAGGCCGTACGTGTGCTTTATTCTATGTGGAGGGGAAAGTTTGAAGACAAATGTTTGTTCATAAGGAGAGTAAGAAATACTCATTGTTGTCTCTGGTGGCTCTTTAAGCGTCGTTGGGGTGGAGCAAATACGGCCACTAACGAGTAGTCGGCCGGCTAAATTTTTTGTTTCCTCATGGGTGATATTACGGATGTGACGCCCGATATATTCCGTGGTGCTGGGCTTCCCACTGATATGTCTCATCTCACCGGACTCAATTCTGAAAAGTCACCGACAAAGTTAAATTTCACTCCAGTGCAGAAAGAGAAGGTCACTGACCTGTGCTGGGCACCGCGTTCTGTCCTTCGCAGGCCGTTTGAGCGCACGGTGACGATGCACAAGTCCAGCACGGGCCATATCGGCTTCGCCTTCCGTGACGGCAAGATCATCTCGCTGGTCAAGGACTCGTCGGCCACGCGGAATGGACTCCTCATCGACCACCAGCTTCTTGAGGTACGGGTCATGGAAGGCTTCTGCCGAAATATCCCGTTGTCTTCCGATTTCCTTGTTGTTGAGAAACTCTCCGAGCAGTTTTTCAGTTTTTCACAACGGTACAAGGCTAGGTTCATCGGTGAGCCAATACTGTTCAAACTACGGCCAATGTAAGCTCGCTATTATTTTCAGACCTGTGGTTGGGAACACTTGCACGGGTTCTGATGCAGACGAGCCAGTTAGTTTTATGGGTGTATAGAGATGATACATAGAGATAGGAAAACGTTCAGCCGTGAAGACATATGTCTTTACGCTCTGAAACATGGGTTCCCTAACTGGGTTCCTGGGAACCCGGAGGCCCTCCAAAGCACCATCATGGGTTGCCTGAGCTCTCGAATTTCTTCTGCCGCCCCCTAAGCAAAGTGATCTTAAGCACTATTTTAGCAGATCTGGGTCGCTCGTTGACGCCCAACCATAAGCCGAACACTGCCTAGTAGTACTATATGTACATTTTGGTTTACAAGGTCTCTAGACTCCTGTACTGCGCTGTTGCACCAATGCCAAAGTCGGAGGGAGTTCCTCTGCTGCCATTAAAAGCAGACGGGGGTTTCTCGAGATCAAAGAGTTTGAGAACCTGGCTGCAGTGTAAGAGGTCTCCTTTGCATTTAAGGCTTCTGTTGGTTTGTAATTGATTGGTTTGCTTTGTTTTACAAAGTAAACCGCACTCCTATTGCCAGAGAAATGGCTAGAATGCAGGTAAGTTGGCAAAGATCCGAGATCTTGACGCTGCGGTACAGGGAAGTGGGGGGAAGGGGGGGGCTATGTTTTCGAAGTTGGGCTTGTGTGACCCATATGATGATGATCGATGGTTGTTATTGGAGGACAGTGGACGGCCGTGCAGCTGGGCTAATGCCGTGCAACTGCTCTTCGCAGGTGAATGGGCAGAATGTCGTTGGCATCAAGGATCCCGAGATCACGCGCATCATCGAGAGCGCCGGCAACGTCATCACTGTGACCGTGATGCCATCCTTTATTTACGACCACATGATCAAACAGTGAGTGTGCTTTGAGCCTTGTGACGTACGTGTCCGTAGCGCAAGCTTGTGAGATAAGCCACGAAGCAATTTTCCTTACTTTTGCCAGTCACGGCTCGGAATGAATCCTGGACATGCATGTTGCTATGGTGGGATTCTTACAAGTCTATTACTTACAGCAGGAAGTCTGTTATGCTTAAAGTCGATGCACGTTTGAAGCACTTTTTTCGCGACACCAGCTTGATCAGGGCAGTTGTCGGTTTTGCCTCCTTTACCCAGAAGGGCTTTTAAAATTTGTCGGAAAGCGAGCAAAAATATGAAATTCAAAAGAGCTTGGGATTTAAATTGTATTTCAATTGAAGGATGAAGCAAAGTACAGAGGGGTAGATTGTGAGCCAAGTATGCCAATACCTTACTGGATGTTTACTCCATCCGTCTGTCTATCGTCCTTTTTGACTCTCTCTTCCCGTTTCTGCAGCACCTCGGGAAGCATCCTGAAGAAGCTGATGGACCACTCGGTTCCAGACATATAAGCCGCGCCTCTATCCGAAGCGACGCCCCCCACACTTTGCTCCGCAGGCAGAATTCCTAACTGACGCAGTGCCTGCTTTTACCTACCCTCCCTTCGCCGTTGTTACGCCGACAGCGCCCCGCGCGCCGGTTTTGTTGACAGGCTGTCCCCTGCTGAAGTGGAGCAGTATGTAAATTACGCTATATTATACCACTGTACATCGCTGTATTAAACTGTGCTGTGCTTTTTTTTATCTGAGGACGTTTGTGTTTGGTACGTTCGAGGTTGCGTCGATTACAGAATAGTTTTCCGCTGGCGTCCATTGAAGTTTGATATCTGTGCGACTGAAGTCAAGCAGTTATTACATGCCAGCTGTCTTTTTTTTTTTTTTTTTTTTTTAAGCCGCCATTTTTTTACATGGATTTTTGAACGGACTTCTTAAGAATCGAATGGGAGAACCGAAGGCATGCTTGCTTGCCTCGGCATCTCGCCGAGCATTGCGAAAGAGTTTGCAGCTCTTCCAGTGTTTTTAGAGAGGCCGTGCAACAATTTTTGGACTTCGGTCAAATTAGTGTGGGAGTTGTTCCTTGTCCTGGAGTAAAAAACTGAAAACCAATTTTGCCTGTGTGCATTAGTTCTTCGTAAAAGTATATTGTCGTACAATTGAAGTTTTGGGTGCCTCCCCAATCTTGCATAGTCTTCCGAGTCTCGTGCGCAGTGACGTGTAGCTGGGTGTGGACACGGTGTTTCTCGTTGGGTCGCGCGCTCCCTCTGCTTGCAATTGGCAACGTGCGTGGCGACCTTAAGGGTTGATCTGAGCGATGTGGAGAGGGGTGGGGCAAAGCACCTGTTTTGCCTTCGGAGACATATGCAATGGAAGAAAACTTTTTCAAACAGCCTGGACAGGAAAAGTATGTTATAAAATAAATTTACAACGAACAAAAAATAATTTTAGAGCTATATTTACGCGCAAAACGAATTTGTAATTGGCACTTGCGGGAGCCGCCACTGGTCACGTGGTAGACTTCTGCTCTGCCGAAAATTATGCCAGAGCCATTCGGTACCGCCGCTGAAGTCCCCAGAACCCCCACGCCACCAGCAAATCGATGGCGCACCGCCACCATCAATTTTTGATTGACTCGCAGGTCTATCATGTGGTGCTTACATTCTTTCGGGAGCTTCCTTTGGGCTCTAAAAGTTATTCCTGAATCTTTGTTTTCTTGTTGCACTTTAAACGAACATTAATAAGTAACTTCTAAAGCCCATAGGAAGCCCCCAAAAGAATGCAAGCACCACGTGACCACAGCTGCCACTTTTTTGCAGGCTCGCACAGGCACCAACTACAAATTCGTTTTGCGCCATAAATATAGCTGCAAAAAACAAATCCAAGGACACTTCAGCACTTTTCGTGAGTTGGGAATGCGAAAGCACTAACATCCGTTCTCTTAGTTCGTCTGCGATATAATGGTGGCAGCCGCCGACGATATAGACTCTTGTGGCGGCGCCATGTTCCTCAGCACCGAGAGGAGCAGAAAAGGCCGCAGGCAGCGCACAGACTGAGTGGGAATTTCCCACCCCGTCCAACCACGCCTGACACGGTGGCCACTCACGCGCCGCCCTTTCCTTTTTACTAGTGCGCAGGCCGCGGCGCCAGCTGAGGGCTTCTCTGTGGGGTGGCGCTCCGAGGAACTTCGGCGCTTCGCAGCCATTTTAACTACCGTTTTGCTGAGGGAATTCAGGAGCCGTTTTTCGCGGTTACATACAATGTTGGCTGCACCCCATGGGACAGTTAATGCTTTCGGATTAAAAATATATTTTTTGTTGTAAGTTTGTTTTGTGACGTCCTTTTTCCATCGAGGCTGTTTTAAAAAAAAAATGTTTTCCTTTGCATATGCTTTTTAAGGAAATTAGACTGACGTAGTAGCGGCGCGGTGAGAAAATGGTTTTGTTCACCTTGGGCAGATGGCCCCACTAGAGCTAAATATAGTACAATTTTGTGAATGATATAAGGCCGTTGACACAGTCACTCGTGTTGAACCGACAATATTTACAAAAGATAACCTTAGATTGAGCACACAGTGGCACGTCTTGCCAACTTATTACAGTGCATGCACCCAGGTTAACGTCGTGCCTTAGTTCCGATGGCCGCCACTTGCGGCTGCAAGTCTCGAAATATTCCCGTTTAATTTGCTCTTGTGAAATGGAATCGCAATATTTTAAAAGAATGATGCAGTTTCTTCATCACTTTCGGTAGAATGAACAATGTAAAAAATATATGGCAAATTGCTAGGCAATGGTGTCGCATACGTGAAACTTGGCATCATAAATGTTTCGCGATACTCTTGAGTTGACAGACAGCTGTGTTCACAGCAGTCTTTGTCAGAGAGTTCAATGCGTACAATGCTTGATAGTGGTTCCTAGAATGAAGCGATACTACCGCAAATCGGGCCTATAAACCTGGCGATCTTCCGGAGCCTTCCATAATCTCAAGCGCCTCTCCCTTAGTGTGCGCAGGCGGTCGAGCTCCTCCTCGCCTACCCCCCTGGTCACATAATCTCCCCTTTAACCAATCGACGTCAAGCACTTCGCTCCTCTTCTCCCAATTGTCAACCAATCGGTGTTCAGCCTCACGGCCACGCTCTTATCTGGGCTTTACGAAACGCTGAACACCTAGCCAAAGAGTGTTTCACATTAAAATTAATAATTGCAAATTCTTTACAAAGCTAAAATTGACGCACTGCCCCTTTAACATTAGCTACCATGTACACTGGCATTGCCAGAAACATGTCTGAGATTATAGTTACGGACAGGTTAAGGAAAGCAGGATGTGGCGAGTCCCAAGCACCATATTATTGCTTCTCAGCCACCAAGATTGCGGCACTAGCCGACAAGAACACCGGAGAATGATTGGCAAGGCAAGAAACGTGGCCATAAGCCACGCGCCCTTTGGTTCTTAAGCTGTCGGCGACGACAGCAACATAGGCGAGATGCCGCTGCCGGATGCTGCTGTCCGAGGTCGGTGAGAATTGCAAGCTTGTTTCACTTCCTGTGTGAGCAAAGTTGAAGCTACAATTATGAGCATGTTGCCCTGTACAATGCTTGCGCTGCACGAGTGTGCATGCTCGGCAGGGAAGCCGGAAAGCTCGGAGGTCGCTTTTGTACAGTAGGCTCGCGATAATTCAAACTTGGATATTTCGTTTTTCGAGTCAATTCAGACAAATGTAAAATCTTGGTTGCAGTAGTGTAGCTAGGCCATCGGGAACACAGGGCCGTTATGTCCTTCACACCACCCCCTCCCCTTCACTCCCCGAGATTGCGACAACCAGTAAAGTGGGGGGGTGCCAAACGCTGCCAGAAGTGGCAGCCCCCCCCACGACTGGGTGACTGGGTTGCTTGGTACCAGGCCCCTCGGCCCCCCAGTTGTTATGCCACTACTTGGTTGTCTCGCTATGTTCTCAATATGTTTATAAGCCGCTTAAAGGATTACAAAAGCAAAATTTTAGCCCCTATTTCTTGGTATAGACATGGCCCCTCCTGTGACAGCAGCTCACAAGCGCCAGTTTTTTGTCCCTAAACGCAAGGAAAGCAATTTTAAAACAAAAAAAAAAAAAACGATTTTTCAATACCATCTTGGTTGGAAGGCCCAGCTTTGTTGGAATGTTCGACGTCAATGGGCCCATCAGTAGCAGCACCAGAGCATGACATGTCCGATGCGCAGGAAAGAGCGGTGCTTGGCTCACCTCTTGGTTCTGTAGTCTGTTGCAACTCAAGAAAGTAGGGAAAGTAGAGCGAGGAAAAGGAAGGTCAGGGAGGAGGAAGCAGACGGAACGCTGGAGAGGGGAAACCTTGTCCTCTCTTTAGTGTTTCATCTGCTTCCTCCTCCCTGGCCTTCCTTTCCCTCGCCCTACCTTCTTGAGTTGCAACGGACTTTATATTACACCATATCTCAGGTATTCCCACTGGGTGGGATTGTGACGCGTTGACGATAAAGCTGGCGCCACCTAGTGACGACGATCATGATTACGGTACCCTTGGCTGTTTATGGGATCGCGACGTTGCGAACGTGACGTCACGGGCAAATATCCCGAGACTGCCGAGACGCATCGCGACGCTTCGATGGCTGATTTTGAAGCACTCGCCAGAATTCGTCGGTTGCAGCAAAAAACATAGCCATCCGCTGAAAATACAAGCGTGTGATTATCATTTATGGATATCATGGATCATATCTCCCCCATTTTGAAGTGTTCCGGGGATATTTATAGTTTCGATTCTGTACCCCTTCAGTTTGAATGGCGTTTTTGTGCAATTCATACTTTGTGTTCTCGTGCCACTGTTGAGCGCGCTTCTTGTCGAGCACTGGTGCACTGCAGATAAGCAACACCTGCAGAGCTCACTTCTGCGGGTGTTGCTTCTCCGCACTGCTCCGGTGCTCAGTAAGAAGTGTGCTCAACGGGGCAACAGAACTTTTTTGCTGAATAAATAAACTTAATTTTGTTTTGAGGTGTCATGTGTGGCATACCAGCTTACAATTAGTAAGTCCGTATAAAGGAAATCATCAAATTTCTGCTATGTATGTGTAGCCAGCCATCTTATGACAAATAATTTATCTCACCTCCTATTTAAATTCTTAAATTTATCCTCAAAAATTTAACATGTACAAAATAGAGCAGTGTGGTTTGTTACAAAATAATCACAACTTCAGATCAAGTAGGACCAATTACAAATATCGACTGAGTTGGAAGCTGGTGACTATGCGGAGGAAATAGCTCGGAATAAAGCTTTTTAGAAATTTTTTCCTAAACCTTACACGTATTAACAAAGGCAAATATCTTCATACCCCCAATTACACTTTAACAAGGGTGGATCATCTATTGAAAATAAGAGTTCAGATGTAGAACAGAATTATTCAAAAACTCTTTTTTTCCAAGATCGATCCACGACTGGAATTGTCTCGCAGAGTATATCGTCACAGAAACTCCCGATTCAACGTTACCTTTTTATTAGATGTATAATTTTATTCAAAATATATATATAATTTTACATTTATATTTTATTATGTATATATATATACTTATTTTAAAATATATATATTATATATATCGTCCTCCAGGCCATCCGTCTCTTAATAAAGAGTCACAACAACATATTTGTTTTTTAATATTTTTGTGTGTTAACTTTTTATAAAGTATTTGTGCTCCAAAACAGTTTTTCTTCTCGATATTCCCTTTTGTATTTTATATTCTTGTGAAATGTTTTAGCTTTGGTAGACTATTTTTGTATGTGTGAAAAACTATTTCTTTGCATTATCAAGTCCCCCTACAATAATGACCCCTGGGCAATGTATGTTGTGAAATAAATAAATTTAGATTATTCAAACGAAATTCGTGGACCCCTGAAATTTTAAATATTGAGTCTACTGCAGCTTCTGTTTAGACCATAGGGTTAGTATGATCTCTGGTTTAGAGAGCCGGAAGTTAGTCGGCCTCAATGGGCGACTTTTCTCTCGGCTGTAAATGAGCCAGTGTAGTACAACTGCTAGACCGGGGTCTTGAACATGCACCACGCAGTAGCAATACACGACTGCATACCGGTACAATGCTAATCCACATGGAAATGCGCAGGGGTGGGGACTGAGCCCAGGATCCCTGGGTTCCGAAGCACGAGTTTTCGCTCTATGTGCTCCGAGCTGGTGTGTATTATTGCATTTGGTCACTTGTCCCCTGGACCGAGTTAAAATCTTTGTGGGATATAGTGACATTTAGGGGGCCATGGCTTGCAATTGGCCAACAAGTGCTGTGTTACCCAACTGCTGGAATATTTGCCTCCAAGAATCGGCACCACATTAATGTCTAAATTCAACAGCATTTTTAAATTGAATACAGGCTGCCAACAACGGTAATTTTGGGTTATCTAAAATGCTTGGAGCACACAGATCGTCATTGCCAGAGAATTGCATTCGGAAACTTTGCTATGTACTGCATCTCACTGTTCCGCAGTTTTATCAAAGGTGCAGGAGCGAAAGCTTAACACAAGCAGTTGGAGAAGACAGGGAGGAAGGAATTCTTTTTACATGGCCTCTTTTGTGCATTCTAAAGACTGTTTTTGTGCCCTTTGGGAATTAGCTTGTCACTGAAAATTCATACAAAAGGGTGTTTCGCAGCAGATGTTATCGAGGTCTGGATGAGACCTGCAAGTCTAAATTTGCACAGCCCCAATCCAGAAGCCCAAACTTGCTTAATCTTGTGCAAAAAAAAAAAAATTGTCCTCGTATTTAACGAAACAAAAACGGACGCTGCACAATGCTTCAAAAATTGCAAACATTTAGTTTATTCTTTTCTTTTTTTCACCTCGTCACTCTTCACACACAACATTCACATTTTTCCCAGACTACCCACGCGACGGAGCCCCTAGCACGCTAGTTCTCGGCCGGCGTAACGGCAAGCTCGAGGACACTGCTCCACACCGCGGAACTTGCTACCGGTTAACGCACCCGCGCTACGAAACCAAGCCCTCGAAAGAAAGCATCTGAATCTGCACGCGTGCAAACGAAAAGCGCTTTAAATAGGAAGACAAACGCAGCTTTCCACATATCACATAAACGAAGATCTAGCCATTCCACTCCAGGAGGAAAAACCGAGACATCCGTGTCGCTTAAGGACCGACTCGCCCCAACTCAAACTCGGCGCTTCTTTATTGCTTCCGCTCATTCCGACGATGCGATCCCTTGCGGCGACTTCGAAAAGCAAACAAAGTTCCACTCTGATTTGCCGCGAAACTTGTAGTTTCGCTTCGGAGGGAGGGGATAAAAATGTGGCAAAGGGAAGTTCGCGGCGCCTTTACAGTGGACGACTTTGGGTGTAATCTGTGCTACGTGTACATCATTTCCGCCATGAGAGACATCTTTCTCGGGATATAAACGAGGTTGTCGAAGTACCCCGCCAGCTCGTCCACCGTCGTGTCGTCCATCCGTGCCTGCTGCGAGCACGTCATGTCGGCCGCCGAGGCTCGAACGTCAAGTGCTGGCGTTCGAACCGCGGTTCGCGTTTCCAACGTTGGCGCCGGTTCCAGGTTGGTGTTTGGGAGGCGCTCCAACGCCGTGGCAGCCGTCTTCAGGTCCAGGGGCGCTTCGGCGGAGCTGGTTGAGGTGGACCGGGATCGGTATTTCCGTAAGGGACCAGAGAGGTGGTTCCCGTGGTGGTGGTGGTGGTAATGGTGGTGCCGCTGTAGGCCAGGCGCCAACCGCCGGTTTTCACTGCGAGGGTGGTACAACGAAAGATGCTGTGCGGTTCTCTAAGTACAAATTGATGTGATGGTTCCACTACTGCTGGGACTTGCACATGAATGCAAGGACGCTGGAACCAACACACGGTGTGTGGGGCGTCAAGAACTGGAGGGCTCACGGCTAAATGAGCATCGAAAAATCTGTGCCTCCACGTAGCAGTACCAAATTTTCATCGAAAGTGTATGTCAGTGGTGGATTTTACTTTGTGAAACTCCAAAACATAGCTCCGTTCCTCGTCAAACGTTGGAACAACATCCTTGACAGTTTCAGTGCCGGGCTCCGAAGGAGATGACCGAGTCACCCGAACAGTTGTACTTGAGCGAAAGATCTCCCGAAAGACGCAGCAAGCAGGCACGTGACACCGTTGTCTGCTTGCTGCACTTATCGGGCGATGGCAACGCAAGCACTGCTCTCGGGCAACTCGGTCGTCTGCACCGGGGCACGCTGTAGAACAAGCCGGAGATATTGGCACCTGCACATAGATAGCTCAAACTTACAGTGTAAAATCTCGTGACTTAGTTCTCATTCTGTGAATAATGAGAAAAAAAAAACTTGCCAAAGCCCATGTTAGACCCGTTTGCAGACGACCGAGTTACCAAGGCTCTGCGGAGAGCATGTCGTCTACTTCTTGCACAGGTGTTGCGGTGACGTAATACCGACGCCTAGTTCTGATTGGCTTTGATTGGAAGTATAATGGGTAGACCTCAATGCTAGATGTCTCGAGGTCTACTCACTATTACTTTCAATCGGCCAATAAGAGCTTGGTGTTTGCATCATCGCAACCCCTGTGCAAGAAGCAGACAAACTTCTGTTCCTCATTAACTTGCGGCATCATCTCCCAATAGGGGCTACGAGCGGACGACTCACTCTTATCTGCTTGCCACGCCTATCGGGAGATGATGCCACAAGTTAATAGCGTCGGTAACTCGGTCGTCTGCAAGTGGCCTAATGTAGACTTTGGAGAGTTTTTCGCACTCATTCTTTTAGAGAAAGAGGACTACACTTTGAGGATTCACACAGTAACACTGGCCTGCTCAGTGCAGGTGCCGATTTTTCCAGCTCGTTTTACAGACACCCTACATGATTATAAAGAGTGGTAAAAGTAGGTTCTTCTTTTCTATAGAAATTGCAAGTTTTTCAGTACAGGCAGCATGCCCAACTCCATACCGCAACACTTTGCTGATGGTCGGAACACATGCGCCCCTGCAGTTTGACCTATGTTTGACTAAATTATTTCACACAGAGAAACCATCTTTCTCAGTGGATTGTAGATCTCAAAACCTGCCACCACGTAACGTGGCTACCTACATTACTAGTTGGCCCCCACCTTCTTCGTAATAAAGCATGGCACAGAGGAGCTTACCTAACCATGTTGACTTTCAGCTTCTTAAAGGCTGTCTGCAGATCCTCTTCCACTGGAACCTGCTGTGGAGGCTGCTGCTGATGATTTTTATCCATCTCCCTAACATGCCTCAATTTTAAGGCCGCTGCTTCCCTGTCCAGCAAAAAAAAAAAAAAAAAAAGAAGAAAGACAGCAAATGCATCAGAAGAGGATCATTACACTACCTCATATGCAGACCTGCTAGACATCTAGAAACGCTATCATGATCAACGTTGATCAGGACCATACTACGCATAGTTAAGATATATTCCGCCAGGATTTATGGACCTACTACGACTCAATTTAAATTCAAACGTGACTTTTCACGTAGATGTTTTGAGCATTCATCGATTATATTTATCTTGACGATACCTTTAACACAAATAGCACGCGTTGGTGTCGGTACGGGTTCGAATAAGAGTCGACGCTAGCCTGGTCTTAAATATAAGGCGACAACGTTAATGATTTTTTTTTCTTCTTTTTTTTAACTACGACTGATTTAACTCGGGTCCTGTTTACGTCGCAAATATGTAGGTCACAGCTCGATGACGCCGCAACTAGAGCACATCCGGTCGAGTCCGACACAATTTTTTATGGAAGGAACTTGCGCCTTGCTTACTGCGTCATCGCAACCACCTCTCGTCTAAAGTTAGCGCCCACGTTTTGGCCGCAAGGACGTTCGATGCGAACTCGCAAGTCATGGTCGACCGCGCGCGACTCTGTCACGTCGCCGAACAGTTTTCGAAAAGCTCGCGCGGTTTCTACGAGAGCCCCGAATATGCGGGGAGGCTTACGTGTTCTGCGGCCGTTTTATGTCTTCTCCGAGTGCGCGTGAGAAACACCAGGCAACGGCGTTCGCGGCGAAAACCCCGTTAAAATGCGCAGATATCGAGATTTCTATCACTTACGACGAACGAGCATATGGCCATTCCAATCCCAGAATGCACCGCTTTGTTTTTGCGCCATCTCATGAGTGTGTTGTGACTCATCGTGATCTTTTTTTCTCGAACCACCATAAAATAATTACAGTATTTGATTAAAATTTATAGTTAAATAATATTTGTATTTAATAACTCAGTTAGAAGAAGTTGGACATTTTCTTGTAAGTGTAACGTGGGCACTAACTTTCGAAAAAAAATATTTCAGCTTGTTTAGGATTTTGATATGGTGCATACAAAGCTTGTAATAATTATTACTCACATTTTTAATTGATAAAACGCAAAATAATACCTAAATACACTAATTTAGTTATTATAGCTCTCGTCAGATGACGCAAGCTACTACCCTAGGCACGCAAATCATGACAAATTGTTGTGTCATCATCCATTTGATATGTTCATTTCGTCGCCCCGTTGGCCCCGTCGGCCCCGTTTGAGTAAAGCTATACGCACTCCGGAGTGCGCTTCGCGCGGAAATGGCTATACGCACTCCTCCGAGAGATCATGCCGCTCGGGCCACCCTTTTCGAACGGCGGTTGAATCACTGGGGCGCTCGTTAACACAGCCCCCCGCCTGCGTTCACGCCGCTTCGCGGCGACAGTATCGGCTGCTAATTACAAAGCGTAACCAGTACACGCCGCTTCGCGGCGTCCAGCCGGCAATCCAAGCCCCGCTGTCCCCGATCGCACCTCCGGAAAGGGAGTCCGATACCATTTAGTTCTGCGAAGTTTCTCGACAACATTCGATTTTTTTTTTTATATATATTTTTTTTTTATTGTTCATCGCAAAAAAGGAAATGTCGTAAATATCGCCAAATGTCTCGACAAAACAAAATGTTCGAGGGAAAAAAAAAAAAAAAAAAAAAAAAAAAAAAAAAAAAGTAGGCCCACCGCGGATCGAACCCGCGTCTACGTGCGTATGAGGCGGACACCCTAACCCCTATGCCATGGCACCGCTTAGGAAACGTAGGAAACTCGTTGTGTCCACTCTTTTTATACGAGAAAAGCGGAGTGCGTATAGCCATTTCCGTCCGAAGCGCACTCCGGAGTGCGTATAGCTTTACTCGCCCCGTTTTGTGTGTTGACATCTGTGGGTTGGTTTCCAACACGTGTTTTGAAAGTCAAGCAGGAAAGATCACCTTGCCAACTAAACCCAGAAGTAAGGGACAATGCGGTGAGTTAAAGAGAAAATTAGCAATGTCTTCGGCCCAATGGCAGAGAAATGCCATGCTGGCATGTGTAGCGGCAGGAGTTACCGGCATTGCGGGCGGCTACCTCTACCAAACGAAATTTCACAAATACCTTTGTCGCTTGCTACCGAAAACAATCGTCGTGTGTTCTACTCTCGAGGATTTCGGCAGAATCGAGGACGTTTTCTGCCGTCTTTGCCGTGAAACAGGCGTACTCGGCCTCGACTCTGAGTGGACAACTGTGCAAGGCCATCGACACAGGGTTGCTCTACTACAACTAGCTCCAAACGCCAATTTCAGCGTTCTGCTAAGACTGTGCCAGTTCACTGAAGAGGCGTCAACAGTGACACTTCCCGAATCGCTAAGGGACATCCTGAAAGACGTCAAGATCATCAAGGTTGGAGTGGGAGTCATCGATGATGCACGCAAGCTTTTCCAGGACTACGGTATCGACGTCTGGGGCTGTCTAGACTTGAGGCACGCCCTGGGTTGCCTACCAGAACTGGGGAACTTCCCAAAGGTGGGTCTTAGGTCTCTCTCTGAATCGCTCTTAGGGGTCTCACCTGACAAGTCGTGGCGACTCAGGTGTAGTAACTGGGAAGCAGATGTCCTGACGGAAAAGCAAATTCGGTATGCAGCCGACGACGCGCTTCTCGCGGTGCAGATTTTCGACCAGATGATCCGGAACAGACTGACGTTCTTCTTGTACCGGCCTGGGTGGTACGACAAGCTCAAGGAAGACACAATAGCAATGTGCCAAGAAGCCGTTGACATCCCATTTCAGAACCGGGTGAAGCCACACTCCCCCGACAAGATGCCCAATCCCGAAGCAGCTTCGAAGAAGTTGGGCTGTTTCAGGTCGTACATGACCCGCAAGACGCCACTCTACGACAACTGCATTCTGCAGGCACCCGATGGTGAAGCACTGTGCACCTGCGACTACAAAAAGGCAATCTGGTACATCGACAGGGATCTTGGAAAAGTGGTCTCCGAGCAAGGAGAACCGCTGGTTATCCGGCTCAACTTTGAGCCATCCAACCGTCCTGTCCTGGATAGCCAGTACTACATCCAAGCCAAGGACAACAACTGCGTCGTGTGTGGTTCGGCGGAGTCTCTCGTTCGGAAGAATGTGGTCCCCCACGAGTACCGCAAGTTCTTTCCAAAGGTGATGAAGCACCACATCTCCCACGACATCCTTCTTCTCTGCGTGCGCTGCCATCAGTTGAGCAACATGCGTGACATGACGCTCAGGTACGCGCTGGCGCAGGAATGCAACGCTCCCATTATGGACGGAACCTTTAGCAAGTCCGTGGAAAACTCCGAAATGAGAAAAGTTCGATCGGCAGCTCGTGCCCTCTTGATGCACTCCCGGAACAACAAACTTCCGCAAGACAGGGTTACCCTTTTGTTGGAAGTGCTCAAGGATCACTATGGTGTAGATTGTCTCTCCGAAGGACATGTCAGCATGGCAGCTGACATTGACACCAAGGTTGTCAACATGGACTACGTTCCTCATGGAGAGAGGGTGGTGGAGCATTTTAAGAAGAATGGAGGGTTGGTCCACTTTGAGCTTCGATGGAGGCAGCACTTTCTGGAAACGATGAAGCCCAAGTTTCTGCCTGCACTCTGGTCTGTCGATCACCATCATGAAGTGCTTGCTCTCAAGTTTGCGCAGGGCCGCGTGAAGGACGCAAACCTGTCAGAAATCGGGATCACTCAAGAGCTGGTGGACAATGTTGTGGAGAAGGTGGGATTTAATCTTACGGATAATGGTGTGCATTCTAATGTCGCGGAAGACTGAAAGACTATTGTAAATTTCATGCCATTTTTTTTAATAGCCTTCACGGTTAGTGTTGGTGAAAGAATTTTATGTTAAACATATCTCTCAAATAAGCGAAAAAGAAAAGCAGTAAATAAAAAAATTAATTGAATTATTTAAAAAAATGTTTTTATGGTACAGGGCATGTTTGGTTTTCTAATAAGATGCAAACTTTTATAAAGGAAACTTGCATTAGGGTTATTTTAGAGGCAAAACTGGTTAATTAGTTTGCCAATTAACTAAAAAAATTTATGACCTTAACTGTTTTGTGTGCTTGGGGAATTCACGCTCGACTACGGGACGAGAAATGTCATCCTTGTACACGGCATCAAACTGACACTAAGATGCCAAGGGTGCCTGTGATGCAGGGGTGGATTTAAGAGGGGGGGGGGGGGGGGGCGGTCGCAATTGACGGCCCACCCCTAAGGCTCCCAAGGTCAACTTTTTAATGCAAAAGCATTAATTGTCCCATGGAGCGAGCCGACGTCATCAGCTTGCAGCGCGAAAACGGCACTTAGTTTCCCTGACCCCAAAGGTCTCATTGGCTGGCGCGCGGCGACGAGGCTCCCATTGGCCGCTGTGCACGTCAGTTTCAACGATCGCTGCCAGATGGCGCTGCGTGTCCATGCCGCCAGCGTGCCGATAAAACTAACCGCCGCAACCCCATGCCACTACGGGCCCCGTGCCGATTAAAACGGACACGTAGGCGTGCGCTCGGAGGCTTCTGTTTGTCTCGCTGCCGACGAACATGGCGCCGTTTCTAGCATCCACATCGTTGGCGGTGCTTCTGCTCGTCTCGACGCCGACGAACGTGGCGCCGCCTCTAGCATCCACATCGTCGGACATTCATGCTTTCGCATTCACAACTCGTAAGAAGTGCTTAGGTGTCTTCCGACTTTTTTAAAGAAAAAATCGACATACACCATCTTTTTTTAAGAAAAAAGTATTAGTTTTTGGTGAAGTAACAAATTTTAGGTCAACAAAACAGATCAGGACAATATTTCACCCGTGATGTCGTCGTGCAACCCCCCCCCCCCCCGCCCCCCCCTTCCCCCCATGTCTGACCTATAAATCCGGCCCTGCCGTGATGACATTCCATCTGCTTTGCACCGGCTCCGCAACCCGCCTTCCACGGCACAGGTGACGTGAGCAATTTGACACAAGCTCAGAGCAGAGGGTTCGACGTCGCTGGCGCTCTGGTGGCTTAGCTTCGGTTTGAAGGCATGTACTTATGGCACTTCTTGGCCTGTAGTGCCCACTACAAAGTTCTTAGTGAAAGCCTCACGTCACAATTCGATTTTAATTAGGTAGGGCATCAATTCAACTACATGAATGTGAAAATGTGAAAAAAATAATTAAGATATTTTAGTTAATGAGCTAACTCATTAACCAATTTTGCCTCGTTTCCAGTGGCCACAGTTTAGTCCCAAGCTAAAAACCCTAACGCCAATGTTTTTTTTTTTTTTTTTGAGCAGCGAAGTTGTTTTGCGCTATGATCTGGGGGAAAATGTGTCCGTGGATGTTGACAAAAAACTCCCTATTAGTCGGGGCAAGTATGAATAAATAAAAAAAGGGGGCAACCAGCGTGAGTCAGCCTTCCTTGGGATTATTAGATAGTGAGTTCCTGATAGCTTATCGTCGTTGAGGTTGTACTAGAAGTTGTCCTTGAGGGCGTCCTAGAAGTCGTCCTCGAGTGCACGATTCTTTGGATCCATGTAAAAATAATTATAAATTGGAGAATTTAATTGTCAGTATTTTTCTGCTGCTTGAAAACTGATTGTGCTGAGTTGTAGTATTCATGCTTTTTTACGAAGGTTGTACGCTAGTTACATTATTTGAGACGAATATTATAGCTAAACAGAAAAATTAGGCATTTTATGAAAGTTTAATATTTAATGGGCGAATAGGCACGAACAAGGCAAGTCCAGGGGGGCTATGTTGCACGTTTTGGACTCCCAGGAGACTAGGGAGAAGGAAGTGACGTCAACGACTGTAGCAAACGCAGATTGGATGTTGACAGAAGAAAACAAAATCAACATCTAATCTGCATTTGCTGCGTTGTTGACGTCACTTCCGTCTCCCTAGTCTCCTGGGAGTCCAAAAAGCGCAACATAGCACCCCTGTCCAAATCACACCTGGTTAGAAGATAGAGCAATTCTCTTGATCCGTTGGACTGAGTTTCACTTCAACCGACCTACCTGCCATTTAAGTATCTTGAAAGTAAACATTTGGCAGAAATCTGCCTGGTTGGGCAAGAACAATTAGTAGAGGGGGAAGGAACACCCCCTCTTCTAATTTAAGTATCTGCAACTATTTTGAAGTGAAAATTAAATCGTGACCAGGTGTTTGCGTTTTCGGTGTGTGCCAATAAACGGCGAGACGCCTAGTTAGAGTTGTCCTTGAATAAGAAAAAAAACTACGCTGAAGACACTTAAGACTGCTTACGTGTAGGAATGCGAAAGCATTCCTACACGCAGCGCATTCCTACAAGCACCGCGCCACGTCTTCCTTTTGTACACGGCGCTCCGGTGATGACATCACGCTCCCCACTGCGCAGGCGCGACGCCCCCGCCGGCCTCATGGCGAAGCATCTGCGTAGCTATGCTTTTCTTTGTGTTTTATTTCTGAGGCGCGTCCGCTTTGACCTTGAGCGCCCCCGCCGGTTTCACGGCTTCCGTGACGATGCGTCTGCGTTGCTGTGCTTTGTGTTTTATTTCTGAGGCGCGTCCGCTTTGACCTTCAGCGCCCCCGCCGGCTTCACGGCTTCCGTGAAGCGGAGAGAAAATCGTCTGCTTTTTGCGTAGCCGGCGCTCAAGGTCAAAGCGGACACGCTTCAAAAACAAAACACAAAGAAAAGCACAGCAACGCAATGCTTCGTCTCGGAAGCGGCAGCGCCTGCGCAGTGCGGGAGCGTGATGTCACCGCCGGAGCGCCGTGTGCGATATGAAGACATGGAACGGCGCTTGTAGGAATGTGCTGCGTGTAGGAATGCTATCACATTCCTACACGTAAGCAATTTTACATATCTCTGCCGATTTTTTTTTTGTCAGTAATCGGCGTTTTGGGATTATTGCAAACCCCTGTGCAAGAAGCAAACAAACTTGCACTCCGCATAGATTTTTTATTTTATTTTTTTAGGTTAGATTTTTAGGTATTGCGGTCAAAGAAAAAAAAGAAACAGTTGTAAAACTTGACTGTTTAATGGTACTAAACTCGACTTGTTGCTGCATTTTCATCCAGTTAAAGGGACGGTAATCATTATATTTTTTTAACTACCTAATTTGCGCCGAAATATCTTTTGGAAGTCCAATTACGCTCTTCATTACCAATCTATTCGTTAGTCGAGATGAGACAAGGCACTTGTAACAAACATTTTATTCTTGTATATCATCTTGACAACAGTCTTTATTAACGCGTTTATTCTCTGGTCAGTCGCTATGCCGGGGGGAAACCGTGCCGTTTATGAAGAGCACCCATCTTTCGTATTCAACTAAGGATCAACACAATGGAGATGAACGACAGACACAATAGAAGGATCCTTGTCTGTATCAGTCGAAGCCTTGAATATGCTCTCCAACGACGTAGTTTTTCTGTAACAGAAGATAGCAGCCAAAGTGAAGGGAACTTATTTTGCCATGCAAGTTAGACAGATCAGTCTTTTTTTTTTTTTTTTTTAAATAGAGTTATGTTTTTACAGTCGGTGACAGGTTAGGAAAGCAGTAGAAGCCTTGCTTCCAGTCGGGCTTTGACTGCGCGTGCGACGAAGTGCTATTAAAGGCAGAAAGATTCGAGGCAGGACATGGTTCTAGATGCTTAACCTATAGTCACTGACTACAGTCAATTATTTGTTTCAACCATGAACGAAAAACTCTACAATCAACTTCAGTGCCCCTCTAAAAGCGAGCATAGATTGCTCCTTGTCCAACACAACTTTATGTACCCCACACGCCTTCTGGGTTGCGGGTGTCAGCTCGGTCGACTTCAAACACGGCCGCTCTCTGTACTATGGAGTCTGCAGCGCCTGCCCTTGCTCCCTCGTAGCACCATCCCTGACTGAGTGGGCTTCGGGGAAACAGTTCGATGAGACGCTTCAATCTTTGCAAACAAACGGAGCAGCTATAATTGATGTTTAGGCCCGATATTTCTGCCTCATTCCTGGTCGATCGTGGCGGAGAAGAACCACAGGAGATGTAGTACCTGCATTTGCTGAATTCTGCTGATCTGCTGTTCCGTTGCCAACTGCCTTCGTAAGATCTCCAAACTGCCGGCCATTCTGTCCCTTGATTCTGCGGTCAGTGAAGCACAGTGGCATTAGACACTTAGACTATTTACACCCTCAAGGTTGTGAAAAAAAGTGTTCTGAATAGTTACACCCATGGCTACGCCCTTTCGGCACCCTTATTTAGAGTAATAAAGTGGCCTCGTTTAAAGAACTTTTTTTTTTTAGAGCGCAGCTCTTAGGGGCCCGTTTCCAGCCTGAGCGGCGTCGGCGTAACCGGGGGGGGGGGGGTCACGTGACCTCCCCCCGAGGTCACGTGACCCCCCCCCCCCCCCCCCGAGGTCACGTGACACCCCACCCCCGAGATCACGTGACCCCCCTCCCCCGAGATCACGTGACCCCCCTCCCCCGAGATCATGTGACCCCCCCCCTCCCCCCCCCCCCCCCCCGAGATCACGTGACCCCCCTCCCCCAAGGTCACGTGACTACCCGCGGGTGACGTGACCCCCCTCAGTATCCTTCCCTACTCCTCCTCAAGAGCTGCGCTCCAATTTGGCGTTACAGGGATTTGTAAACGGCTTTCATTTTTTCACAGATTGTGAGAAGTGCCAGTCGATAATACCTGCGAGAGTGGCCGACAAATGACGAGGTGCTATACAAAAATGTTCATAGTATTAAAGCCCCGACCACATAGGGCGTTTTCTTCTCGCCCGCTTCAGCGTCGGTGCGCGTCGCTCGAGGCATATATCCTCCTATGCCCGAGGTCACCCACAACAATGCGAAGCGAGGTGACGCTGACGCGGGCGAAGCGCATCCCATGTGATTGTCTCTCTACGGCTTAAGTTATATCACACAAAACACTAGGCGTAAACAAAGATAAGCAAACCAGGTACCGCTTCTTTTGCGTGGAGGCCGGAGTTCTTGCACGATTTCATTTTTCTTCTTGCTACCACTTTCTTGAGGACGAGTTATCTGAAATATTACGTCGAGGGTCATTGGTACAGTATCACGGCCGCTCGATTAAAAACAAAGTACGACAGGTGAAGGCGAGATTGATCAGTTTCCGGGGACGCGCGCTGCTTAGCAGCAGCGGAGAGATACCACGGAACAAACCATTGCAACCAGCGCCGGTGATGGACCACAGTCCAACCGTTAACGCCGCGGTGGTCGCCGGGTGTACCATACTCCGTGTCACTTGTGTGCAGAGCAGGCGAAGGCAACGCCACACGAAGAGCGACGACAGGGCGAGGTACTAGGAAGCTGGGAGAGGAGGGAGGGCAAATCCCTTCATGTGCGCCTGGCCGTGCGCACCTCGGCGTTTCAGATCGAGCGGCCGCGGTGGGCACTGCGCACGCGCAGATACCCGTTTTTTCGAATCACGAAACTTCTGCACACGCCCCACTTTCTACAGTCAGTGGCAGCCTTCTTGGTGTGACGTCAGAAATGCATGTCCTGTTTTTACTTTCAGTAGACTCCTGCCTATCAGCAGCGAGTAGGCTCGATATCTTATACCTGTGCCACACGGGCAACTCGAATGCCATTTACAACGAATGACATTTGTGTGATCGGCGAATCAGCTCGCAATCTATCGCGCGTGGAATGCGCCACGCCCGGAGTGTCGCGCGCTGATTGGCCGTCCGCTCAAATGTTATTCGTTGTAAATGGCATTCGAGTTGCCCGTGTGGCACGGGTATTAACCACTGGTTCTCAAACTGGGTTCCTGGGTTCCTCAAGAGTATACCCTCATGGGTTTACAGTGCTTTCAGATATCCTCAAGCAATATTTTAGATTAGAGCCACTCATTGACGCATGGAACACTTCCTATTGCGTGCACTATTTTTGACAAAATCTGTAGCCTTCTGCACTGCTTTATTGCATCCAGACGAGACTTTGAAGGATTACTTTCTTGCCATTTGATGCAGATAAAGGTTCTTCGCGATAAGAACGTTTGGAAACCCCTGTCTTACGCTGATCGGTTTCTGAGACTTGTGATGAGGTGTCGATTTTTTGCTTGCTTCCGAACCCGTCTTCTCTTTCGCCTTGTGCATCCTCTGCGCTCGCTCCGGCCGTTTGCTAACCTGAAACAACAGGCCAGAAAGATGAGTCCATCCTAACCGATTGCCGCCTCTGTGGCTCCAAGGCAAAGCGCTGGCCTACAGATCGCCATTTGGAGGATTCGAATCCAGGCCGGTAGCCCGCAATTGGACGGAGGCTTGCGGCGGAGAAAGCGCTATATAGCGGAGATTTCGGTTGCACATCAAAAGATCCCCAGGCAGTTCAAATTAATGCTTAATCCTTCACAGAGGCATGTCTGATGATCGTCACTGGTTTTGCACGTAAAACGCTCACATTTTCCTTTAATTTTAACCGAGGCCGGGTGAAAAACATCCATGATAACGGGTAACAATGTAGCCATTGTTACACAATGGCTACATTGTGTAACAATGGAAAGGTGTATAGACCCTTTTTTATGGCAAACGACATTAGGTGGTGCTCCGGTTTTTGACGTCTCAGGTAACTTCCAGTTTATAAAAAGAATGAACAAAGGCCACCTTAACACCGCTGCTTGAAATGTAGATGAAATGTTTAACCACCACTTCTCCAGGTGAGCGCCAAAAGAACGAAGGAGTGCATGATCTGTTAAAATGTTTCGAGTAAACCAACTTGCCTCCCCCAAGATGTAATATTGTATACAGCCGAAGGCCCTCGTTAAATTTCCAACTTTGTTGTCCGTGTAGCATTTATGCTTTCTATAGCACTGGTGACATAAGCAAGCTCAACAGGCTTGCAAAGACGGTGCGACCGGAAGTCGATTGGGATCCCATTCTGCCACACAGTTATTACACTCATGAAGGTGCTTTGCGATTTCGGAGTTAGCAGACTTATTTTTACAGCTCTTACGCTCATTTAGGCGGTTGTTCACACAACGTTTAGTCTGTTCGACATAACAACATTCACAAGCCATCGAAATATCATCAACAACACGCTCGAGGCAATCAACTGAGGCATCTCTCTGTTTCTTTTGAAACTGACGTTGTCTTCCTAAGAAAGGCGTCAGTTTGCTCGGCTTGGTGTCTGTCGTCAAACCACTTTTACATTGAATTTTCTTTCGAATTAAAGCCCTTCGCAAGAAAATGTACAAGTGGTCTTCACAATCACGACAGACTTCAAACTAAGGCCTTTCATAGGAGGACAACGAGAGTGCCTTAAAAAACACAAGGGTGCCTTACTGCATCAGTTGACTGCCTCGGGGGTGATGATATTTGATGGCTTGTGGGTATTCTTATGTCGGACAGACTACGCGTTGTTTGAATGATCGCCTAAATGAGCATAAGATAGCTGTAAAAATAACTCTGCCAACTTCGAAATTGCAAAGCACCTTCATGAGTGTAATGACTGTGTGGCAGAATAGGATGGTGCCGTGGTTTTGTTTAAAGAAATTGTGTAAAGCAGAGTTGAAGGACACAATTAGGTTTTCTTTGTTGCATCATCGAGTGTCATTGAGCATTGCGGGTTGAATTACACAATTTCCTACTGATGGAATACTCAGTGACACTCGATGACGTAACAAATACATTTTTTGCAGGTGTAAACAAACAAAGGGAAGTACAGAACATAATTAAAAACAACGCAAAAGGGTTGGAGAAAATTAGAAAAAGCAGACAGGACGGACTAAAAAAGTACACGATATGTTGTTTTTTCTGGGGGGGGGGGGGGGGGGAGGGGGGGGGGTGCGCTTTTTTTATTGATAGCGTATACATGTGATCTTGGAGTTTTTGCAAGCTCTGGAATGATTCAGTCAGAGACGAAAGGATGGCGTAGGAGTGGAGGTCGACAGAATGAAGTTTACGTTGATGTGTAGCGTGTGCAAACTGGTGAGAGGTTGCTTTGATGGAGACAAATCTGTAGTGTGGCGAATAGAATTTTAGTAGCCGTGTTTGAGACGTTGTGTTCGTCTCCCTTGTTTGCCTCCGTCTCGGGTGTTAGTATGTCAAGTGTAGATATGCGTCATAAGATCTTGGCAAATCGTAGAAGGCCGGACACGCTTTTGTGATGAATGTGTCTAATGCACGAACTTTCCTGGGCGGATTACCTGGAGGTCTTTGCCTTTGCCTCGCTTCCGTTCTTCGTTGTACTCCTGGTACATTTTGAGCCGCTGCTCTTCGACCCGCTTCTCCAGTTTCTCCTCCTCAGCCGCGTCCTTCAGCCGCTGCTCTTCTTCGCGCTGCTTCTTTTCCTCGATCTGCTTCAGTGTGAGAAGCCGAGAGCGCGTCCGATTATCGGCACGAGGCTGAGACCAGCCTGACTCTCCTCTCGCGCAGCTCTACGAAGATGTCCCTGATTTAGCAACAGCCATTTTTTTCTCAAAGTACGTTAAGTGCGTAAGAGTATGTTGCGTGCATGTTTAGAACAATGGGGTGCAAGTCAGCCCCAATGGGCGTTTAACGTCTCCGGCTGTAGATGAAAGATGTTGCCAGTGCGGCACCACTGCTAGCCTGGTGTTTTTAGCGTGAATATCGCGCAGTGTAGTGATACACAACCGCACGCCGGTACCGTGCTCATCCAGATGGAAACGTGCAGGGTTGTGGACCGAGGAGAGGATCCCTGGGTTTTGCAGTGCGAGCTTCCGCTCCCGATGCTCCGAGATGCAGAAAGTTAAGACAGGGCCACCGATTCCCCTACATCGACAAAACTACAGAAAGCCCACTGCGATGGATCATAATCACACGTGTGGTACTGACACGGCCTTGATGTATGCCCGAGAGTTAGCTCCTTTGAGTGCGCTTCTCACTATGCACTAGTGCGTTGCAGAGAAGATACACCCCCTGTGCGGTATAGCGCACACGCGCGTGCGCAAAGTGTGTGAGTGTGTTTGTGTGTGTGTGTATATACTATAACAATATGAATGGTGATGTAACAACCCTAACTTGCAGTAAAAGTTTCAAAGTAGCCGTTGATGTTGTGCGAGCATATATTAGGATGTAATGTCCACACATGTTGAGTACATGATGAGGTCATGATTGTTTCTGGGAAGTTTACCTAGTGACATTTCAAAACATAGCTATATTCTCGTGAAAAGTTAGAACGCCATTCTTGAAAGACGACCGAGTTATCCGAGAGTCGTGCGTGTGGCGCCAACTCCCGAGGTCGGAGGAAACACTCCCAATGGGAAGCAGACGACGCCACTGTCTGCTCGCTGCCCCTATCGGGAGTATGCGCCACACGCACGAAGCTCAGGCGACTCGTCTTGATTGAAACACGCTGTTGTAAATATGAATCGTGTTGCTTTAGATTTGCGCAGGAACGGAGTTACGTCTTAAAATTACACGCGGAAAAAATTCTCCGCTAAGCTACATATTTCATGAAAGCTCCACCTTTTTACGTACAGGTGCCGGGTTATCCAGTGTATTTTACGGTAAGCCCCTTGATTTGTGACACCCTGTGCATCCGGACATTTCGGTGTTCATATAATTTACCTAGTGTTGTTTTGTTTTGTTTTTTCTTATTTTTATTTACGGTCGTCATACCTGCTTCTGTAGCTCTTGACTGTAGACATCCGGAGGCAGGGCTTCGCGATGTACTTTTCTGCTCAGCCGGGGTCTGAAATGTTAAAATGAAACAAAAGCCAACGTGTATACATCAGAGACTTACCTGGTAGCCATGCTTCGCTTAACTTGGTGAAGCGAGTTATATCCTTAAAACTCTTCTAGATGTGCTCGGTGAGCTTCAAAATGCTTGTAAGTGTCTATAAACTTTTCCCCCAGTTATCACCCATGCGAAAAATGTTAACTCAGTTGGTTGCGGAGGCAGGCGCGGCGGCTGATATTTCGCAGAAGAGAGCTACAGCGCATGCTCACAACGCGGCCCACAGCCCAGTAATCAAAGATGGCAGCTTGCAGAGGGCGATCAGTGAAATTGACTATATTCGGCGCACGAACCTCCTAAAGTGTAACTCTTACTTAAAAAAAAAAAAAAAGGTATTTTGTGGTGATTGTTTGGAGGACGCTGCCAACAGCGAATTCATCCGTTACAATAACTTCTGCAAAAAAAAAAAAAAGTATTTCGTCAGATTGCTTAACTTCCGCATAGCGAGGTAAACTTCAATAGATTCTAAAGTAAACCTTTGCTGACCTGGTCCTGACTCTTGACTAATACTGTCCAGCCTTCAACAATTTTGATATGTTGGCGTTGCAGTAAATTTGAAGCTTTTTCTTTATATATATATATATAAAGAACTAAAATGAGCAAATATGATACATTAGCTTTTTTGTGGCAGTTTGCTAGAGATGAGCAATAGATCGATTAACCCTCCGAGTGATCGATTAATACTTAAATAACGATCAATTTTTTTTTCATCAATATATCGGTTGGGTTTTTAGTTACACATGTTGACGAGAGTGTAAAATTGCCTGATCTAATAATTGGTGCACATTTATCTCTTTCAGGAGGCAACACTGTTGTATTCTAGGGCAAATCACTTTAACATTCCCTATGATTGCCGCCAGAGGTGTATACATAATAACTTAAAAATTAGTTTTGTTTTATAGCTTTTTTTTTTGTATGGGTCAAAGTCAAATTTGGGGGTTTTACGTGCCAAACCAACGACGGGCTTCTGGCACGCCCCAGCGGGGCGTGCCAGCGGCCCCTTCCGTTGACGTCTCATCTGTAGCTGATGCGGTGGCCTTGCATGCTGAGCGCGCATACCATACGCATCACAGATTTCCCCGTACCACCTAAAAGACAAGGCGCCCCCTACCCTAAACGTCATCACTATAGTGGGTCCACGCAGCGCCTCTTGGGGGACATCGTTTTGCCGTGGCCACGCCAATAGACTGCGTTTCGCATATAAGCATAACCGTCACTCATTCTCGTTTTAGACTTCAGCGTCCTTGCCGCTTGGGGGCGGAGGATCCGCAAACGCGGCAAGGACGCTGACACTCCTCACTTACTTTTCAGTGCGGAGTGAATATAGTTTTCGCATTTAAATATTCTAAGCTTAAATGGTAAAACAAAATGGCTAGGTGGCGTAAGCTACCGCCCCATCCAAAGGGCTCAGCCGGATTCATCCATCCATGACGTCATGCCTCCTATGTGGCACTGCACTGTCCGCGGTTCGGCGTCCATGGACTCACGGAACGGCATCCGCGTCGGTTCTCCTGCCGAGCAGAAGGTGCAGTTCCGGCACGAGGACCGAGACGTCGCCGATCTGACGGCCGTTGCCGAGGAGGTTGGACTCGGACCTGGCCTTGGAAGGCATGATGTCGCTCGACGTCTCCACGGGTCTCACCAAGTCTCCCAGGAACCGCGGCCTCTTGCGTCCTGGACGGGATCGAATTGCGAGCGAAAAAGCTTCGGGGGCAATCCTGACAGGGGTTTCCTACTGAGAATAGAGGAGTCGTAGCGAATGAAAGAAGTGCCTTCAGAAAAACAAGAGTGTAGGGAAATCACTGAACCCAGGGATTGCCCTAGACCCCCCCTAGGGGGGGTTAGGACCCCCCCTCGTTTTTCCGAAGGCACCCCCTTAATTCACAACGACTCCTATATTTGCAATGCCCCCCCCCCCCCCTTTAATCCCCCCCAAAAAATTTAGACGCCCCCCCCTGATTTCAATTCTTGGGGAAACCCCTGCCTGGGTTGATCCCATGGGGTAACCGCGTAGGTTGACCTCGGGGTAACACTGGGTTTACCCCTCCTCGAGGGAGCCCCACACTCTAAAAGAAAAAAAAAATGTGTATGACTTTACTTTCCTGCTGAACACGAGACAACGAATCACGACGAGTAACACCAGGGTCCCAGCAAGCGACGAAGCTAAGAATACGATTAGAACAAAAAGTGCAATGTCCGCGTGCAGGGTCGATGGGCATGGCGTTTCACTTGCCCAGTGTCATAACCCTAAGCAGGCACCGGGAGTAACTCTAGGTTGACCCTCGGTGGACTCTGGTGTCACCCTAGGCGGGCACGGTCAACCGAAGGCCTTAGGCTGGCAACTCTGAACTCCGACGAACACAGGATGATATTTGCATCGTTTTCAGGTGTCATGACGGCGAAGAACTACGCCGTTACATTTTATGCAGAATGTAATTTCTACAGTGCCCGATTCTAGTGGGATAGTACTTCCACCATATTACCTGAATAACTGTAATCACCCTTTTGAGAGACTTTTATTTTTAAAATATCAATTTCAATGGACGTGTTTGTTTTGATTAATTACTCTCTAGCATCAGTAATATAAGAATTTAAATTACAATTAAAATTATGAAGCTCGGTCTCGGGGGCTTATTGCCGTGAAGAAAAAACTCTGTGCGTCAGTCTCATTGCCTTTCTGTTAGCGTCTAGGGCCTTGCTAGCGCCAAGGCCCCAGACGCCAACAAGGCCCCAGGCGCTGTCTTAGCACAGACCGCGAAGGCGAAGTTGAGCAATTGTCAAAATACACGCAAATAAGCCCGTATGATGCTCTACATAGAGTGCCATTGTTAGAGTAAAGATAAAAGAATAAACTATTTTGATTGTGTCATGTAAAATTACCAGTCGACTATTTCCAGATTAATATAACCTTGAAAAGTTTGCATCTCTATTCGATTCTTATTACATCACTTATACTTTAAATTGCCGTGATAATAAAAAAAATAAGTTTTGGTAGTGTTTTATAATACTGACACCGACTCAATATCATACTTCAAAATAGACGCTCTATTATACAATTAATAAAGTCGGTGAAACCAAAACACCAAACGCGCGAATAAATGTGAAATGCGGTACGTGTATACTAAATACCCAAGTGAGACAAGGATCGAACAAACATGTTTCAGTCTGGCCAAATGCTGCTACATTGTCGGCCGCTCCGAAGGAAACGTAACTGCAGTATTTTAATAAAGTAAGGTGTAATACTCTAATTCCGAGGCATGACTTTTTGCGCGGTAATTTTAATGTAAATCACACTATGTTTTGAGCAAAGTAAATGTAACTGTAATTCAATTATTTTCCTGAAGTATTATTTACCAAAACATATGTGCACGATGCTCATGTTCATCCGCAGAAATAAAGAAATAAAAATAATAAAGTTCGACTTACACAATTTCATTGAAAATGCGTAAAATAAATAGGCTGGCACACACTACTTTTTGTTCCCGATACCGGATGAACCCTCAAATTTTCTGAGGAACCGAACACGGCGTTCGCTGTGTTTAACGTTTTCGCTCACCAGTCATGACGACGGCTAGGTCTCGACTCCATGGGTCGTGATACTCCTCGATGCATTTGCGATCTAGTCTGAAAAGGAATCGGGACAACCGGTTTTATTTGTCCCTTCTATACTGCGCTCGTAGAGGGAGGGCATGTCTATTGATTTTCAAGAACAATATATGTTGACCGAACTTAATTGGGACTAGATACGTTAAAATCCGGCGCACAGAAAGACGAAGTTGGAGAGAAAAATGCCAGGACGAGCCTTTTAATGAAAAGAACGCACTGTCAGTTACACCCGCTTGTTTTATATATATCTGAGAAAAAGGAACGTTTTAAGGTGCAACATCGCGTTTTACATAGAAAAATATACCGCGCACGATTATAAATTCGGGTTTTGTAGGATGCTTAGGGTACGCAGGGAACCACATCAGTGCCCCTTTAATATTAGTAGGAGTCGCGTAAAGTGGCAAGATGGGTGCTGGTAGCATATGGGATAAAAAAGGAGTGCACAGTATTCTGCGTCAACCGGTCCTCAATTGTGTATTCTTTTTTTTTTTGCATAAAAAGGAAGTTGATTTTATTGGCACGTGTGAACTGATGTCCCCTCTGACAGTAAGTTTTGCTTTTTGATAACTTTTTTCTTGAGCCTTCTTTTTTTAGTTAAATTTTAGTTGTTCGCTTAGAACAACTAAAATTTAGTTGAAAAAAGCTTCAGAGTTATTTCGAAAGTGCTGTTGTCTCTACCTGGAGCATCAATCTGAATTATAATTTTGATATTCGTAATCCTGGAGGCCAAATCAAGACGATTCAAGCGTTTCTTCTCAAATAAAGAACCTCTTCAGTTTCCCTTGAAACTATACGGTTAGAAACTGATAAAGAGAGAGTTAGTAAGAGAGGAGGAGGAGAAGAGAACGAGCGGCGGCGTCAGAGCGCACAGCTCTGATTGGAAGGATTAGCGGGTATACACGCAACGCTCCCTTCGTCTCTAGCCGCTGCTTCTCAACCAATCAAAGCGAAAGAGAGCGTTGTCTGCTCCTCGCGTTCGAGCAGACGACACTTTTGTCCGCTCAGATTGGCACTCTCTGCCTCCGCTCCCTCAAACGAGATCATTCCTCGCCTATACTTCGTCTCACCCTACGATGGACTCAAGGCAGAAGCTACGAACCGCCAGATCCAATCACGAACCACTTAGACATTGCGTGGTATTTCGCTTCGATGCACGTATCAGTGCCCACGTCTCGGATAACTGATGGGAATGGGCGGACAGTGGTTCGAATCGAGCAATGAGTGACTCAACAATTTTACATTGCTAAGAAAGCCAGGACGTACTGGCTCTTTGCAATGTCGAAGCTATAAAAATGACGCAGCGATTTTGGATTCAGAGCATTATTCGTCCAAACCTCGTCAATGCTAAGCGTGTCATAGTTTAGCGTGGAACGTGATTGGATCTGGCGGCCCGTAGCTTCGGCCTTTAGTCCATCGTAGGATGAGACGAAGTATAGATCGTCGGCGTTCGAACCTACCTGACCTCTTCCTCTTTCTCCTTCAACATCCTTTCCTTTTTCTCCCTAATTTGTGCTTCGAGTTCCTTCAGGTAGCTCTCCTTCGAAAAGAGCTGCTTTCTGAAACGATGACGGGACAGTGTTAACACACACTAGCCAAAGAGCTGAGCGCAGACGTAGCGTGCATTCGGGTTTCTCACGCCGTAAATCAACCCAATCACATTTTGTGAAACTATCGTCACTCGAAGTTTAATGCTAATTAGTGGGGAAAGAGGAGGACCAGGGGGGGGGGGGGGGGCCGGGGGGGAGAGAGAACGTTTAGATGCATTCCTAAAAAAAGAAAACCGGTAACATTATATAATACATTTTTTTGTGACTAAAACGCTCAGTTGACGCTTAAAACTCACACACACAGAAACACACACACACACACACACAGACCACACACGCACGCACGCACACAGACATATATATATATATATATATATATATATATATATATATATATATATATATATATATATATATATATATATATATATATATATATATATATATATATATATAATAAAAGTCAGAATGTTTAATCCAGATTGACGCTTCACAACATTCACCCGAGAAGTGCGTTCGATCACTGAAAGATGGCTGCGAAGAAACTGAAATCGACTTCATTGGTTAAGAAGCTGTTAATAATTTTTGTGATTATTATTTAACATCGTTCTGGTAATGTAGACGCTTTGCACACGCGCCGTATTGCAGCTGCCAATACTGACCTCAGAAACACGTTGCTGATCGTCGCAGTTTTTAGAATGTACCTTGCCGGAAATTTGAATACACTCTTTGAAAATGTGAGATCATTGCACTTCCTAATAATTGATCCTCATGCCCCAGCGGTCACACCAATGTACTATTTTGTCTAGATCGCTTCGCAATACCTCATAGTCTTGCGGCGAATTTCTGCGGTGAGCAAGTCGCCTGCCTCTTGCGTAGCAGTTGCGGTGCATGTCAGTCAGAACTATGCCGAGCTCTGATTGGCTTTGATAGAAAGGCTATATAGTGGCTAGACCTCAATGCGAGATGCCTCAGGTCTACCCACTAGTTCGCAAGCTCTGTGTAAGGAGCAGACGAACTTGGGCTTTGCATTCCTTTATAAATAATGCAGTCGTCGGCAAATAGTTACATCGGAGACTGAATATCTGTTACAATGTGATTTATATAAAAAAATTAGAAATTGGTCCCAAAACACTCTCCTGCGGCAACCAGAGCTTACATCTACGGGTGAGGTCTTGCTACCATTTAAAACAACGCATTGCTCGCGGCTGTTAAGGTAACTTTTTACCCAGTTTTGAACTTTATTGGATAGCAGGTTACACTGTACAGCATCGAAGGTTTTTCGGAAATCGAGGAAGATTGCGTCTACTTGCTTTTATTGATGTCTAGAGCTCGGGATACGTAGTGTTGAAATTCCACTAATTGTGTTTGACACAAGTGCTAGCTACTTCGAAAGCCTTGCTGGGAAGGTGTAAAAAAATGGCATGATTCGAGGTAGGTAAACATCCTACTGTATAAAATGCGTTGAAACAATTTAGAACAAATACAGTAACATGCGTAGCTGCTACAAAGCGTCCCTCTCTCTTTATATATATATATATATATATATATATATATATATATATATCCCCCCCCCCCTTCTTTTTTAAGACACGTTGTAGATTGGCTAAAACGAAAATCTGTGGTGGAAGAAAGAAAAAAAAATGAAATGAGGTATCGGCGGAGACTCACTTGGCATCTTGAGGCTTCTTTTCGAGGCCTGCGTGAGGAACAAGCGAATACGAGAAAACAGAAACAGAACAAACGATTAGTACTTTCGGCTTTTGGGATTGTTCTTTTTTTTTATTGGCAATTACTGTAATCCCATCGGCTGTGGAGCGGCACCAATATGTTCGTGACTCGAGGCAGGCCCTGCCTCTCTTAAGTTTGCCAGTGGCTGTACAATCATTTGCACTTCGAGTTCGTTCGCTCGCATGGCCAACATTCAGGGACATTCCGGGGAATGAAAACAAGTTTTTGAGGAAATATCAAAATTCTAATTGGTTTGTCTTTTATGCTACCAAGGCGATTACAATTCTCGGTAAAATTACGATTTCTTTTTTTTTTTTTTTTGTCAAGAAGAACAGAAACTATTAATTTTGCGAATGTGGCCTATAGGATGCATGCTAATAAATTTGTAAAGCCGTGGAAAAAAAACTATACACGTTTAAGAGTTTTAATTTTTATTATTATTGTTTATTTATATTGTATGACCGTCATTCGAAGATATTCCCGGAGAACATTGCAACGTTAGTTCCTGTTCGAATAGAGCGCCAACCAGCCAGTTGGGCGGACGATGAAGCGCGCAGAGCCGAGCCATATATATGACTTGGTCATATCAAAATGAATCTGAGTCCACATAAGTTTGAACTGCGTGACCATATATATATATATATATATATATATATATATATATATATATATATATATATATATATATATATATATATATATATATATATATATATATATATGGCACATCGGTCGCAAATATGAGGGACGGGCCACTCACCGGCTGGCAATGACAGTGCGTTCAGTTGCGTGGAGTGGAGACCCGCTTTCCTGCGTGACAAAAGGTAGAGGTCAGCGATAGTAATGCCAAAAGGGCTTCAATAAAACTTGTGTTTTTTTTCTATTTTATTTCTGCGTGCGCTTAAAGGCCGGTTGTTATATCTGTGTTTGAGTGTGACTGCGTACGTCGCACCTTCCAATTTGTTTTCACAATATTTTTTAACTATCGGCTTAAAGTAATTTTGGCAATGTTATAAGCCCCACCAACTCCCGCATTTGACCCCTATACTGCAAAACCTGCGGTATAGTTCAGGAAATATATGCAGACCCCGATGGGTGGCAACGGAGTGTTCCCTTATCGTAAGCAGACATAGCGACCGTAACGCAGTTGGCCATACTCATACGCAAACGTGCGAGTCTACCTTTAGCGTATTGCTTTTATATGGCGGCGTGCGCGAAATACAGGGGACGATAATCTAGCTATCATCATCATCGTCCGTGAGGTCACGGGTACGAGAGACTGGGACAAACCGCGCAGATCTTGGATCCCTCGGCTCGTCAGCTCGCCTCATGGGGCTGTGTGGGTAACGCGCGGCAAAGCCTGTTTCACGCGTTGTGTTTATTTGGTGAAGGGGTATTTGAAGTAGCACACTTTATTAATGCTTGAAAACGTGGCACGCGTAGTCATCCTAACAAACACCTTCGGCGCTGAGGTGTCGAAGCGCTGGAATGGTGGTGTGCTGTTCTCTATCACAGTACAAAAATCTGGATGATGAAAATAAAATATCCAGCGCTACATCTACTGCGGCGAATAGGGTGTGCTTTTATTATGATTCGCACAAAATAAAACTGAGAAGAGAATTTCTCATCAAATTGAAAATAAAAGCCAAATTCGAGAACCTCTCGCGTGTGTAATAAACGCTTTAGTAAAAGCGACTCCGTGTATCCTGTTGGTTCCAGTGTGTTTTGTAAGTGCTGGTCTCTTATTACTTCCACGTTGGTTATTTTCTGAAGTTTGTAACCAGTAAACAAACATTCCCTCAAAATGACCGGCAGGAAGAAGCGATGGCTGGCTTCCGGAGTTCTTTATATGAAATCTCTGGGAGGAGTTAAGTGTCAGTTGCTGACGAGCATCTGTCCGTCAGCAACTGTCGAGTCACACATGCGTAGAATTAAGCGTCGGTGTCTGCAAGCATAAAGTAGCTAAAACAAGTGCGCGGTGCTTTGCAACACAACTGTGAGCGCGTGCACAGCTAAGAAGACAGCACGTCGTTTACTCTGGTGAATGCAAAACCTTCTACAAGCTGTAATGTGAAGCTCCAGGCTTCTTTTGAACATTTTAAAGATTTTGTAATATAAAAAACCCTGACGCACGTCGCGAAAGCCGTAATTTGAAGCTCCAGACTTGCTTTTGAACATTTTAAAGATTTTGGAATATAAAAAAGCATATTCGAGGCGCAGTTATTCATTAGAAAAAATCACTCTAAAAAAACGCCATACGCGTTTCTTTAATAAATAAACCGTTTTTAATCGGCATACACGCGAACTAACGTAGCCACTACGTGCTTTGTCATAGGGCGTCCTCTGCTGGCATCCTACCATGCTCCGTCACAGGAGGGCGCCCGTGAGGAGGCGCCACCGGAACATCTCGTCGCCGATAGGGCCAACTTTTGAAGATTTCGTGCCCATGACATGTGACCTCGATGACGTCACAGCGACTTCTGTGAGATCACGTGGCGCCAGGACGTCACTTGCTACTGGGACGTCACGAGTCAGGTGACGTGAGGTGACACCACAACGAGACATCGTGGCACCATTAGATCGCGTGGCACTGTGACGCGGCTTTATATACTTCCGAAACCCTCGCAATGTGCACTTCCATGGCCTTCTTAGCACGCCACCTTTTTCTTCTTTTTTCTTTTTTGGCAAAAGATATATTTGGAAAAGAGGCATCGAAGACCAGATTCCTTGAGTCCCTGAATCATACGCACCTAGAGGGCCACCTGGGGTGCAGTCGGTTCCCCGTCGGGTACACAAAACCCAAACCCGCCACTTCCATCCAGTCTAACATTGGTCCCACTTTCCGAAAAGAGCACCCGCGTCGGTGTCGAAACAGTGGAAGACTGACACACATGTCGCCCCAGAGCGCATTGGGAGCCAGTGAATCGAGCGCTGTAGCTCGGCCGCCATCGAACCGCTTCGATCGCATCTTGCGACCGGTCTCGAAGCACTCATTGTCCTTTAAGTTTCGTCAGAACCACATGTCGACGTCGACGCTCGTAGTCGTTCCTTTCTTTTGCCTGGTTACTTTTAGCGGCGATGCATTAACTTGTAATCAATGAAGCGGCCCACACGCACCCGCCGCGCTTTTGGCCCTGCTCGCGTGCTCCATGTTACATGACGAAGCCATCAAAGGACGAGACGAAGCGAATACGAGAGAAGGTGAAAATAAAACAAAGACCCCAAAAGGAAACGAATATCGACAACGTCTCGGTTATGCCGTTCGCCCTTATTTGTTTTTAGTTTTGTCCTAATTTGTTTTGTATATATTTATGGTAAATTACGAGAAACCTTCCCAAGCTCCTCCCATAGCCTCATTACCGCCAGTCACTGTTTCTCCGCCGTGCGCAAATACTCCGCTGCCGAGGCCCTTGTGATGTCACATACCTTCCGGGCTAATCTCCGGAGCAATTTCAATTGCGTCTGATTTATTACTGAATTGATTAACTACTTGAAGCGCATTCTTAAACCGTACCCGACTATATATGTGGCGCTAAAGAGAGCGAATTGGAAATGAGATGCTAATTGCATTCTCTTCGCATTGCTGCACCTATCTACGGACTGAAATGTAAGTACGTTCCAGAGGCCGTGGTTACTCGCTTTTAGTACTTCTAATTAAAGTAATACATTTCTTTCTAACTTTAAAGTAGGGTGGTGCTACGTGGATCATTTTTTTTTATTTGTCGAAGGGTATGAAAAAGGGTGCCGTTTTGGAATGTGCCGAAGCTAAAACATGTCCTTATAAAACAATTTAAGCAAATATTTAAAAAAAAAGTGGAAGATTTACATTTAGGAAGTTTTGAAATCGGCCGCTTCTTTGAGTGCGCGCTGTCATCGGTGCCTACATGTCTGTCTGTCTCAGGGGGAAAACATCGTTTGTTGCACTCAGAGGGCCAGTGTGTTGCGCTCAGTGCATGACTTGTGTTGTGAAATGACGGCTAAGCATTAGCCAAGGCTACACGCTCGAGCTGAGTCACACCGGAATGCGCGCACTTCAAAAGACAAAAAAAAAAAAAAGAAAAAAAGAAACGATTGGGCGAAAAAATGGCTGAGATGTCACCAGTCAAGTAAATGCGGGTGAGCGTAAAGGCACTCTCTATATCCCAAGTTCCCGCCGAAATCAGCTGAATTGATTTGCCAGGTGTTCAGTATTCGCAACTCCGGAGGAGCCAAGGACGCCACCCAGCGGAAAAAAAAAAAAAGGACGTGAAGGTGAGAGGTGGGGAGCCACCGCTTATCAAAATGTATACGTGTAGCTAAAACTGGCGCGACCTGACGGCCGAAATGTGAAACAGAGGGTTCATACCGCTAAGAGTTGTTTTTATGGAAGAGGCTATCATTTGACATCTCTATGACGGATCTGATTAAGCTCGCGCATCGAATGCATCGCTTTTCGATGATCGAACTTGGGAGCTCTGTGAATCTCATTACCTATCACTCCCAATCAGATCGCGGCATTAGCTGATCAGGACGACGAAGGATCAATCACAAAGCGAGAAGAATAAACATAATTCGACACGTCCTACCCATCTGTCAGTGCCTAAAGTGAGTTTCGGTGAGTAAGCCATTTGATAACTGGAATTGGAGAGGGAGGGGGGGGGGGGGGGGGGAGACTCACGAAAATGGTTATGCGCAATATGGCTTACATCTGAAACGGTAACAAGAAACAAATTGTTAATTAAAACTCACCCCCTGTCTAGACTCTGACTCCTTTCCCAAGCTTGGTCAGCTGCAAAAAAAAGAAAAAGCGGAGTATTTAAATATTTGAACTTTTACAAATTCACAAACAAAAAGTGAAAGCCGTTTACAACTCCCTGTAACGCCGAATTGGAGCGCAGTTCTTGAGGAGGAGGGAAGGGTACCGAGGGAAGGCTCTCTCCTCCTCCTCCCCTCATTCTTGAATATGCTCCGGGGGGGGGGGGGGGGGGTCACGTGACCCTGGGGGAGGGGTCATGTGACCTTGGGGGGTCACGGGACCTTGGGGTGACCCTGGGGGGTCGCGTGACCTCGCGGTTACGCTGACGGCGACGGCGACGCCGACGCCGCTCAAGCCGGAAACGGGCGCCTAAGAGCTGCGCTCTAAAAAGCTTTGACTTTAAGGGTGGAACGCGATAGGGTTATCGGACCCGGTTCGCATCGTCTTCTCATTCGCTTCTGATGTTCTTCCTGCCAGCGAGCAGAAAGTGTGGCAGACATGGACTTGTCAGGGTCGTGTGTTCGAATCCCGCCTAAAGTTCTTCAAACGTCTTCTTAGGTCAAACGAATTACTTTATAAAGTTAAATAATTTGAGACACGCGGAGACCTTTAATTCGCTTTACATGTAGTGTTTTATAATCACTTTCATTCCATGCGTGACGTCACGTTTCACGAAAACATGGTTTGAAATTCCCGCGCCGAATCATGTCATGACGTCATGACCCTTTCGAGCAACGTTACTACCGGGTGAAACAAGGAGACGGTAGGCACTTTAAATCGACCGGAAAATTCAGCTTCTTAACCTATCGCGCTACAACTTTGTGCAGCGTTGCCCACAGATGGTGCATTTTTTTTGTAAAATTTGCAAAGAGCGAACTTACCTGAGGGAAAAGTAAAGAAAGAAAAAGGCTTAGCTCCTATGGAAAGGCAGCGACGCCACCGGTCTGCAATCAACACGGCGCCGTTTTGCACGGGAGACAAGAGATGGCGCAACGAACGCCGCCAACGAACGAGCATACGGGCGCCGAGAGCCGGCCGAGGTATTCCTCAAAGGCTCTTTAGCAGACGAT